TATAGGTGGTCTTCTAATGATTTACAATATCTTTAACACTTTGACATACTTAAGTTTAGCTCCAACACAAACCTAAAAGGTAACACCCAGAAACTAGAGTAGCAACACAGCAGAACGGACTGTAGACACAACTTCCCCTCCTTCAGAGTTGTCAAATGCTGGAACTCGCTGTCGGCTGAGCCAGTCAAAGCGATTCCCTAGGAGCCCTTTAAGTGGAAACTTGACCTATACTTAAGGACTTAGGATAATATGCCACTATGATTTACCCATTTCTTTTTCCTCTATCATCGTTAATATGCCAAGGTTCCTGCCTGGAGGTATTGGTGATCCACTGCTACTAGACACGGAAACCGATTAAACGAAAGCTTCTTCTATTCCATCCACAACCATTTGAACTTAGGTAAACATGTATTCTTTAACACCAGACAATCCTCAAATAAATATTGAAAATATTTGAATTAATACATTTAGTGAATTCACAACACCCACTGGACAATTTGAGGATCCATAACACCGCCTTATCCTCAAATACATAATACCAGTTTGTGGGAAAGATATTGGATATTGAGAAACATTAGCACGGATCCTAGCACCAAAAACACAACAATTTCGAAAATGGCACATGACGCACAAATTCTTCAGCAGCACAACACCGAACTTGTAAAACGTAATATCAATTTTCTGAATGCTTGATATGGTTAAGTGATAGAAGACTTGTGTCAGAAAAGAGATCAGTTACAGAAAGCAATTATTGAGGAAGATGATGAAAAAAACCGTCTACAGCATGACATGAGGATTATTTCGGAGAAACTTGCGAAAATAAATGATTCACTAAGCAAGAAGCTAGTCGTTCGGAATTCTTATGATAAGGCGATAGCCGAATCACAACAAGCCTACTCGAAAGTATTATGTAATCATAATACGTATGAATTTTATAGCTATTAGAAAACTCTTATGGGTTGCTGAATGTCTTGAAATGCAATCAAGAAAAAATGAAAGATAAGTTCGCTAAAACCTATAATTCCTAATATCTAAGGATAAGACTCGATTGCTACTATCTAAGCTTACAAACGGTTCTTTAAACCGATCAATTCCTTACAGTATATTAAAATGCTGATACACATAGATTATCTGGTTCATTGTCTACAAAATAATATCTGAGACATTTTTTATTCATCCCCATAGACCATATATCTGTAACAGAGTATTTGTATTAAACAGTCAGTCTCCAGTTTGCATTAAAATAACTAATGTTTGTCAATTCGTCTTGTTATTTACTTTTACTATTCAAAGGTCTAGGTGATCTATGTTTTGGACAAGTGTCCTCAGAAACAATTTAATAAAGTAGAAGCTCACAACGCAATGACTTTGTCGACGACAACAAGGATCTGGACCGTCTAAGTGCTACATATTATAACCATTAATTCAGATCAACTGGGCTATTATCTTCATTCTAAGAGACTGATCACACACATCAAAGTAACTAGAACGATGCATAATCAGTAGCCCGAAATTAGCTCTAGTCTTAGAATGTTCAATGTGTATCTGCAATTATTCATCCATCTTTAAATCTCCGATAAATAACAATCTAAATAAGAAGTTAATTGACCGTCAAAGATTACTTCCTTTATCAATTATGATTACCTGATTTGACTATATCAAGAAGTTATCTGATCACAAACTTTATGCGTTGATCAGCAGAAGTTAGTAACCTTAACATAGCTCAAGTAAGCATGACGTTTTCGGTAAGAATATGAATAATTACGTCAATATATGGGAATGTCGAGAGCGAAAAGCACTTGTCAGTTCAGACATTTGGCTTTCACGACTACGATTGTGTTTGAAGTGTGGATATCATTAGAGCAGTTTGTCACTATATTTTTAATCACAATAAATCATGGTATTTCACTCATGTTGACCAAAGAACACATGTCAACTGGCGTACGTAATATCTTCAAGTGCAGTTATATAAAAACTTAGTTGTTTTCTGTTTGTTTGCAGACACCAAGAGGGCTCTACCCCACACTTGTTCTTCGTGCAGCAATACAAAGGAAATTTAACTAACTTAGAAAACCTCTAGAGAGGAATAATAATAAGACATTGATTTAGTTTTAGAGTTTATTGCTTTAAAGCAGGTAGTCCAAACACACAAGATACTATGATAAAGAATAAGTGACACCTCGTACCAACGAACACGAAGGACAAAAGTTGCCAGGTGCAGTCTCGGTGGTTTGTGTTCCCATACAGTAATCAGAATCACCCATTTACTTTAGATAGGACATGTTCATCACAAACTCTGTAAGGGCTGTTCTCAAAATGTTACGGATAAAAGCTGGGCAACACTGTGTAATCGCTGTCAGTTTGTAACAATGAAGAGAAGGGTATGTATATTGCCATCTTCCCCCAAAAAATTTTTGTAAACGGATTCTCCAGATAATCACACTTCTGCGGTAGACAACTTCAAGATAGTACTGCGCAATAAATTGCAAATAGCTACAAAGTCCGAAATACTGTTATTGAACTTCAATAACCATTACAGTCCTCAGTCATTTAGAGATGAAGATGTAATAAACATATCTACCCCTCTTCCACATAAGTCTACCTACTAATTAGTGGATATAAGATGAGAAGTCAAACTTTAGGTGTGAGGAAGTGGCACAAATCCATCCTGACGACTGTGAAATAGTGAGCAGACTCATTTTTAAAATATTCTTTTGATCCGCAGCAAAAAAACCACATTCGGCCTGCATCATATTTTCATATGAACCAAATAGTTAAATGATCACGATAATTTAGTCAGTATCACAGGTACAATTTACAAAAGAAATCTTCAGTTGGTATGTTTTGTAAACCGATGGTTTCCGCTGTACTAAGAAATATGAAAACGATGTGAAATCACATAAAGCTGTCTTTAATACAAAACGGAACCTGTTACACTTAAGCAATCCTTTATGTGTGTTTAAAGTCAGGTAATGCTTGCATTCTCCAGATACTGGAATCTGGAAGTTAGCTTCTGAAAAGTCTAACTTTGCGAAGTACTTCTTCCTATTTAGTTTTGCGAATAAGTCTTCTGGTAGGGGCGAAGAGTACTAGTGAGCTTCTAGTGCTTCGTATAGTCCTGTCGAATAATCTGCACATAGTCGGATGCTCCCATAAGGGTATCCCTGTTTACACTGGACCGTCTGCAACGATGAGCAACTGCACTGCTGGGCTATGATCTCAAGATAAAGTACCAACCGACAACGGATTTCGGACAGACATATGCCCTTTCAAGATTAATTGGCTCCTATACAAAACAAGAGCTGCTTGTAGAAGCTGAGGCTGAAGTTCAGTGTTGACAGACGCGGTTATGGGACTGCCGGTCACGTTCGAAACCATTAAAGCTAGTGAAAAGGACCGTTCGCCGTTGTATACTTAACTAGTGACGTTCACTTCGACGAGACTTTCTGGGAACTGTCGATTTGTGCACCATGTTTGGCCACCATATTGTTATTCTCAGAATTATTCGACAGCAAGTTCTAAAACAGTTCCACAGTGGGCACCGGGAATAAGTAAGATGAAGTCACTGACTCGGATTTAGGCATACTGGCCGTCAATGGACTGCGATATAGAACAAAAGTGTCGTAGCTGTTGGTCCTGTCTAGAAGTCGCAAAGAATCCTATGGCCGAAACCTGACGGGCCTTGGCAAAAAGTACACGCTAATTTCGCTAATCCAATACACTGCAGAAACTAGTTGGTTGTTATGGATGCTTTGACTAAGTGGCCGGAATTATACGTCAGGACACAACAGATTGTCAAGGTTTTTGTTTAGTGTTTCTAGAGATCTTAATAAATGACAATGGCACTCAGTTCAAGTCATCCTCTTTCAAACGGTTCTGCAGTGAAAATGGGATTACGCATCACGGTCTCCTTCGTGTCACCTGTAATCGAATGACCAAGTAGAAAGATTCGTGGGTACGATAAAAAGGACTCTGATAAAATGGAGACAAGGTATTCTAGTTCGTGTCCTACGAAGTCACACCTAATCTAAAAGTGCCGGGAAGTTCGGACAGCCTTTATTATGTTACCACCCCGGACGACAAATAAACTCACAAACGAATATTAGAGGATCAATCGCAGCTTCCAGGTGGGAGAAAGGGTACTTATCAAGGTAATAGAAAGTGGGAACCGGGTGTTATTGAATCTCAGGTTGAAAAAATACTGTACTTAGTTCGCATAAGTTTTGGGACCTCTACAAGACGTGTCAATTAAATCTAAAGGGATAGTAGATTAACGATTACACAAAGATGACGTTTCAAATACATGTGCACTTATTTAAAAAAGACCTGAGGAGAACAAAAGCCGAAGACATAGGTGACGAAAGGGCAAAACAGTACAACCTTCAAGAGGAGTGTGATTGAGAAGTCTCAAGTGAACCCAAGCGGAAAGTCTTACATAAGACACTTTAAAGAGCGGAGGTGTAGAAACGGCTCCCGGTGAACTCAAGTTCCGAAAGAACCGAAGACAGTCCATCTAATCATCGTTTAGAAGAGGATTCCAGAATATCGACGTGTAGCATCCTCATTAGACAAATGCTAAAAACCACTTTGTGTGGATTGGATGATTGTTATGATGATTTCATTTTACTAAAAGCTATGAATACCCAAGTGTTTTTGTACCATATTTGACAGTGATTGGAATGAGATTTCTTTCCACTGGTCTTCTGTTTTCTAACTTGCGAATTAGATGGTTCAAGCGTTCTAGTGCTCAAGTTGTTCACTGTAGAGCGAAAATTCAAGATCTGGATATAACAAAAACCATTAACAAAACAGAATTCATATGAATGAGAACACATTTATTTATACATACATAACATTGACAAAAATATACAAAATATTACAAATGTAAAGAAGAATTATACTGGTCAAATAAATCATATATAGATGAAACAACTATTTTTCATAAGCATACAAAAAGAAAAAAAAACAAAAAAATCGAATAAATCTATATGAACTAGAAATTAAGCCCAAGCTCTAAGAATTGCCCGTCTTGTGGCTAAACGACATGATACGATGGAAGCAATTATCATTCCTAATGTGACAGTAGCTATTGCAGTATAGTCGAAATCTTCTTTAAGTAAATCATATGTTTGTGAAGGTGATATTCGAGTGAAAAACAAATCTGAAATATGAGAAAGAAAACAATATTGAATAAGGGAGATCAAATTGAGAAGTTTCCCAACATCATCGTCACCGTCATGTTATAATGAAGAAAAAATAGACAAATTTTGTATAAGAATAATCATCGATGGTCGCCAGTAGTCTAGTCAGGCTACGTTTTGAACGATAGGTGGGATTTAAGGTAAACTTATAGAAGGATCTTGTACAATGTTTCAGTCGGAATTTCAAAAGATTATGTATGTAAAGTGGGATGAGGGATGCAAATTTGTATGTAATTCGTATCCTGTTGAATTTTTTCAACCAACATACACAAGTTAACGTTGTGTTAATTTAAAACACACTAACGTACCACTACTAGTATTCAGTCAGCTACAACGTAGGATCAGGTACATATATACATCGGTCAAAGTTGCCGCACTTCATTAGCACAAGATGATCACCAAATTCATAGAAGTGGTTACTTTAATGGTAGTAAAAAATTGCATATGAGGATATGATACAGAGTAAGAGAACTGGTTCGCAGAAAGAAAAGTATGAAGTAATTTTAATCTCACAGTTAGTTTAAGGACAGACAAACAGTGTATACACCTACATCATCGTGACCGATTCTGATCCATGTCACCCGGATCTCCAACCAATGACTAAGATAGTAGCGCGGACACCAAACTAGTAGTCTGTATCTATCAACATGGCTCAGACCAGAAGTTAGTGACTTTATGGACTGATGCCATGTTTTGGCCTGGCTACCACTAACCTTCTTTTATTCGCCTTTAACACTAAACCTCATTGCGCGCCGTGGTAGTTGGGCATGCGTAATATGTGGCACAGCCATTTCAGTTGATGTACCTACCTATATTAATAGTAATAAGATTAAAGACATGCTAACGAAACTCATTTACACAAGAGATTAGATCTGATTCATTACAAGCAAACTCTTCACTTCAAGTGTCATTCTACAAATTCAACAGTTTAATTATATAGCTGAAACAAAATTAAACGTTTTCAATTAGTATAAAAGTGGAAGGAAAACACTTACAAAAAAAGCTACCGACTTACTAAGAACATATTTCATACTTACCTAATCCATATGCAAATACTAATCCAGTGGACTCTAAACCGGTAGGTGCTGTACGAATAGCTCGAATTCGCATAATTGATTGATTATATGTAATCATAGCTTGATCGGAAAATGGTAGTACAGGAGCATAAGGGTGAACACCTTCTTCCCTGGAACATTAAAAAAAATTAGCATTTACAGAGAGGGCATTAAATTCAACATGTACTCTCGTATTGTCACGTTATTAATGAACTTTGATGTTGCGTTATCACACTTTCAGAAAATACATAATCATTTTAATCACTAAAAGGAGTACAGTCACATAATAGGGAAAGAAAGCTATGAATAAGACGCTTGCTATGAAGTATTTAACGGATTATAAGTAGATACTTAGAAGGGTTATTAGAAGGTAACAAAGCGGTTGAATATTTAAAAAAGAGAGTAATTAGTTTTTTTAGCCGATTCATTACGAGAAATTTTTAACTTCTAAGTTGTATTATTCAAATGTAAGTAGAACTTACACATCATCTTCAACAGATGTTCTTGAATGCAATTTTAACAACATATTTCGTAGACCTATAGTCCTGCATCTTTAAACAAAAATCTTATTGGGAAACAAAATAAAAACGGTTGAAAATTTGGTCTCAACCACTTGAACAACGACATATGGTATCGTTGAATAATACAAACCACATTATCTCCAAACTAATAACACGGGACAGTGATACAAAATTCTAGAGTACTTACATTAGTTCCGATGTCATATCCAAACTACGACGGGGATCGAAAAATGATTTCGGGAGTTCAATTAGACTATTTCTCTGTAAAGCCACTGAAAAATTAAAAGAAAAATTTTCAGCGACATTATTGCGAACATATTTTTTTAAAAAGTCAAAATAAGTGAAAATCAAGAGAAAGCCTAATTCTAGGACTCAATATGCGTCACCTGATTTCACAGTCTCAGATTATTTAAATAAACCAGAGATACTGTCTCAGATTGTGAATCTAGGTAACGCAAGTCGAGTCCCACAAGAAGCACCACTGTCATTAAAATTTCAGGTATACCTCACTGACAAGTCTTTACAACTACAAAAACTAAGTCTACGGCTTCCTGTCAACTACCTCAACCATATATCGATAAATTTTCTAGAAATAGATTAACGCATCTGCTTTAAGTGTGGAAATAAATGAAGAAAAAAGGATCAGATTAACTAAACTTCATTATCAATCTGATTTTTTCAAAATAAACTTGCATACCAGCCTTGACATGGAATTAATCTTTGAGAATTAACAAATGTAGTGGTTTTGGCTTAAAAAAAACGGAAGCAACATCCAACATAAGAAATAGGATCAATCATCGAAGATAACATAAATTTATTCAGTAATTCTAGGAAAAGAATGAAAGTTCAAGTGTTCTCGAAAAATGAAATATTCTTACACATTTTTTTAAATATATGAAAAGGTCACAATTATACACCATCTACCTTTCAAGCAACCTAGAGACTAAAATAAAGCTTGATTCAAGATAATTTCTTGAAATATTCTCTTCTTTAAAATACAATTTTAAGTAGATATAAATGAGTGATTTTTTTTACTGTCAACGAAATCAAGATTTTAGTACTTTTGTGAAAACTAAATTTACATGCATTACTCTTCAAAGTACACTGTTGTTTATATTTTCCAGAGTTTATTTAATAATAATTATATCTACTACTTTTCAACCTAATTTGAAAATATAATGCGTAAATATTAAAACTAAACTATGCTTTTAGATAACAAATAAATGGATAATGTTTAAAAATGTTCAAAATAAATGATTTATATTGCAGAGGCTGAGATTGGTGTTCTGGACTTAACTGGATGGGCTAGGTGGAAAGTAGGACCAATAAGGACTCTAGACTGCTCGTACGGGTTTTACGCGTCCTTGGTCCGATCGATAATTCACTGCTCTCTAATTGGCGGTATCGTTAAGTTATGCAATAAACAAGGCACAAGTTATAACAGGTACTTACAAAATATTCCCAGTCAAAATCATAATTTATGGATAATCAATGCTAAAAACAACATGATACAATGAGAATATTATGTCTTTCTGTATAAATTCATGGGAAATTTGTAGAAAAAGAAAACAAGTCACTTGGAAATTTTTTGCATGACCTAAATACTTGTCTTGAAGACATATTACATTGGAAAATGATCTTCATGTATAAGCGCTAGAGAATATTAAATGCGAAGATTAATTTACTACCGTTGTAACAGAAGGGGATATCAAAGAAAGTGTAATTCTTGAGATCAAATTACGAATTATTACATTTCTTTATTACTTGTATTTTAATCTTCCATGGAACCTATCAACTACTTTTATACAATTGATTATTTTTTATTATTGTTAACCAATTATGTATCATTTGCTCTGTTCTCTAGCATTAACGGCATGACTGTATGTAAAGAATGACTTTTTATGTGGGGTGTGTTGTGATCTGATAATTCACATGTATGAACGAACAAGTGCTTGAGGGTGGAAGTATGGTATACCGATGGTTAATTAGAGTTACGATAGTAGCTCATAAATGTTTGGTTGAAATCTAAAGCGCAGCGAAAGATAACTTGTTTTTATTAACGATGCGAAAATAGCTGATATTCAGTTTATAGAATAGGTGAAATTGGTACATATGTCTTTTATGCAACCAATCGATGAATGACATTGTGCTGAAGCTAAATCACAATAAACCCTTGCTCTTGATAAAATTTTCATGTTGGAGCACTTTATGCATTTGTATTTTTAGTTAAGGTTGTTTGAGTAACTTAGCAGTATTCTCCTACGCTAACTCCTAACTCCGAATCTCAACATTAGATTTCTTAAGTTTGTAAATAAAAGAATGACGAAACATCATTGTATTATAGTTGATGTAAGTTGGAGACAAAAACCTCACAGGGTTACAACCCTAAATCGTAACATTAACCCGAAATTTAATAATATAAATTTAGCCTACTTTTATTACAATAATAAGTGACTCAACACGTAAAGGTTATTTATTCATGACAAAACTTTTTGTCACTTATTTTCTTTCCTCTAATTATTAATTGTTTTATAACTGAACACTGTTTCCTGATAGGCAAATAAGTCTCTTAAGGTCGTCAGTACAGTTTGCTTTTACCATGTTTGAAACAGATATATTGGGTGACTGAAACGTAAGAAACAAAGCTTGACTGTTGTCTTCTCTTCTTCCAACTCAGAACTGGGGATTAACAAACCGATAGAAGTTAAGCTTAAGTTAACCCCAGCTTATGGTTATCGTGCCGCTCCGAACATATCATTGGTCAAAGCTAAGGGTTTTAAACTATAGATAGACCGAACGGGATATGCGGAGGTAGAAGAATAGTAGTCAGAATTCCAATCGGTGAATCTAGCAAATAATATCGATTAACGCCCCAGACATGAGCCACAGAGACAACTAAAATAATGTAGACTTTAAATAAAGAATCGAAACAAAACCCATTTTTACTCACGAATTATATTCTTAGCGGTAATTCCTCTCTCAGTAACTGAAACAGTCACTGCTCCACTACGTGGTGGAGTGTTCAGTATGTAAGATTGTTGTAGAACTTGAGGTATTAAAGAATTTTCACCAGTTGAACCACAAAAACCATCAACATCACTAGCACGAAACAAAGATGAGAAACGTGAAAAACCCGATAAATCACCAGATCCTTTTGATGAACTTGGATTAGATAACAGCCATGAAGGAATAAGATTGCTGAGAAATAATTGCCAAGGGCTTGGAATTGACTGACTAGCACATAATTCCCCGGATAATTTAGTCGGTTCATATAATTCAATAACAGTAGCTTCATTGCGTAATGATTTATGATTATAATAAGTGTACTTTAAAGAAATTTGAAGGGAAAAAACATCACAACAATGTACTGGAAAAAAGTATGGATAAAAAATTTTGCATGGTATTTTAAACAAAACAGTAATATTGAAATAGTAAGACATTTAAAGTTTCAACGAGTAATTATAAGACATTTCCTAACAAGATAAAACCTTCATTAGTCAAGTAAAATCACTAATTATTCACATAGTATTGCTTGTCAGAACGTGTAGCTATACATAACTGCAAACAAGTCATAATGTATAATCAGTAGTGTTCGTGTTTAAGTCGTTCAGCTAGTAAGTTCCACATGTAAAAATCTTGATTTATATTTAGGCATCCAAGCAAGGTATCAACAGCCGCTAAACAGATAAATATGGTTCAAAGCTAAGTATATGAATACGTACTTGTGTAATGAATTATATTACTAATTTAAAAAATGGATTACATTGGTATGTAACAATTTCACATTCCGTTACCTAGATATTTTGGTGAGATAAGCCGAGAAAATTATCGATCATAGCAATAATATAACGTATAAAATTTTATAAAGCTTCTTTGTACAATTTTCTTTTAATACAAAATAGTACTCCGTAAACAGGAAAACAAACTTAACAAATTAACAAGTAGTGTCTATAAAGAACAGTGTTGTTTGTAGCTAGAGGTGGGCAAACTAAAACATCGTACCAGTACACGAAGTCAATCACTACTGGACTCAATATCGTTGAATAGCGTAAGATACCTAGTTGAAGTCCATGTGTTTATCAAAACTAATGGATGACACAGCTCAGAATTGCTCACAATCAAGTAGATGCATTTCGGGATTCAGATTCTAAGAGAAGAGAAAAATGAATGCATCTCCATCATTTCAAACCCTAAGTCTCTAACAATTGATTACGATAATCAAACGAACCTAAATCAAGTAGTCTATATCCGTTAACATGATTAAGTCCAATTATCAGTGATAGATTGGTACCAACATCTTGGTTTGGTTACCCATAGCTTACTTTCAACCTACTCCGACACCGGACAATAACGCTTGTTAACGTCGGCAATGGTTGAATATACGTACAATATGTCTCAACTACTTCAGTTGATGTAGATTTACGTTATCAATCAACTTCTTGTATTTAATTAGTACACTATACATAAACCTAACCATTGCTCACTGGGCAGTCCCAAAAATAAACAAGCGTATAAAGGATATATTCAAAATAATATAGAATATCTGGCAAACAGTATTTGTTCAACTTACAATAATCCAATTCTCTGAATGCACTAGACTAATAGGTTCAGAACATCGACGATGTACAGCACTATACAATATTCGACCAGCTACAACATCAATTAAATAAATTACCAGAGTATTTGTATGACTGCTGATATCACCACCAATAGTAAGTACTGCAATGAGATTAGGATTTAAATATTTATAAAGAACACTTCTATCACCCAATACTCGACCAACTGAATAAATATGTTCTGAAACATAAAATAAAATGAAATAAAATTTAATGAAAACTATGAATAGTGTAAATTTGAATTTATGACTAAATTATGATTTGACAAAAATCTAGATGTTTCAACAAGACCTAATCAGATGATGAACAACACGCTTAAAATGAACATTTTATCAATGCTAGTGAAGATACTCAATGGATTATTTGATCATGCTAAAAACTAGATTTTTGTGCAAATTGATTATTGTTATGGGGACTTAAGCCAATGCACAATTTTTTATGCCAGAATCTATGCCGACATTCAACTGACTGATTGAGATAATCAGTGTTTAATAATTAGATAGCTAAGAGGTGAACTATGAAAAAAAAGCAGAACATTAAACAAATCTGAATCGATTATGGTCCCTATATTTTACACCGGCACATCAAAATGGCATGAATAAGACACAAAATGCAATGAAGACAATGACAATACACCAACAGTAATGGAAAAACAATAATGTTAAGCTTGTAAAACTATTTACTTGGATATTTTTCCACTTAAAAAAAGTGAATAAACTCATTACTCAAATAAGAGAATGTGATAAAAAAAAACTCGTAAACAATGAAATATCGTAAAAAACAAAAAGTAATTGAAATATATAAATGTAAAATCATACCAGAAGGTGGACGTGAAGCTGCAGAGACAATGATGTGCTTGTTAACCGGACTAGAATCAGGACTCAATAACATTCGCCAGACACGTGTAGCTTTTAAAGATTTACCATCTGAAGATACCGGAACTATCCGATAACCGGTAAGACGAGCTTGTTCACTTTCAATAGTAAAAATATATAAAGGCTGTGAATCCGATGATGAATATATAGCGGCACAAGTAGATGGATAAACTTCAACCTGTAATAATCAGATGGATTTTTCAAGATCATTGAATCAATAATTAATTATTAATGTGTGGTATTGAGATCACAAACCAACTTAAGTTAGATAACCATTAAAGACAGAAATACACGACAGCTGTTTTGTTTTAGTATAGGACTCCTCGTAAGTGAGCATCCACGACCCCACTTGGGGTTGAACCAATGACATTCAGAAATCACTGAGAATGTTAACTTTCATATATCTGGCCCAGCATCCAGTGTTATTAAACATGTACACCACTGTATTATAAATTTAAAATTTATTATTTACAGAAAAAGGAAGATTGTAAAGATGACATTTGTTTATGTGAAAAACTTTACAAACAAATTACGATATTGAAAAGATTTTATTAATGAATTCAGGTATAAAAACACAGGATTTATAACAATTTTAATGAATCTACATTAGAAACGGTTGTTTTACTGCGATTTATACTAACTGTCTAGACAATAAACGGAATTGTTATCGTCAACCACTAGTTTATAAGGTCCTTCAATCTTCAAAAATGGTTTAAAGGAAAATGAAAAGCAGCAAATCTTACCAATAACTTTATTGAGATCTAATGGCGATAAACAAGAAGTAAATGTTAGTATGGGGTCGTGGAGACTGTTGAATTTAATTGAAATCATGAACCTATCTAAGTTATACAGCTATTGGAAATCTGGAAGTACTGGACGGCCGATTCGTCCTAGTGTGGGACTTTTCGGCAGTACTCACCTACGATCTTGCAAACGAAGATCGAACCCATGGCTCTAGAGCACTGAGCCGAGATACAAAGGCTTAGAAGTCTGACTGCAATCAACCTACATTGAGCGACCATCTTTTATTGTCTTCAGTGAGCACCTTACACCTGACATAGCAGCCTCGGTGTATCCAGCAATAATCCTTTTTAAAGGTTAACGCTACAAAACTGATAAATCTGAAAGTTTTTAGGACTAGTGATTAAAGATAGTTTACTTAGACTGATTAAAGTACTCAATACAGTTGAGCAGTTGGACATTTCTACATTTAGCTGATCGCGATCACTCAATGTAATAAACCCAGAGAAATCAACTCATATTATATAACCGTTAATTAAAGTATAGAAAGAGAACGTTCAGTCAATTAAGCAACTAAAGTAGAGCTGGGATCATTGTGCATCATCCCAGATTGCCATACCATATAAGTTTATCGGAATGCAATGGACAGGAGGGATATCAAGAGAGTCGAAATAATAGTAGTACTCATAACAATCAGTAAGAATTAGCATTAGAGAATATGGGAAAGTATGAAAATATATTAAGGTTGAAGATTAAGGGGAAAAAAAGAATACACGTATTTGGACAATGGTCACTGATCTTGTGTCATGTTACTCAAGATTAACAATCAATCGCCTTTACTTCGAGTATCAGAACCAAATAATTTCCACCAACCAACAAAGTCCTCTCCAACAGTCAGTAATTTCATACAATGGCATGGGAGGCATCCCAGTTCCCTTCCAAACAATTTCGACTCCAGCCAAAATTTCTCGCCGAGATATATGCCCAAAGTCGATGAAGATTCATAGTCTCGAATATCGATTCGTCAAAGTAAGTATCTTACCCCTAACATCAACGTTGATTATTCAGTCGTTTTATTAAGCTTGCGAAACGCCTATGATTAAGTATCTGAAGTCTACGTGCACCTTCTACTTCATAGGCCACGTTACTCAGCCAAAATATTAATAAAAAAGAGTGGGGACAAAAAAGTGAAAAACACCGATTTCTGTTGTGTTTAACAGTGTACAAACCCAATTGATTATTGGTTCAGTTGTGGAATCGCTTTAATCATGAGACCTAAAAGTCATACGATTGATTCTGAATAGGAATTACTAGTGCGTTATTACCAATTTTCGTCCAATATTATTTTTAAAAGTCTTTCTTTTTTAATACCTGTCACAACGTATTGTGCAAAAGAATGTTTGAAGTTCAAAGTTGACTTACGTCTAAATCGGCCCTCAACAACAACAAAGGTCTAATAAATTCACATCGTTCGCTTAAAGAACCAGGTTCCAAGACAGTTTGAATAATATCCGATTTCAATGCATACAAATCCATACCTTTTTCATGTGATGGAACACCAGTAATTGGATTGAATGGGAAAAGTACCCGTCGATTTGTAATCTACGAATAAACAATTTTATGGGATAATGTGAAAATTTTAAGAGTCAACAAATGTCATGAGAAGAGATAAACAATGAGCATAAATTTTTAACAGAGAAAATTCACACTAAAAGTTTGATAGGAACAAATGTTTCACACTCTCTTGGGAGGATGGGCAGTGAACATACTTGATATTATTGGTGATAAAACACTGCGAGTTCCACTTTCAGTGAACAACCAAAGTGGAATTAAATGGACTACGTGCTATCTAATATTGCTAGTTCATAAACATTATTCGTAATTTATAAATCCCTTGCGTTATTGAGTAAGATAGTTTAGATAGCGCTATCTACGAGAGTTAGTTACAAAACAAGATGAAAAAGGTTTGCAAATTATGTTATTATTATTAATGACTTTATTCAATATTATATTTTGGTACAATATAGAATTCTCAGCACAGGGAATTTCAACAAGTTTCTTACACAAAAAAAACAGAAACAAAGACAAAAAAGGGGAAAAAAGGTTTCAAAGAAAATCTGAAAAAACTGTACAACTTTCCAAATTAGAGACATGTTAAGAATGCAGATCATTGACTAGGTTAACTCTAACAACCTGTTCGTCACAGAGTATATTTGCTATGTAAGGTATTAAAGAACTTTTATACTTTTGCTTGTGTGCATGGATTTTAATGTAATTACGTCTCGTTCTACCAGAAGATATACAAGGAGAAAGATAAGAGTGAAGGGGATGGTTAGTATCTAATAAAATAACACCTGCCAGGAGTTTGCATGATTTTAAATGTCTATCCACAACCATATTAATTATGATCTCGAAAAATTCACCACACATCTTGCTAACTGCCTTCAGCACTCTCCGCAATATAGTAGTCTTTTCTCAAAAGCCCGGGAAAAAATAATGGAGAACAGTAAAGAATAATATGTAATATGCAATAATTGACAAATTGTAAGAGTAAATGACGAGTAACCTCAAGAGCATGCAACCTCCTTATGTAGTAAGTCAGACAGAAAACCTTCTTCGATAACAATAAAACGTGGGAAGACCAAGAGAGATCAGAGGAAAAGGTAACACCAAGATAATTGACCTTCGATACTGTGTTTATCAAAGAGTCTCCAATGGTACAAGCATTATGGGATTTCAAAATGGTGTTCAGATGCCGTTCACGTATCATGCTAAAGTTAACAGCTTGACATTTTGACGGATTAAGTATAAGACCATTACCAACAGACCAACAATCAATACGAGACAAAAACTCATTCATTTCTATGGGATGTAAAGAGGAAGAGATAGGCATACATACAGTGAGATCATCCGCATATTTCACAGAAGTGTTTTCTGTGGAAGATGGCAGATCATGCAGGAAAAAAGAGAAAAGGAGAGGTGAAAGAACAGCTCCTTGTGGTACACCTTCATGAGACAGCAGAGACTCTGAGCACTTTCCTCCAAACACAGTGTACTGTTCCCTTCCAGAGAGGTAGGAACATAGCCAGTTGGTTATCCAGCTGTCAGTGTTGACGCTGATTAACTTGTTAAGTAAACGTTGTCTTGGTATAGAGTCAAAAGCTGAAGTATAGTCCAGAAAAGTACATCGAACATACTTCTTACCCTTTTCTAAGTTGAACAATATGTTGTGATGCAGAACTGCAACAGCATCTAAAGTGCTTCTTTTGCGCCTGTATGCAAACTGGTATGGGTCAGTATGCTCTTTTATCGCAGGCTGAAGTGGAAAAATTAATAATTTTTCCATGGTTTTGAGGAAGGGTGAAGTTATTGCAATAGGTCTAAATTTTACATTCTTATCACCAGATGCTTTCTTGGGTACAGGAATTATCTTCATCTTTTTCCACACTTTCGGTATGAGATTAGATGAGAAGGATCTGTTAAAGATAGTCGTGAATGGATAACATAGGACGTCAGTACACTTTTTAAAAAGGAGGTTTGGGATACCATCAAGTTCCAAACATCGGGATGAATTAAGTGACTGGAGACATCTTCGGACATCAGTTTCAGTGAAACTAGGAACACAGATATTCTTTAAACTTGTGGATGAAGGAAGAATTACATCAGATGACTGACGTACAAAAGACTTATTTAAGTCACAGACGTTCAGCTGGTTATCGCTTCTAAACTGTCTGTCACCTGTAAGTTCTTTAAAGAGTTTCCACATACTTGAAGAATTCTTGCAAGCCAAGAGTTTTTGAGTAAACATACAGTTCAGACGTCTAACCTCAAAGTTTATCAGACCATTTAGCTTACGAACTTCATTAAAGTTTTTCTCCTTGTACATTCTTTCTTTATCCCTCTATAGTCGTTTTAGTTGCGTAGATGTAAGTCGATCAAAACTTACAAAAATGGTTTCAGTGGGACAACAAATATCAAAACAGAATTTAAGGTAACAAGTGATAACATCAGTAGTGATTTCCAGTGAGTCATCTGTAACTAATTCGCAGTTAATCGTATGAAACATGTCTTTTAAACTTCGGATATTTTCTTCTGAGTAATTCCTATATTTGACTTTCTTGGTTTGATGTAAGAGTGTACTCTTCCCATGCTTTCCATATACTTTAGGTAGAACACGAATTATACAGTGATCCGAGCTAGACAATGGAGCACGTTTACGAGTCGCATATATACCCACATCATTAATGAAAACGAAGTCTAAATGAGCATCCAAACGGGTAGGAAAATCTAATACATTTTGGTGACCTAGTGACGTAAGGAAGCTACAGTCACATGAATTGAAATCACCACATACAACTGAAAGTGAATCACTGAAGGCAGTAACAGCGAACTCAGTGAATTCACCAGCGAAAACAGATAGCGCAGATGATGTGCAGTCTGGAGTCACGTAGATATTGGTAACGTAAACATATTTGTATTTATTCAGATGTTTTGGACGACATCTTAGAGTTAGACACTCGATAAAGTCATTTGAAAACTTGAAACATGCAAACGAAGATCGACACCAGTTCACGTTTACAAACGTAGCTACACCGCCGCTACACCTCTTTTTATTGTTTGATCGATCCTGACGATAAATTTTGAAATCACGTAGTGATACTAGCAGTCTTCTTGTAAATCATTTAACCAAGATTCTTGAATTGTGATGACACCACAATAAAGATACATATTTTGACTAAGTAGGAATTGAAGATAGTCCACTTTGTTGATTAGTGATCGGCAGTTAGAATTTAGCAGCTCGGGAATCGACATACGATTAATGTTCATTCTCTTTAACGCATATTGCCAACCACCACGATGTATTTTATAGTACTTTTTTGTAACTTGTACAGAGAAAGGTAGTAGGCTTTTCATAAACGCACCTGTATAGTTTATGCGATTAATGGACATAATGAGACGTTAAAACAAAATGGAAAAACAGACTTGTTTAAATAATTAGATGGCAGAAACAGGTAGCCCAGATATTCAAGCAGGCCGCCGTTGAGACTATGTGTCACTTAGTTCTTTGATTACATTTTTGAACGAGACTAATTACATAATCTGTATCTAATCCTTAATCCCCAACAAATTCTATTGAGCAAGCTGTAATAGGGCCATCAATCTAAGTAACTTAACATCGGGTTCATTATGTTTAGAAGCTGAGTGTTTGGAGGAAATAGGAAGAATGCCTTTGATCAAGGTATCGCGTCAGTTCCCACTTATCATCAAGATACATCTATACTTTTAATGAAAATTGATGCTATCCATAAGGTTTGAATCAACCAGTATCCATCAAAAACTTTACCATTGATTTATTCAAGTCTTAATTGACCTCTTATAGGACTGAGATTCTTACAACTAATTCACCACCGATTAGTAACCGATGAAATGATTTTTAGTGTTGATGACCGATTTCCCGTTAACATTATAGACATGGCTTTCTGACGAGTGGTAAGTAGTATGAAACCTAGGTCCATAGCATTCTGTAGATTGCCGCCAAACACTTAAAAATAACAAAAATATCAATGACTTTATTCATGTATTTAAACACATAAAAATTGGTAAACCGATATATACATAGTTTTGTTCTCATGAAATTGTGATCTATACATCAATGCAATTAAACTATATATATATATATATATATATATATATATATATATATATATATATATATATATATATATATAATTAAAGTAGAATTAAAGCATACCTTTGATCGAAATAAAAGTGACATGATAGGTGGTAAAGGAAAATGAGCCAAATTACGCTGTTGGAAGAGGGCAAGCTTTCCATTAGCTAAAAGTTTTGCAGATGGGACAAAATAATCCCACACAATACGACCACGTTCACTTTCTAAACCAAACAGCTAAAAAATAGTTTAAGATGACAAGTAAAAAAGATTATGGTCACGAAATCTTCATTGTTTAAAAAAGCTGGAGAAAAGAACTATGCCATAATGAGGATACATATCATTTAAAACACGATAAAGAATAAACAAAATGATGTTTTATTTGTCTCAACACGCCTAACAGTGAAGCTTGCCCAGTTTAATGTACAGCTGAGAATAACAGATAGGGCTTTTTGTGATCTCATATACAATATCTTGGTTCACAAAATCCTGAATCAAGAAATTTGACGGATACCAAAATAGAGAATGTTAGGATGATATACAAGGTCAGAGAGTGATATCTGAGGACTTCCAAAGATGATCTGAACAATGATAATCGTGATAGAAAAAGTGCATTGAGGTTAAATGAGAAATAATTTGAAAGAGATGGAATTGTTGTGCATTAAATTTGATAAAATAGGAGTTTACATGACCTTAATTCATGTACTTACTAAATAAACGACCTACATATATATATCGTATGAAATAACGTAAGAATATTTTAGGTTTACAAATTGTAGGTTATTTGTTGAAACGTAGTGAGCATTGAAGACAATCGAACTTTTGAGACGAATTATCATTATGTTTTAATTATATGATTATTGGATAACTAGATTATTATTTTTCTATATACCAGGCATGTTATACTTCCAGTGGGAGCACACATAGATATTGGTACAAGGAAGCACCAAATACATATGCGCCACACAAATCTCATTCGATATGTGTGAGGGTTGTGATACTGCCCGCGTGCCCAAACCGAAGCAGGACCTATTAACTAGTGTTATACGACTTATTATTTTTAATTATTGTCAAATAATTCTGTACTGTCGCTCTGCACCGCTATATTAATTATATTAAAAGTATAATTTCTCATTCAGGGTGAGTTGTCGTCTGATAATTCATGCATATAAACTAATGAGTGTTTGAGATAGATAATACTGAGTGCCTGAAATGTTTTACTACTGTATTTTCCTGTTCATACTCAAGCCTGGGTATAGAAGACGTGTTCATTGGTGAACCAACAAGAGCTAAAAGTATTTCCATCTTAATTCAAGGTGAATCGTGACCGTTCAAAGCTCAGGACAATAACGTGTATGAAAATTTCCAAGATTCTTATTGGTGATGAAACTTATCAAGTGATATGGACTAACGTTTTCGTAGTCGAAACAGTCAGGGTGCTAAATGTACTCCAAACAATCCAGAGTAATATAAATATGTACATTCTAAACGAGGAATAATAAATAGAAATGATTATTTTAAGATAAGAACAAATTGCTGCGTCTGAGATATGGTCCGCAGCCTCAAATATAGGTTAATCATGCCAATTAGAGCGTATAGTTGGTCAAAGCTGTGTACGCGGGCAACTTTGACTGATAACACGATATGATATTCAAGAAAATTATTTTTAGAAATCGTTTAGAGAAATTTGGATAACTATACTAAGTTTTACAGTCAATAATGAATTCAGTGACACTTACTGTAGAAAATAAAACTAACAAAAAGCGATACTTAAATTCGACAGATCTCGTTATCAACTATTCGGTTTTTTAGTTTTACTACAATATCATTAAATATGACAAGTGTAGATCAAAGTACAATACATTAGTCACTCAGTATGCAGTATGGTGTACTGATGACGTTTTGACAGTCAGTTAATATTGACCATTAGGAAGAAAAACAATTTCCATAAAATCTCTAGAAATGATAACTCACAATTAAATAAGTAATCAGAACACTTACTTTTCCAACTGAAGTAGCTACAACCAACATTTTATGAACATTGAAATTATCACGTGTAAGTTTTTCATCCCATGACGTTATTTTGGGATCTATTTCAGATGATTTATAAAAATTTAGCTTATCGCCATCTACATTGTCAATAGTATTATCATTGTTAGTAGAATTATTGATGTGTAGAGAAGGAATTTGTGATGAAAATTGCCATCTAGGTGGAAAACTATGTGAAAAACTTGACAAAGATGGTGGATCATTTGATGAATAGTCATGTGAAGAAGGAGAAGATGATGGTAGCACTCTACGTTTTGATAGATCACCATTGGGTGAATACTTGAAAAGTGAAGTGGTTAATTTCGATGACGACAGTATAGTCATGAATAAATTTGGCATGTTAGAAATCCAATGTTTCGTCCATACCTAAATATGTTTGATAAAATAAATATAATATGGACATATATATATTCCACAAGCCGTCGGAAGCATCAACAAACAAGCACACAACTCATGCGCGTATATACAGTACAAACCTGCCCTTAGAAAACGTCACAAAATAGAGTACTAAAAAAGGAGATGAACCAATGATATTCAAGGTCCTTCCAAGTGTGAAATACAATCTGAGTGCTTTCACGCGGAAAGGAGAAATCCACACCTCCAAAATGAGACTTTTGTCAAGTGATTTCTGGGTATCTAGCATCTTCAACATTATTAACGTAAGTAGTATTATAAATATCACAAAGCTTTTTACTTGTCATGATAGAGTAAATAAACGAAAATGGAAAACTTTGCAAGCTACTATTTATCAATTTATTCAGGCAATTAATTATTGATATTCTGATAATGTCCTACTAATTTAGACAAAGGTTTTTTTCCACCTAGAGACATACAACTCAATAAATAACTTGAAATAAAAAGCTAAATTTAGAAAATTTTGAAAGCCGGTAAAAATTAAATATGGTAGCATTAATTCTCCAAACTATTTAACGCTCTAAAATCAGTTAAAAGAGAAAACAATTCACAAGATTAATTATATTATTATTACATGTTATGCGATGGGACAAAGAACAGGTCCGGTATGGAACTCCGCAGAGATACAAATCCATGACCCTACACAGAGGATTCAAACTAGGGGCGTTGCAAATGCCTAGCTTCTAGACCACCGTTGGATGGCAGCTGAATGGCCAAGAGGTTAGGCGTGCGTACGCGGGACTAAACACCTCAGTTTGATCACCATGTGCGGAATCGTGGATTTGCCACTGCCGAGGAGTCCCATACTAGGATGAAACGACTGCACTTCCATGTTTTCAACGTTTGTCTAACATAGATCAATATATGATTTTATTGAAATCCAACAACCTCTTCCAGTTCATACTGAAGAAAAAACTAACAATGGTTTCTGGTAGAAAAGTTTCGGAAGTTCGGCTAAGCTCAATATTCGCCATGTACTAAAAATATGATAATCATTTTGTTTTTTGCTATCGGAACATACGATACTTGAAAATTCATTAATTGTTTAGAGCTTAACCCTAAAAAGGAAACAGTTGATTAATCATGGAAAATTAAAACTTTTTACTTTTAGTATTATATACAAAAAATCAAACAAACTGTAGATAAAGTAACAGAAATCAATAACTTACAACTAATTGAGACATTTGTGTTTTTAAGCGTTGAATAAACATTTCCAGAATGTTGTCTGTTGAAACGAAACAGGAAAAAATGGAGAACATAATTCGAAGCTCTCCCACAGTATCAGAACACCAATCACAATAGGTAAATTACTTTTAACAACTAGTTTAACACCAATGTAACGAACCAAACCCAAGTTCAACAACTAATGAAAACCAGAAAGCACTGGATAGCTAATTCTTTTATTATGTGAACACTAGTAACTAGCTTCAAGATGCAATTCCTGAAGTTCTAATGAGAAGCTGTGACCAGCGGAGTCTAACTATGTCAGGTCTGAGACAGTCATTCACCGCAGACAATGGATGAGGATTGCGCAATATCGTGAAATGGTTGAGGTCAGATATGCACCCCAGTGGTCGAGAGGTTAAGTGCTCGCACGCGAGACTGGAGGTCCTTAACTCGACCCCCGGTGGTGGGGTCATAAAGACACAATACTGAGGAAGTCTACACTAGTAAGGGACAGCTATCATACTTCTCCAAGCTTTCATTGACTGTCTAACCTAACTCAGTCCCTGAACTCAGTAAAATTGAGCAATCTCTACAATCTCTTCATAGATAAGATGTATTAACTGATCGTAACGTTTCTACACTCACTTTTTTCTAAATATAACACTTGTGACCTTGGCAAAGAATACCTACCACCTTTTTACCAGAGGTTCGTTTGATTTACATCAATATGTATTCACTAGTAAACTGCATTTTGAAATTTTAGTGCACTATTATATTATATCTAGGATTTAGTTCTTTTGTAATGTCTAATTACGAATAATTGGGATTCTTCGCATACGAAGAGGGATGAATGGAAACTCCATAGTACGATGACTGACACGCACAACTTCTCGTTCATAGGCGAGATCGAAGGTTCTAGGTTTGACTCTCATATATGTGGTCATGAATGAGCATTGTTAGAGAGTCTTATACTGAGATGAAATCGTCATCCAATCCTTTCAGGTTCTTAATGATGGTTTATCTAAGATTAGTTCGTGATCCAAACTATTAAAAATACTACAATTTATACACTTCCCCCGACACTAATATTAGATAAATTCCAAACATTGTCTATAACTAATTAGTTACATGTTATATGATCGCGATGATATATAATTTTTTCGTATATTTTTTCCATGTGTTTTTGATTCATGAGATTAAAAAAGTACGAAACATAATAACATGGTCCAAAGTACAATCTTCAAATTTAGGGACTGTTAGTGAATTTATTACATTAATAGATTTCTTATTCGGACAAGTTGTATCGTCTTGTACTTTCAACTAATCTGTGTTTTGCTGAAGAAAGTGTTTAACAATTCAACTGCCGTAAGAGACTATCTATACGCTTTTTAATTTGCAGTAAATGTGCAGTATCTAATATTTTTGGGTATGCTGAGTTAGCCTAAGGTTGGGTTGTTGAAAACATTTTCTTAATCGGACATGTTTATTTTGTTTAATCGCGCAATAGGAAGATGGTCGCGCAATTTCGTGGATTGGTTGGTGTCAGACATAAACACCATTGGATGCCGGCTCTGTGGTCCAGTAGATTAAGCGTTCGCGTGCGAGACTGAATGCCGTGGGTTCGAATCCCGAGAGCGGGATCATGGGTGCGCACTGCTGGGGAGTCCCAAAATAGGACGAAACGGTTGTCCAGTGCTTCCAGGTTTCCAACTGTGGTCTAACACCAATCGGTTCATGATCTCAATAGGTTTGTTCCGGTGGTTATAGTAGTATAGCATAGTCTTTCAGTGGTATACTTTCTAATTAAGAAAAAAGAAGAAATTACGGGAGATAAAAGAAGGAAAACAAGTCAAATAGCCTGTTCATATAGTTTACTGACTGGTAGAAACAAGTTAACTTACTGCTTGCATGATTAAACTCTTCTTCAATTTTCGCTTGAAACTCTGAAACAGGCAAATCTATTACTTCAACAGCAACTATGTTTGCTAACGCCTCTTCACGAATCCATTGTTGTTTACCTAAAAAAACAAAACATTAGAGCTGCTGTTTAAAAAATTACAGACAACATATTGTCAACAATAGCCTTGATGAAACCATATAAAAATATTGAGAGTTATATCAAAAGCTTAGTGTTTGGCACATTTATGAAATACTTTAAATATCTTGCCTATAAGCTTTTTCGTGATGCATAAGCTGTTGTTAGATCTTATACTTTCATTAAATTACTGTCAATTTGATGATGGACCTATCACTCATTTCTCTCCCACTTATGGTGTGATTATGTTGATATTGTAATCTCGTAATCATGTTGTTGTGTGGTCAAAATTTTACTTGATAATATATGAGTGAGTCATAAATCTGAACTGCGGAGTTTAAAGTCTCCTGACTGCTTTGTTGTGTTCTGTCTTGGCTATTAAGCGAACAAGGGTGGCAAAACTGTATTCTGGACTAATTGTCGTCGTATTTTACCCTCAGTTGTAAGCAAAGTACTATCGTGTTATTGGTACCCGATAGTCTAGATGAATAAATTCATGCTCGATCTAGATCAACACAATTTCTCTCCTGTAATTACGGTCTGATTTCACGGACCCAAACAACAATACAAGAAACTTATTTTCTCATCATATAAAAACAAGGTATCCATTACATTGCCTTAATAAACAGAGTCAATCTACAATTTTTTATGAAACTTGAGAACTCGATAGATATTTAAGAAACACTAGAATGACCGTCGACCTCCTACGTTGATGAAAGCATTGTGTATGCGTGATTCCATTGTGTATAATGTAATAATTATTAGTTAAGACAAATGAATATAAAAAATTCCAACAAGTGTCTTGAAAATAGAGTAATTCTATTATCCGAAACCTTCAGATATGACCTATTTTTATAAGGATAGTTCAGTCAGTCAGTCAGTCAGTAACAACGTAACAACAGTTCGAGTTGCCATACCACATTAGCACAGAGATGCAGTGGTCGATTCAAATCCCGTAGTGATAGAGGTAGTAAGTGCATAAGCAGTAATCCAAAAGATTAGGGTTCGAAGACGTTATTTAAAGAGTATGATACAGTGAAATAAATTTGGGAAGAGAAAAAAGAGACAAGGGGGAATCAGGAGATCAAAATTTTGGAGAACACAAAGAGTGTATGCACCTGTGCCATTGCAAACGATTTTGAGCTATGTCATTCAGGGTCTCTAACCATCGGTTGCTATCATCTCGCGGTCCCCAATCAGGTAGTCGACACCTACCTACATGACTCAGTCCACTTGTCAGTGAGACTTCATGGACTTGTGCCCATAAGGATAGTTAATGAGAAAGTGTGAACAATTCACCAGATAATTATTGTAAAAATAAGCAGTGAGGAAAGAATTATTAAGACTGAAGAGAAATCCGTAGATTCTTAAAACATATAAAGGAGAGGAAACAAACTAGCGGTCTAACATTAAAGAGTTAGCACATATTGCTTAATCCATTCTTAATACGAAAAACGAGAAATCATTAATGTAATGATGTTAAGCTTAAGAACTACGAAAAATGAACTATTACCATTTTGTCGGATTAGTTGTACAGCATCATCTTCTGTATGTAGTAATAATCGAAAACTCGGAGTACCAGTAGCATCAGTAAACATGATGACAGATATCTGTCAAAGAAAAAACAATCAAGCAACAAAATACTTCTATAATACAAATATTTGGTAGACAAACTTTTCATTGATGATAAATATATAAGAATGAATTAGCATTAAATCAATAATAAAACACTGAGCGTAACATAAGATTTCGGTACAGACTAATTATATGATCAAAGAAATGTAAATAGTTTGACAGACCTAACTATAATAAAAGTGAATACATGCATCCACTGGAAAGCGTCATGCAGAAAATTTTACTCAGCATACATAAGAACTTTGCATTTTGTACTTTTAAAAATTAATTGCTTTGTTGGATTATTAGAGGACAATGGAAAATTAAAGTCACTCACTGAGCATAAAATCAATAATTCGTGGGAAGCTTGAAATAAATCGAGTGAGAAACTGTTTGTATCATAATTGAAATTATCTAACACAGCCAGAATAGATCAAATGAAGGTAAGTGGGTTAAATTTACCCTCAGTTCACATTTTATTATCAATATTTTTATTTAAAATAGATCAAATGTGGCTGGTAGTAACATCTATGATGCGTGTCCAACTCGGGACTAGGACCCAGTACCGTTCACTTCAGATTCCATTGCATAATTAACTTAGCTCTTGAGCTCAGAGTGTACAGGTTCGCATCCTGGAGTGAATATTAACTCTGGGATGCAGATACATTCAACTAATAAGAGAAACATGTGTCTTGGATTCCTCTGATAGCCACGTTCCATCGATTATGCATAAACTTGTATCATAATGTCTATATCGAGGCAACCCACACAGAATGCACATATGTCAATCAAGACTGACCAAATTTCAGTCAAAATATCAACAACGGGATGATCCGAACCATTTCAAAAAGTATTGTCATCAATATCATTATCTCACTGACAGATACATATTCGTGTGCTTAGCTTTAAGTCACACTTTAAATATGAGAGTTAATGATATTAACTATCTAAACCGAAATAAGCAGTGAGGGAAGTTCTAACGTGCGACTTAACAGCTGAAAGTGGATTCTTATTCATGCAACATTTAAAATATAGTTAAAATTCCCATTTTGTTATTTGGTAAATAAAGAAGGAACGAATTGAGCGAAGAAATTTCTTTTCAATTAGTTTTTCATCATGGCTCTACACTAATATATATACATTTTACAATAATAATATAATACTCATCGAGTAGATATGTTACGTAATAATTACATAATGACATTTAAATTAACATTGATTAATTGGAAGAAAGAGGATTATCAATATTCAAAGTGATCAAGAAGTTGCTACGTTGCGTAATGTAAGAAACGAAGAAGGAACAGAATTTTAACGGATGGTCAATAGGATGGTAGTTACGTAAGAATCAAGAGATGAATGTTGAGAAGTTATTAAGTTCAAAAGCAACAGAAATAAAATTACAAAGATTGAAAAGCAATTAACAGATTCACTGAAAGAAATTAAACAACAAGTTTTTATTTCAGAAAAGGTGTTTGAAATGTTGAAACCTACAGGAACGATGACACCAAGACTATATGGCCTACGAAAATACACAAAAGTGGCTTGTCCCTTCGACCAGTTTTAGATATGAATAACTTAGCGTATCATACTTTAGCAAAATGGTTGGTGCAAATTCTTAAACCATTACACATTGTCAAGCATAGTGTCAAGGATTCCTTTGAATTTGTTGAGAACATAAAATATCTATCAATCAAGAATAATTTCATGTCATCACTTGATGTATCATCTTTATTCACTAACATTCCACTACTAGAAACAGTTGATTTTATTTGCAATGAACTAACAGAGAGGCGCATAGAAACCCCGATTCCAGCATCCGCGATAAAACAGTTAATTCTTAGATGCACAGTGAATGTACAATTCAGATTTGACAACGAATACTATAGACAGATAGATGGAGTTGCCATGGGATCCCCATTGGGCCCTCTACTGGCTGATATTCTCCTTGCGAAACTGGAAAACGGACCACTTAAAAGCATAATTAGCCATTTACCAACTTATTACCGCTATATAGACGACACCTTCATAGTACTAGAAAAAGAAAATGATAAGGACAATTTACTTAATATATTTAATAACGTTCATCCATCAATTAATTTTACATCAGAAGATGAACTGAACGACAGCATATCATTTCTAGATGTCCAACTAAAAAGAAGAGCAGACGGAACTTTAAAAAGAGGGGTACACAGAAAGACTGCAGCAGGACAATACACTCACTTCCATAGTGCAGTTCCAATCAGATACAAAGGGAACTTGATAAAGATCTTGACACATCGGGCTAGAATGATTAGCTCTGAAGACAACATTGAAGAAGAATTTAATAATATTCGGAACCTACTTAGTATGAATGGGTATCCCATGAAATTCATCGACAAACATATGATGGAGAAGAAAACATGGACAAAGATACCCACCGTCCATAAGAAGGTACTATTCATAAAACTACAATTCATAAATGACACCATTGAAGAAATCTTGACTCAGAAACTAAGAATAGCCGTACAGAAAACATTTAATGCTGCCAGATTAAATTCCATCTTCTACAACTATCCCAAAATAAGAACAGCCAACAAAGACAGACTGCCTGAATTCGACAAATCTATGTGTATCTATCGTTTCAACTGCTCCTGTGCAGCCAGTTATATTGGGTGTACAATTCGGCAAGTCCGTCATCGCATTACTGAACATCATCCGTCGTGGTTAAACAAAGGACAGGTAAAAGTGATTAAAAGTTCTATTCTCTCTCACTTGGTTGACACAGGTCATCAAGTCGAATTGAATAAAGCTTTTAAGGTTATCTACAATATCCCATCTAATTTGCCACATGGTTTACGAGTGCGCCTCTTGCACACTGCGGAAGCCATCGCAATCCATGTTCACAAGAGATTCGTACAACCACTTTCTCTGCCCTGGCCATCAGTTTAAGATTTCCTTCAAAAGAACTATTTTTCATACTTCTTCCACTTGTTTTTTTAACTTTTGTAATTTTGTTTTTGTTGATTTGAACTTAATAACTTCTCAACATTCATCTCTTGATTCTTACGTAACTACCATCCTATTGACCATCCGTTAAAATTCTGTTCCTTCTTCGTTTCTTACATTACGCAACGTAGCAACTTCTTGATCACTTTGAATATTGATAATCCTCTTTCTTCCAATTAATCAATGTTAATTTAAATGTCATTATGTAATTATTACGTAACATATCTACTCGATGAGTATTATATTATTATTGTAAAATGTATATATATTAGTGTAGAGCCATGATGAAAAACTAATTGAAAAGAAATTTCTTCGCTCAACATTTAAAAGACAATCTAACTATAAACATATCAAAAATACCAGATTTCCAGAAAATGACTAATAAACACTGTACATCACACACTTCAAAATCAATGAACTTAACAAGTAAAACTATGAAGAAAAGCAAAATAAGGTTAATATACATTATTCATAAATTAAGAGAACAAATAATGTTAGGATATCTATATGCCCACAAATGCCCTGGTACTGACGAGGGTGATGAGAGACCGCTCCCGCTTTCGAAACGCTCTCACATGGCCACGCGTATACAGCCACTGCCATGGAAGTCCCACTCACTGTCTTCTCGCGGCATTACTGTTGTTTATGAAATTGAGAGGATGAAATGCGAATGTCTGGCACTTTAGCCGGGTTGGTGGATATGGGGAGTCTACCTAGGGGAGTTGGAGAACCCTGATTTCAAACCAAAGGTGTACATGGGCTCCAGGATCCTGAAGGAACAGATGACGTATGAACCTATTGTTAGTCACCGGCCACCATTGGACTGCATTTCCTGACGTTGCCCCACTGCCTAGTGGATTAGATCTTCAGACCAAAGGCTCCGGGTGTGGTCCCCTAAGAAAACCACATTCTTCGGTCTGGACACCCGAACAGTACCACAGACCTCACACAAACTAATGATAACTACTACTGGCCTGACTGTTATTGTGTGACGCATATATATATGGTGCCCCCTTGTATCGATGCGTATGTGTTCAAATATATATAAGAGGATCTTCTTTTTTCTCTTCACAGTCGTTAATACCAAACAACGTTGATATACACGATTATCAGTGCATAAGGTTTGTAAAGACATATAAATTTTTATAGTTTATATCAAAGATTAACTTTAGCTGAACAACCATGGAGCAACTAAACTGCACTGAACTGTTGTTTCAATTTAGAATAGGATTACACAGCGATAGTCAGTTATATACATCGTAGAACTTAGCACATATGTTCATCAGTTCAAATTGTCATAACACATTAGCACAGTGAGATGAAATTATCATAACAAATTCAAGAGTAGTTAAAGAAGTAACAATATCAGTAGTAGTAGAAATTAGGCATAGAAAAAAACGGTGTGAAGAAATTTCGGGACTCAGGTTATAGGAAAAGGCAAAGAGTGAATGTGGCTCCGTCATCGCAAACGATTCTAAGCCATTACACCTAGGCAAGAATGAACCGATACTATTTAACTAAGAATGAGATCTACATACAAAGATACCGATTATCTTCGCAGTAGTTACTTAGAGTAAAACTATAAACAAAATCTATCTAAAACTGGTAAACCCACTGATTCAATTGTACCATGATGACCATCGAGAGTGAAATGACGAGGTGGTAGTTCTTTGGATAATTCACCAGATTCTAAATCATAGATGTTTAGAGCCAGATTCTTGAAATCCTATCAAAACGATAAATAATGGAAAAAGTATTAATTAAAATTACTAGTAAAAAACAAAGATCCTAAAAATTTAGACAGGGTTTGATGCAGATGAGTTAAGTAAAATAAAGCGGTAAAGATACTTGTATTTACCCTTAGGATAACAAGAAAAAGATACTCATCGCTTAATGTTTCCAACTAATGGTGATCACTGTTAAGTATCAAAAATGATTTTCCAAGTGAACTGTTTAGCTTATTGGTAAGAGACCGCGTCGAAGTCCTCATATATTATAAATATGTATAGATAATTCACTCATCCACCAGGTACTTAAGTGTATGAGCTACAATCTGAGTGTGAGAGTTAATACTACCCAGTTGCTCATTCCGAAATAAATAGAGCGAAGATTGAACTTTGGACCTAGTAACTGAAAGCCGAACGTCCTTATCATTAAGCTACCGTCTCATAATCAATAACTGCATTATTACGCTTAGTTGTTTGAAGCAGAATTGGCTAATCTATAGAAACTTACCCTGTTTATGTTCAAATTATCCTCATCTCATCTTCAAATTAGGAGTATGATGTAGACGTAAGTATATCTCATTAATTTCACAATCAGATCAGGAAGAATAATTTGATTTAGATCACATGATACCCTGTGATTTTTCTGTTTCCTAGATGGTTGACTTTTCCACGCAAACAACCATGAGTACTAGTCATTATATTTTGGTAAATTCATTTGACACATCATCGAAAAGTTACTAAGATAGGCAAACAGATTCTATAAAATCCAAGTGCTTACGTTTAGAACTCAGCATATATCTAATGTGAAAGTCCTAAGTCTTGCAACACTGAAGACTGTGAAAATTTTCATGCACACAATCAGTTGCACAAGACGGTAGACAACATTTTGAAGATGTAACATTAAATTAATCTCAAGTACAAATCAACACAAGTCATCTATGGACCAATGAAACTAATTATTTGCACAGAATATAACAGCTGAAGAGGCCATGAATCGATGAACTAACTGTTATAAACCAATTCCTTGGAACACTCAGTCATCATATTAGTATAATAGGACAGATAAGTTGTATAGAAGCTTGTTGACCGTACACTTCTTTATTAACGGCGGACTAAGTGAAGACATCAGAGTTATTACCGTCAACACCACCTATAGTGAATGACAAACTTATTATAATAAACATATATGTCACAAACATCTTTCGGTGAATATTATCTAGCAATGATTTTAAGTATTGTCGCACCAGTGTGATTATGGCAATATGTATAAATATCCAAGATACTATCAGTTAGTTTATTCGATGCAGAAATGGAACGCTATAAATGCATCCAGATAACACCAACTATATAAACAATCAAATAAAAGTCCTACAATGAAAGCTATGAATATTTGAAACATTTTAGCTTATTTTGAGCAGATAGTGTTAGGCAGTCGTAGAAGAAACTGCAATAATTTAAGTTAATGTAAGGAGATGAAAAATGATATCATTACCTGACTTGAATTGTGATGAAGTGTAAATAAATACGATCGACCATTTAGCGTTCCCAAACATCCAATCATAGCCTATAGTAATAATAATAATAATAATAATAATAATAATAATAATAATAATAATAATAATAATGAGTTAAAACAATTAGTCCCTTTGATAAATTTCGATAGTGATATTAGAAGAGGAAGATTATCAGAACTATGTGATATAATAATAAGATGATTAGGTTTCGTTTTGTGTTCACATTATTATTATTATTACTCTTATTATTATCCTTATCTCCTCTTACCCCGTTTCCTGTATAGTTGATCTTTTATTTTATATATATATAAATGCTCTTAAAAAGTGTATGTGTGACCAGATTGTTCGAAATGTGTTGCGCTAATATATCACATAGTTCTGATAATCTTCGTCTTCTAATATCATTATCGAAATAATAATAATAATAGCAGCAATAATTTAGGTGTTCATTCTTTGCGTTGGATGGTTTGCTCATGGAGCTTTCATTGTTTTATTGGACATCATCATCTTGTCGACAGGACAAGCTGTGAGTCATATGTGGAGAAATTCGAACACTTCAATTCTACCTGAAGTTTGTATTGATGATGTTATTCAGAAGAACAATGAAAGCTATAGGACCAAACCATCCAGCTCAGAGAACAAAAGCACCTAAATCATGCACCTGAGCTGCGAATCTCAACAACAATAATAATAACAGTAATAGTAATAATAAACTAATCAGGTGCATTTATTCTTATCAAAGAAATGAAGCTGTATCTGTTATGACGGAGAGAGTATAGAAGACATTGGAACTTCTAAAACTATTTTATGTGTTACTATTTTTATTTATATTTCTACTGTATAATTATTAGAAGACTGAATTATTACGTTTACATATCTCCCATATTGTAAGATTCCAATGGACTTGATAACTACTGCTGTATACGTTTTATTAGTCCTTAATTATGACTAATTATTCATTCACTTTTTTTCCGGAGTTGTCCTCCATTTTTGGTGTAGTCATACCTACTATGCCATTGCATGGTCATGTTGATTTGAGATCCGTAAATTTGATTCATATTATTGTATGAGTTCATTTACACAAAATATACAACTGTACCACTGGTTGCAGTGTTCTGTCATGGGACTGTAAACGGCTAACAGAAAATACGTTCAGGACCACTGGGGGTTATGATTGTTCTTGGTCTCAACTTAAGGTTAAACTTGCCAGTAAAAACGAAGTAGTAAAGTATATGTGGGGTAGAAAAATATTACAGGACTATTATTGGTGAATCGTTTCTCTAGATATCAACTAACCTGAAGTCATGATAAAAAGTGTAAGATAAACAAAGTGCTGACAATTACTGAAGCTTGTAATACGAAAGTACTCCGGGGAAATTTTATAAAAAACAGTATGATAAGAATTCTAAGAACATTAACCTTATAAAGGCTCTCTACTCGAACACAACTGGTCGAGTGAGAGCTTATGGCGAACTGTCATCAGAATTAATTACCTCAAAAGGTGTTCGTCAGGGCTGTCTACTCTCTCCATTCTTGTTCAACTTTGTCGTCGACGTACTTTTAGAGATAACACTTTCCTCGTCTAGATTTCCAGGGGTTGAACTTGTACCGGGAGGTTCACTTGTTGACTTAGAATATGCTGATGACATAGTTCTATTTGGTGAAGACGCTGACAAAATGCAGAGTCTCCTGACCACTCTAAGCAACAATGCAAGCATGTTCGGGATGCGATTCTCTCCCTCGAAATGCAAAATGTTGCTTCAGGATTGGGTTACATCGACACCCGAACTAGTGATAGGGAGTGAAGTAGTTGAGTGTGTCGACCGCTTCACTTATCTTGGAAGTCTCATCAGCCCTTGTGGTCTGGTGTGTGACGAAACCTCAGCACGGATACAGAAGGCTCGACTAGCTTTTACCAACTTGCGTCATTTATGGCGTAGGTGAGATATCCGTCTATCAATCAAAGGACGTGTTTGCTGCGCAGCAGTTCGTTCCGTCCTACTTTATGGCAGTGAAACATGGCCGGTAAGAGTAGAGGATATCCGTAGGTTACTAGTATTTGATCATAGGTGTCTTCGAAATGTTGCTCGTATATCCTGGGACCATCGAGTAAGTAATACAGTTGTTAGGAAACGGGTACTAGGTAAGGATGTTGGTAGGTGTAGACTACCTGGTTGGGGACCGCGAGATGATAGCAACCGATGGTTAGAGACCCTGAATGACATGGCTCAAAATCGTTTGCAATGGCGCAGGTGCATCCACTCTCTGTGTTCTCTCAAATTCTAATCTTCTAAATTCTTCATGTCCCTTTCTTTTTTCTCTTCGCAAATTTATTTCACTGTATTATACTCCTTGAATAACATTTCCAAGCCCTAATTTTTCTGATTACAGCTTATAATTTTATTACATCTAGTACTACGGGATTTGAATCGATCACTGCATTTCTGTGCTAATGTGGTATGGCAACTCGAACTGATGTACGTACGTACGAAGTTCTACGTTGTTACTGACTGACTGTACAAGTAAAATGTTATTTTTGATGCAAAGAAATATTTTATTCTTACAGTATTATATTCACAATAGATGTATGCACCATCATATTACTTGTATTCGAATCTAATTTCAACTTATTTCACCTTAACAGATTGAAGTTAATTACTTGAGTTAACCAGATGACGCCAGTAGTGGTTAGTTGCAATAACAATTTCACTTGTATGTTGAAACTTTTAATATTCAGATAGCGTAAAAAGTGTTACGACAGATTTTGCAAATCTTTAACATCCCTGGTCATGAAACATACACTGAACATTATTATTCATTTCACCTCACAAAAGACGGACAGACAAATAAAAGAATATGTGAATTCCGTCTTATCAACAAAAGATTAACTAATTGGTAATAAATTCCAAAAGTTCAATTCTCTTTAAAAATTTTACTGGAAAAGTTATTGAGAAAGAATTGAAAACTTTACAATTAAACCATTTATAAAAAATGCCCCAATACTAACGAAATACTTTCGTTCTAAGTTACAAACATTATGCACTATATAAGTGATAACTTATTACGTCACAGGCGTGTATTAAAAGTTAGAAAAAAGGAAATATCGTAGTAATTTGGGGATAATAAAAATTAATAATTGAAAAACTGACACTGACTTTACTTACATTATTGACAAAGTATTTTACAACTGGAATACCAGAGGGATCTAAATGATATACGGCCCCAGTGGTAGGCTCCAACGATGAAGAGGTTAACAGAAAATCATTGTCTGTTAGCTTAACCATATTTTCAAAGGTCTGAAGCATCAAAAAGACACAAAACGTGAAAAACGCCGATAAATATCTAGATATACGTTTTGACACCACACTACAATGACATACAAATTAACATCCGCAAATCCAAATTGAGACTAAAAATTTGAGAAATCAGTTGTACGCTATCATAAAGAGTAACGTTATGACGAATAATAACAGCCTAGAATTACCAAGAGTTGGGATTCTTTTTGCTATCCATCTGCTTAGTAAGGACTAAGTGTACTGTACAGCAATCCGCTTCATATCAATCTACGGGTTTGAAACATGGTCTATGAAAATAGAAGATATGCGTAGGCTGCAGATTTTTGATAATAATTGTCATTGAAGGATTCCTCATGTATGGTACAATATAACTAAGTAACGAATACTGAGGTTATGCTTATGGTAACGGGAAAAGATAATAATCATTTGATTAAATTATTGACCTATTATCGACTGAGGTGGCCGGGATATTTGTTACATATGCTAATCATCATCCACCTCGGCAAGCAATGTTGGTTGAAGTAGCAGTTTGGAAAAAAATTGTGATGCCGAAACCAAGACATTGTATCAGTATGTAGGGTCATTGTTTGACTGAGTCGTTTTAGTAGGCGAAAACTACCTAGTTAGGGTCCGTGATATAACCACGATTAGTAGTTGGAAACGTTGGGTGACGTGAATTAAAATCGATCATAGTGATAAAGATGCATTTACTCTTTACCATTACTTTCAGTCCTCGATTTCATCTTTTCTTTTAAATCAGTATCCTTTCGTGTCTATACTCCCTCACTATCACTGATTTGAACTATTGCCATCCTTCATGTCATCTTCATACGACAATCACAAAGGCTAAAGGACATATGTGCCAGGCTCCATGTTGATCATGACTGACTGATATCTACGATAGCAAACTTATGATAAAGCAGAATATGACATGAGTATATATCATTTTAAGTTGTCACACTACATATGAACAGATAAAGAGATGACATTGTCGAGGTGGAAAGTAGATGAGAAAGAGATAGTTCAAGAGAAATGAGTGATATGTAGATCCAAAAACTACGTAATAACATGAAGCCCTAAATCGGATGTAGCTGGGCCGTTTCGACCGATCTACACAAAAAACAACCAAAGATGTAAAAACGATGAGGATAGTATAGTACAAATTGATCAGTACAAATCTTGAGTTTACTTAGTATTACCTCGTAGTAAAATCAATATTTAAGTACAAGTAACGGAAAATCGTTTTTGTATCTACTTCATCACAGACAAACAGAACATAAAAGCTAGCAATGAAACTACACTACTCAGGGATTATCATATATAAATCCAGTTATTTGTATACGAGAAAATTTACTCCGTGCTTTAAGTCAAAATACAAAAAAAATCAGCTTACGCTTTTCACTGTGATAACGTCCCAATTCGACGATGAAACAGATGAAAATCTAAGCACACTTCCCTGTTTACCACGCCCCGACGATAAACACACAACAACGGCATCAGTTGGTGTGTTATGTAACCCGAATATATTGCACCTAGAAGGTTAAAATGGTTGTGGATATAATCGAAATTGTCTTTTTTTAAATGTACAAATTACATTGTGAGAAGCGCATTTTGTTGTGTTAAATGAGGTTTGGATTATCAAGACGAGAATTCTTACTACTTCACGCTTCTTATAAATAAGTTAATGAAATGTGTACGAGATGCTAGAAGAAAAACTGCGAATTGAACTAGTACACTGGAACAGAACTTATTCTAAAGTCTTAGACTTTAAAAAACATCGAGCATGTGGAATTCATTTTCACCATAGACATTCTATTAGAAATGATGCGTTTCTCGTCTAACTTTTCAGTAATTGATTTACATATAAACTTACTTATGGGCCTAGAGTGTATATAAATGACATGGCTCTGTCTGGTAAAAGACATTGACATAATCCAATCTTCGAAAAACTGAATAGCAGTGTAAAAATACGTGAAATGTATTTCTAAATGTGAAATGTTGTTGAACGACTGGTCTAAGTTAATGTCTGATTTTACCACTGAGTGAGATAGCTGAACGCATCGACTACATCTGGAAATGTTGTCAGCATCGGAACCTAATGGTTAACAAAATTCCAGTTGGCTTTTGAGAACTTTTGCCATTTGTTGTGTACATAAGGCACATATTTACCCTTCAAATGTTCAGTCTAGTGCACAGTGGTCCGCTCTGTTTAACTCCATGGCTATAATATGTGACAACTGAAAGTATAGGACATTACCAAGTTACTGGTATTTGACTACAAATGCTTTTGAAGCATTTCTCGTGTATGGTGGAACAGCAGAGTGGACAATAATGAAGTCGGAAGCAGGAGTATTAGTCGTATATATATATATATATATATATATATATATATATATATATATATATATATATATACCTTTTATCATAAGCTTTCATTTGATTTGTTAGCTACTGCAATACGATTTACCATTCTTAACTTATTCCCAATTTATTAGTTATAGTATCCCACACTCACAGCCACTTTTGGCTTGATCTCGTACAATAATTATTTTCGACTTTATGATTTGATGCGGTCTAGTCTGCTTGTATATAAACTAAGTATGTCTGAAATACACGATTCCAACAGCGGAGGCTGATATTTGTGATCTGAACTGAACAGGTTGAACTAGGCGAGAAGTTGCTACGCAGAGGATCAATAAGGGCTCGGCGTTGACTCAAGACTACTAGAATTGTTTGATGCATTATTGTTTTAGCACAGGGACAATGTCATAGAAGTCGGTATTCTGATTGGCGATTTTGTCAAGTGATATTGGACAGACCATAGGACATAACAAAACAGGCTGATTAGAATGTGCATCTTCATCGGCCAAAGTCTGAGACATATGCTGCGCATCCCCAATCAACGCCTATCTCGACAAAAAGTGCTAGTTGAACTAGAAGTGGCAGACTTTAAGAAAGCTGAAGACGGACAAACTAAGACGCCACATCACTCCATGAAGTCATCGTTGGACTGAGCAGCGTTGGTAAGCGCAGACTATGTGGTTACGGTTAGTCAGGTAACCGCGATTAGTGATTGGGAATGTAAGGTGCGATAGTTCTAAAATGACTAATGATCCAAATGTATTGACTATTTACTCCCCTGGATTTTAAGCTCCAAGATTATTTAGAACGTTTAATTCTGAAAACTGATTAATTCGCTTTGAACCCCATTATTTATTCTGTATTTCACTTTCACTAATAACTTTTATGTTCATTACTTTGCCATTCACCCTGTCGATTTCATTTGGCTGTGCTGATGTGACATGACAATCACCAAATCCCATGTTGACTAAGACTAACTAACGGAACGGAGATTGGAGCAATAATATCTACTCAATTACTTTAATGTCACTAGGCTTGTCAGTTTTCAAACTCGTTAGTCCCTGGGGAAGATGTTGATGACTATAACCTGAAAGCTACTAAGCTAACGAACAATGTGGACAAGTAGGCGTGTTACAAGATTTCTAGTTGTATTTGAGTCTAAGAACGGTTCACAAACCACCAGGTTCCAACCAACTCTGATTGCTTGTCCACCTTTCGTTAAATTACTCAAGATTCAGTAAATGACTTATCAGCGATACAATTGATTGAAATCGTATGGATTTACGATCCTTTAGCATATCAAATAAATAATAATACCTTCCAATACTCAACCTAATATAACTGATGGATACGTTAATTGTATTATACTGGTGATATGCACAACTGGATTGGAAATCTCACGAAATGAGAAGCAAATCGCGTAAACTGAAGAATCAAGTGGAAAATTTTCCTGGGTGGAGATAAGCTAAATAAGTGTTGCCTCAGAACAGCAAACTTAATTTTATTTTTTTACATAAAGGCAAGGTTACTGCAGCAAAATTCACTTACGAGTGTTGGCTATAAACAGACGACTGAATTGTATGGTTCTTTATGACCATAGGGGTTAATTGCAATCCAGAACTTGAAATTGGATATGTTTTGATAATTATATAAGATAATTCAGGTGTATCAATATCCAGATGATCACTCTTATCCAGATATTTTTCGACTAGTGAGATTGTCGAACTGGATTCAGTTTTCCCAGAAACTATATTTATTTGAATAGGAGAACTTGAATTCCTACAAATGTTCCAAAAACCAATGGTACAAACTCAAGAAAGGTATCACAGGAGAGTAATAATCAATTAACCAAAATATTAACAAACGTATAAAAGTGAAAGCGGGGTTATAACGCTTTTCCATGAAAATAAGCTTAACTCGGGCAATTGGCCTTAAGAATGCACAGATTTGCTTAAGATTCCTCTCGAACGCTACCATATGGAAAAGGAAAGTTAATAACATTTAGATGGGATTAAACAAAACAAATATAAACAGCGGAAGTGGTTGTGATAAGACAGCTTAGTTTTAGTGTGCGCAGAAATATTACTTAAACGTTTGGCAAACGCATTCAGTGAAAGCACCAAAGAAATGGCTCTACTTACAACCTTCCTATTCTTGTCATGAAACAAATAGTATGATTGTAGGTCCATGTGAGAAGTCTGGATAGAAACCGACATATTTTAAGGTTTCCTGTCGACATCTGAATGCAATTAAAATTAACCGGAATACCGACATAGGTGTTATCAAGACTTTAAATCTATGGGCTGGAATACCAAGCAAAGAATGTAGAAAATGGACAGTGACAAGCTTCGAACGTTTCGCTAACCATTGGTCATTGAAACCATGCTCCTAAGGGCTATTCTGAGATTTTAGATTCTTGACTCGCTTAGGGCAAATAATGTTACGGTAAGACTGAATAGTTACAAGGAAGAACTTGTTCCTGAAAAGAGATAAGAATTCTTGCAGCTGATCCATATGCTAAGATAGAAAACGAAATTCAATGACACTTAAGAAACGCCATCGCTACAAAAGCATATCTTTGATACATAATGTTATCTTGACTTTGGAGTCAACGCACTCTTAGTTTCCGTCTAAACATCCAGAGTTTATCCAAATAAAATTTTCATGTTTCATAAGTCCCCTCCCCCTCAATAATTGCTTATTTAAAACGAAGTGGTTAAATTTAGACCAATCGGAACTACCAATTGCATTCAACAAACACATGCCAAACTGTTACCACACTAGTCAAGTCGGATGCAAAGTATGTTAGCGAACCGTTGTGGAGTGACGTAGTGTAACGCACTCAAAATCTTGCTCTACTAACTGCTAATTTTCCGATTGTCGCACCATTTGGATATATTTTCCACTGTTAATTGCTGACATTTTTGAGTGTAAGTGTATTGAATGTGCTCACCGAAATGTTATCTCTTCGTGTTCTTTTCAGCAGATTTGTTGACACGTTACTATTTATGCTCCCACTATTAAATGATATACCTTCAGACTAAACTCAAACTGCTACATATTTGCATCACTTCAAGGAATCAACTCCTAAAGTCGTTACACTCATCTGATCTAACTACCCACTAAAGCAGAATGATATGGTTTTGAAAAACAACGAGTACATATGTAGTTCATTAAACCTAAAATCATCCTGAAAACCCTGAAATTATCGGTCGCATTTTATTGGGTTCGCTAAGTTCGAAGATGCGATTTTTTTTATTTCACTTGTTTTAATGTTAACTTGGAAAAAAATGTTTACAAAAAGTGATTGTGAGAGAATATTTAAGAGCGAAGCTTATGGATATAATACTTACATATTTCTATCAGACAGCAGCTTTTCACCTGTTTCAAGATGATAGGTATCCACTCCTTTATCGTAAGCAACAACCAAAATTCCTGAGTTTTCATCACACCAAATGTCTCCACTGTTGATAAGCATAAGCAACAAGTATTTATATTACCTGGATGATTCAGAAGAATCTATTAAAATCTCCCATAGAACACCGCCAAACTTAACGTCCCAAGCACGCAGCTTAGTCCCATGCCTGGAGGAAAGAGAAAACAACTCTAAATGTATGTACGCATATTTTTAAGGACTTACTATTGCCACACAATTCAAATCCAGTTAATTCACCGTCCTCGTCAAGTACCTGTCGCCAAACTACAAGCAATTACACAACCCTAAAGCATACCAATTGACCCATCCTTTAAATTGATAGAGCTAATAACGTTGAGTTCAGAACCCACAAAATAGTTTTTAGGGGTAGTCCCATCAAACTTTAATTTTGAATACTTTACTTTCCCCACAAACTTTTGATTCCTTAAAAAGAGCATCAGTAAACTAATAAGGCATACCAATCTAGAACGTCAGCCTGATCTTCATATATGGCATTAACGTTGAGTGCAAGTAAAACCAGCAGCCATATGTCTGAAATCATGTCACTGAGTACCGCAAGAATCTAATGACCCGCAGTTCAACTAACGTCCTCTGATGACAAAACCGCAAACCTTCCAAGCATTAAAAAGAAAAAAACTTGATATTCATTGGGAAATATGTATAACGCATTATATGTGGTTCTTCATCACGAATACACCATCCATCATAGAAAATAATTCGTGCATTCCCTTGTTCAATGATTCATGCTCTTCTCCCTTTCATTGTGAACCTCACCAGTCACAGTTCAACATGCCAGGAATTTTTTAAAACATCAAGTAGACTTAGCTTCGAATCATTTTTAACCACGTTTGGTGCATTCATCGCCTCTTGTCTTAACTTCCCTTTTTAGGATGACGTCAAATATGAGTAATCACTAACCAGGTCAAACTCAGGCAGCTCAGCCGGACCTCAATGTTCATAAAGCGTTGTCTAAGGGCTAGACATCATTTTTATGGTATTTCTCTCAAAATTATGTACGCTACACAAGTAAACTTCAAAGATTTTTCACTCATTCCCTATCTATATATTCATTCAAAAAAAGTTACGTTTTGAATCTCTTAACCTGGAGGGCTATCATATGATGAAAGATATGAAGAATAAGCTAAACTATATGTTCTCGCGTATGGGTCACGTGTTGTCGAGTATTTTGGATGTCTTTATTTATCCGCTGTGAACAGCGTTTTAGCTGTTACATGTGAATTTTTGCAATGTTTGTGCTCGTTGCATAGTTTTTATCCTAGTTTATCAGTAGTTTGATGTATTTGTTACTGACTATCTGGATGAATGTCAAGTCAACTTTAACATGGTTATTTTTATCAATCTAAACTCAAGCAAGTGAAAAGCATTATTTATCACGTCAGAGATAGATTACTGTCAGAATTTTTAATCAAAAACGGGCTCTAAAACCCTTTAGCATCTGATTTATTGCCCCAACGGATGCTCATAAACAAGGATGTCCGGTGACTGCTTAGTGAATACAGGTTGGGGCAGTTCTGTGTAAAACTATTTCCGAACATTATACGATTTTCTGGTGTATAATCACAAAGAATTCTAACCATTATCCGTATCACCACTTTTGACAGGACTGACATAGTGATATGTAACTTTCTTCAATCTTTCGAAGGAGCCCTAGAATTAAACTTTTCTCATATCTTGCCAGTCAGACTTTAATATTGCTAAATTCCTAGGTAGAAATTTCAAAGTGACCGCTTACATTGAAACTTGTCTGGAGTTGAAGTCGGGTGTACCCTGTCGAGTCCAAAAGGATATCCCTAGTCTGATATGCATTTTCACTATCCAAGTGTAAAATCCACTTGCACTTTCCCATAAAAACATGTAGGAAAATTTCACCATGTGTTTCCTATATAACTAATTACTTGTCTTTCTCAGTGTGTACCGTTTCTTCAGTTGTTGTTGGTATCAATGCATATTCTGTTTCTATTTGAGTTTATTTACCGTTGTTATTATCATATCGCTTGTCATTTCTGAACCTATGTTTAATATTGGTTGTTGTTACTGATGTGTTTTCAGAATGGCGTTTCACTTTCGCTTTCTGTAAAATCTCGAATTACGACAGCTACCATATTTGTCCTTGGTGAGATAGATGTTCGACGTTTTAACTATTAACAAAGTTTATTGGTTGAACAGTTAAACGTTAAAGTTATTCACTTGAGGTTCGGACAGTATTCCTGTGTCATCAAGATCCCCTTCACCTTTGTCAATTACTTATTGTATACCCGCAATATTTAATTGCCTAATGTCCTTAATAGACCTTACAAGTCTATTGGTGTAGCACTAACAGTACCCCCATTGCAGGTACGATTGAAACATATCCTGTTTTATTTGTAATTGCACCAATCCACTTGGTACAAGTCGTCTTTATTATCTTGTACAGTTTTGTGAGTTTTTATGCGGAAATTATAATCCATTATCGACCTTATACTCAACTTCAATGCACCATTACTTTTTTCCTAGTCAAGTCTATTTGTATTGCAGCACCTTTCGAAATTCTTGCCTGCCTACTGGTCTGAAATTCTTTATGATAAGGAGATAATGCACTAATACCCGTAGATTATCAACAAAGGCGATCTAGTTGGATGACTACTGATCTGGACGAGTTGAATGGGAGCGGTGTGACCTCCTAGGTTACTTCGTATTTACGTTCACCAGTCAGTACTTAACCTGAATTATGCTATCGTGACAGTTGCATGAGTCTCCTCGTTGCGTGTAACTAAATGATGCTCGTCAACCTTCCTTTACTTTTACGTGAATAGAAAAACTTTTCTACATTCACTAACCTTCCTGTTGGATGATATAAGCTTGTTTTCAGTGGCTCCACAGATTATTCTACCAATATGACCGCCACCCGTGTACAACTTTCGAAGAATCAACTATGGCCCTGCTAGAGAAGGGTTCAAAACGGTATCCTGGTCCAGTGAAGACTCTGCATTTGCGTTGCATTTATTTGCCTCGAAAAGCAATAATGGAGAACTTGTTAGTCGCGTGCAATGTAGAACCTGGTGGTTTAGCTGTAACCAGTTGGATTATCTGAACCTACGTATATGGCTCAATATAACAACGAATGGCTTGGTAGTGTGATTTGTGTGTATTAAGGCGTATTATTTCAACAGTGCTTTATTTATAACGTATTTCAGTATTGAAAGGTCTTCGGTACATCGTTAACTTACCAATAAGTAGATGAGCTGATACAATCACAAATATCTTTAAGTGAGAACTCGCTATCAAGTTACAGATTGTTTTAAAATTTGCGCTATTATCTGCAGTTTTCTTATTTGAGACCATGCGAAAATGAGGACTGATTAGTCAGTGTGCGTTTTCCTATAGATGTTAGTATTTATCATAGTATTCAAAACTAAAGAATCATACCGCATAAAGTGACCTCAAAATAGCCCATTGCAGCCACCAACATTAATGAAGCTATTTAATAAATCAAAGATTTTTAGTATCCATCTAACATTATGGGCGACATCGTGTAGTAATACAAAATATCTCAAATCCGATGAGTCCAGCAATGGACAGTGAGTCCGACTTTTTAAAGAAGGGATGGAGTTTATGTTAATGCTCCCCGCTTGGTTATAACAGTCAACACGTTATGAAGTAACGAGCAGCTTACATCGACTTATATTTCCACACTTTCGTGTTAATAAGAAACTACATTATGCAACAGGCATTCTATTAACAAAACAATGTTGAATAGTGTTAATCTTCTAGGCGGATAAATTTCACCTAATGAATTTTGCATGATATTAGCACAAGAAGATATCGTATAGACAAACACCTCAGAGTTGGATAATGTTTGTCGCTAATACAACTGACCACACGTCCAAATAAATCACTTCATACACGGCTGCTAGTTGTCTATAATTTCCAGTTGGTATAACTTTATTCTTATACTTTGTAACAAACAAGCGCTTCCACTAACAAGGAGAACTACTAGGAAATTTCAGGATCCTTATAATATGCTTACTGATGACGCATTTACTTCGTTCTTCCAGAAAAATTCGCTAGCTACTTTTGAATACTAGAAGCATAAACACAAAGCCTCACGACTGTCAGTCTATATGTACTGAAAACTACATACTCTTACAAAATAATGACAAAACGAGGTGGGCGTTTTTGACGTAGCCAGGGAAAAATGAAAACACATTCTTGTTATTTCGACATTGTTCCAGTTATTCGATAATATCCAGTAGGTGGTAGACTGACCACTTAACTGAATCAATTCTAGTCAGTATAATAGCTATTTGTGGGTAGTACATGAGTGAGTGCATTTTTATCAGGGAAGGAGTGATTCTGGATACTAACGGCTATCACATAGCCAGGCATAATGTTGGTTGACTGCAATGGGAAGATAACAAATTTATAACTCAACAGTTAAGAGATGATTGTGAAGATCCCACAGGTAGTCGGAGTTTGACAACGCTTTAATCAGTTACACCTTCTAATATGAAGTGCACCCACCAAGTGAAATCAAAAGACAGAAACAAGGATGTTCGAAGACATATTTGATAGGCTATCAATATATCGAGGATCGTCTGACCTAATCTGGGTAGCGATTGCAGGGGTTGTTGAGCACGGCGTTCCAGCCCGTGATCTGGTGTGGATGCATGACCGAACGTTTTCAGCTAGGTGAGTCCATTAAAACTAATGTGGTCAGCATCCAATGTCGAAAACTTACAGGATTATTTATTTTGGGGATTTATTTACCACTACAATTGTCTAACAAATAAATTCATGGTTTTCTTAATTGGTGATGTGTTAGAAGATGGAAGCGAAAGAGGAAAATATGAAGAGATGATAATGAGAGACATTGGAAGTAGCTACTGGTTATGCGGTAATGATGACAGTGGTAATTTAAGAGACAAGCATCAGATAAGGCTGGTTCAAATGAGGGATAATAATCCGTAAGTGAGTACGTGTTTTTCGGGCCTCCTCTTGAATTTATCCGCCTTGGTATGAAACATACTGTTTTCTAAGCAATTATGGGAAGATACTAGCCAAACAATACCAAATGAATGCTATTTTCTGGTTAGTTTCGGAGCTAGGATATAATTGGTCCAGCGAAACCCATCTTTGCAACCTTCACTATGAGAACGACATGAGTTACTGGGTCAAAAACTTTTAAGTAATCTAGAAATATTTCGCGAATCAGTATCTTATAGTCCCAGCACGTCGTCCAGCTTTACCATGCCATAAGGAGATTTGATGCACATGAACTGTCTTTTCTGGACCCGTGTTGTTTTGCGGAGGATGTATTCAATCCTTTGTTCTGTCATCAGCCCTTCCTCTATCTTCGACAGTATTGAGAATAGTGACACTGGCTTGTGACATGCTAAAATTAGTTGAATGTCTCCCAGACCTTCAGATGTTACTGGAATTAAAATGCATTTTAAGGTTGGCCCCTGGTTAAGTTGGTCTACGAAGTTGACATTAAACGACTCTGTCTTCTCCAAGTTAGTGCGATCTTCGCCGCCTTGCCTTTTAAGAGTCTGGATCCCTTTAGTTGTAGGCTTTCACCTAATCATGAATCTGTAGAGAAGTGTTTGTGGTTAGATCGTATTTTGTTTGCTGGCTTGGCCTGAAGACATCTCCCATCACTTTGGAATTCAGTACGGAATTTGTGTCGTAATACCAAGTAAGAGTGGAGGTCAGATTTCGTCAGGGCACCTCCATGTGCCAGGTTTGTTGTTCGGCCTTTAGCAAGTCTTTGGTACCAAGCATAAAGAAACTCAGGTAAGTCCTCTTGATACTTAAAGTTCACGACCATCAGACGCAGACTTCTAATGGTCGTCAAGTATAAAGTCTAAGGTACTTGAATGTGCTACTTATCGTGGTGGTATGAAGGACTATGCTACTTGATAGTCAACACCACCATTGCGTATCGTGGTCATTAGCTTCATCCGGACTGCCACTTACAATCACAAACAGTCAGTGAAGCACCATGCCGGGGAGTTCATAGGTTTTTGATGATCTTACAGCGACATCTTCTATGGCCCATAGTTTGTCATGTCTAACTCGAATTTAAGATTATCGCTAAATCAATGGGTCTTTAAGCAAGAATTATTCTGTGACGTGTGCCAAAACTTTAATTACACATAGAGGTGGGAGTTTATTTTTTGATAAGTTTTGGCCCTTATACAGGAGTTATGGCTTAGCTGGAGTGACACACTTTCTCAGCATTGTACAGTGTTTATCACACCGTTCTTAATCAAAGTCTGCTCCACATCCTAACAAGCTACTTTTCGACACTGTGACAATAAATTGAATCAGAGAGTTTTATTAAATATTGTTTTCCCTCACTTTTTGCACTTTGCGATCTATGCTGCTGCCATTCCACTTCTCATCGCCCACCCGCTGTTCCTTATTATTAACAGATACTGGGTATTAGCAACAGTCAGTAATTTCTGTGGTGTATGAGGCCGGATAGTGGAATCTATAGTCTCGCGTTTGACTGAACATGCGCTGGATTGGCTGCTGTTGTTGTCTATGGGGTTTTCAATTATTCTCTTCTGTTAGTTCTGCTAATGTATTTTTTCTACACATGAGAAAATGTACCAGAACCACGAATGGTGGTGAATTAACACAACGGAAGTTCCGTCTAATTGGATAGGCGTATCCGTCAAAGGTATAAACCCGAAGTCTACTCCGAAGGCATTTTTATCGAAGATAAAAAATAGTTCTAAAGAATGGGGCAATAAGATTCCTGTCTTCTTCGACCTGAACCTCTTATAGGAACTCATTGTATAAACTGCACGCGTAGTTTGTGATAAGTTTTTAGGTGGCGGAATCTACAGTTTGAAGAACTGGAAGTTATTTTTCATCCGAGTTGAAGACGATTGACATCTCTCAAAGTGCTAGCTCATTGTTCTGCTCTTAGGCTTCCTTCTAGAGCTACCACCAAAAGCACTATTTCGGAAGATATTTGCAGAATACTTGAATGGACCAAAAATATTGAGGTCCAGGTACTGAGCCCCTTTTCTGTGAATAAGAAATTTATTTTGGCCTCAAAACGCAGACTCTTTAGACGCAATTTAAATCAGTCTGTCAGCGTGATCTGAATGCGCCGGCTTAGGCTTATTGATCAGACACATGTCTGACCCTATGGAAAGAAGTTGAAGTATATCGCATCCATATTTTCCTCAAAATCAAGAATAACGATTCTTCAATCCATAACAGAAAGGCAGATGTGCGATGCAAGAGTAGTTTGAAGGGTCGTCGATTCGTCCGCCTTAAACAATTTGGCGGATTTGTGATGTCCGGCACTCATCTACTATCACTCCTCCATTCAGGGTATATGAACATCGCAAATTTACAAGTTTTGTTGGAGGTGAGGCCTCTTCTCCTCAATATATCTTTTGGTTCCAACCCTATCACTTTCTTTTAACAAGAGACATTCTTATTTCTAGTGTATTTTAACCGTCTTTTCACTGCCGATTTTATTAAGACAGTTGGATTGGAATGTTAATACAGATATCATTGGACGTTACTTCAAATATGAAACCGTTTTCACCTCCGGGAAGTCCTGATTGTTCGTTAGTGATGTTGATGAAGTATTCCAGAAGCATTTACATCTTCCAGAGCTTTGTTGCCCAAAACGGTCTGGTTGACTCTCACCGTTAAGGTCTACTTCAGCACAAGCTACCGGCATGCCGCCACTCTTCGTCCACAACTTTGCTGTTTGCGCTATAATACGACTGTCATTTGGAAAATCAAAATCATTCGACTGCCTTCTATGTGCCCATAGTACTCCGTAACTCCCGTGGGTGGAGGTCCTCGCAATTCTGCCAACCATTAGTATGATGAGAAAAATCGAGAGTATGCAGCTTTGTCTGACACTAGTCTTAGCATGGAATACATCTCTGAGCTGCCCTGCATACACAACGTTGCAACGGACTGCTTTCTAGGAACTACCTTCGGTGGTCACAATCTTCTGGGGTGCTCTTTATTGTCGAAAAAGATTCCAAAAGTTTCTCTTATCCAAGCTATCAAATGTTTTCTCATCGAAAAAATTGATGTATGGTGTAGAGTTCCGTTTAGTATCAAAAATAAATAGTATTTAAAGATAGTTGAAAAGGAGAGCCAAGAACAGAGTTGTTCGGAGGCTCCAAGAGGAGCAACAAGCTTAGCTCAATTCATTCATTAGTCCGTCACATAGATCGGAGTTTGATTATTGAGGTTTGAAGACAGTGTGAGTAAACTGCGAAGTTTGCGTTACTTAGCATTTTAGTAGATGTTGTTTATGAAAGTATGCGTAAAATACGATACTACAAGAAAGTGTAAAGTAGGAAGGGTATTAAAACGTTACAGATTTAAGACTTGTTAATGTGTTCTTATAGATTATCTGTTATCAGTTTAATCATGATGGTATATTCATAATTTTAATATGACATTAAAATTTTATCGATGAGAAGTAGGAAACTAACGTGGTAAATATTATGATTGTGAATTGATAATCAAATGTTCATCTGTGTGTTAGCTAGCCTCATTGTTTTGACATATAATCGTCCTTATAGTGTTGGCGCTAACTGATTTATCAACCCTAAATTTTCGATGGAAGTTGCCCAACGTTTTAAATACTGTCGGACATTTTGAGTCTGATGATTGGTGTTACTATTAGCTACGAAAACTAGAGCACGTAGATCTGAATCTGAACCCTGATAATAAGATCGTTTTGGACTTTATACTTCTGTAGTAGATACAAAATTTATGCAGCGAACACAGAAGATACGAAAACTAGGTGCTGAAGCATTAAATACGATATTCGGTATGATTGCAGTAGGAAAAATAACGGAAAGTCACGAATATTTAAGTAAGTACGAGCGACAATAATGTTCTTCGAGATTCTTATTTGTACCACTCTAACAGGACAACAACTCGGAAAAAGGCAGTTATTCAGTTGTGTCGTTTTCATGATCATAGGCATTGATACGCTGTCTTCCACTGTGTATAACAAAGAATGACCGAAAAGTTTTGCGGCTAGAACTATTGAAAAGACGAGTCGATTATTCGCAAAAATCAGTACGCATATTTCCAGAAACAACATAAAGGAGACGCTTATGGAACTGTCGGTAAGCCTACAATCAATAAAAACTTCATGCGATGGAAGGATCAATGAGTAAAATCTTTATTTTGTGAAAATATCTACTTTTTCATAACACGTATTCACGCACAATATATTGATGATAACGGACTTTTTGGTGAATAGTCGAGTTTTTTTTACTCTAATTATCTGAAAAAATTATTTTCAAAAATGTTTTTCTTGCAATCAAACATCATATTCACTGTAGATGTTTAAGTGGATTTAGATCAATCAATTAACATCACATCTGCGATCCGACGATTGGCATTTTACTCATTTCTAATGGGAGTTCCTGGCTTATGGCGTTTGTTAGAGCCGGCAAGAGAGCCCATAGAATTACAACAGCTATCTGGGAAAATTATAGCAATAGGCAAGTCCATTTATTTTTGTTTTGTTATTTTGTACCAATAGTAGGCTTAACTTACCTTCAAAGTCCTCTATCTGACGTTTTATTGGTAGTAACCGAATAAATTGTTATTTTATTGTCCTTAAAACCGTCTTTATTGACCAGTAGTGTCTTCAAGCCTATCATCATAATAAACTATTATGCATAAGTAACAGTCTTTGTTTTCTTCTTTAGGTAGTCTTGGAGAAGTAAATTCAGCCATTTGTATCCCAATTTATACACGTTCCTATTGTGTTTGACCTTGCTCTCCCGTCCAACTTTTAAGGGCATGTCGTATCCAATTTTGTCTTCTCCTGTATACTCAGTGACTGCAGTATGGGCGGAACACTTTAGGGAACAGTTCAGCTGGCCTTCAGCGACTCTACAACTACCCTCCATTCCCAGACAGTGTGAATGGAACATTGAAGTAGGTCCCCCAACTCTTGCTGAAGTTCAAAAGGCTATAGTTAATCTGAAACGAGGAAGGGCAGCTGGTCCAGATGGATTGGCTCCAGAGGTCTTTAAGGATGGTGGTCCAATTTTAGCGATTAGGTTGACTAATATTTTAGCTAAGATCTGGGAATTAGACTTTATCCCATCTGACTGGTCGCAATCACTCATCGTCCCAATATATAAGAAAGGGTCAAAATCATCCTGTGACAACCACAGAGGGATTAGTTTAACAAACATAGTATCTAAAATACTGGCCTCGATAATTATCAGACGCCTAACTAAGACTCGTGAACTACAAACTCGAGAGAACCAAGCTGGCTTTAGACCTGGTCGTGGCTGCATCGACCACATATTCACCATTCGTCAGGTTCTAGAACACAGGCATACCTATCGGCGTCCGACGATGGTGGTCTTTCTTGACTTAAAAGCAGCGTTTGACTCTGTAGACCGCGAGACTCTGTGGCAGTGTCTGTCATTGAAAGGCGTACCTCAGAAGTACATAAACCTTGTGAAGGCTCTTTACTCGAACACTACTAGTCGAGTCAGAGCTTATGGCGAACTGTTATCTGCTTCTGCAACTTCAAGTGGTGTCCGTCAAGGCTGTCCACTTTCTCCATTTTTGTTTAACTTCATCATAGACCTATTGATGGAAATAACATTCTCGTCTACCGAATTCTTGGGTATTGATCTCCTTCCAGGAGGTCCACTTATCGACTTAGAATACGCAGATGATATAGTCCTGTTTGGTGAAGACGCCGATAAAATGCAGTCTTTCGGTAGCACTGAGCAACAATACCAGAATGTTTGAGATGCGCTTCTGCTCCTCTAAATGGCCTGCATCAACACCTGAAATAAGGATAGGGAGTGAAGTAGTCGAACGCGTTGACAACTTCACTTATCTTGGAAGTCTGATCAGCACTAATGGGTTGGTGTCTGACGAAATCTCAGCACGGATTCGAGAAGCTCGCTCGGCTTTTGCCAACTTACGTCACCTATGGCGAAGGCGAGATATCCGTCTATTAATAAAAGGACGAGTATACTGCATGGCAGTCCGTTTTGTTTTAATTTACGGCAGCGAAACATGGCCATTAAGAATAGAAGATACTCGTAAGCTACTAGTACTTGATCACAGATGCCTTAGAAATATTGCTGGTGTCTGCTGGGATCACCGGACAAGTAATAGTGAGATTAGACACAGCGTATTAGGGAATGATGGTAAATCAGTTGATGAGGTTGTGAATATCCATCGACTGAGATGGTTGGGCCACGTGTTACGTATGCTTGAACACCGAATACCACGACGTGCAATGCTAACGGGTGTTAGAGATAGTTGAATTAGGGGCGGCCAAACCAAAACGTGGCATCAGTGCTTGAAGACACTAACCTCTAGTCTGAGCCATGTTGGTAGATACAGACTACTTGGTTGGGGTCTGCGTGACTTTCGTAACCGATGGTTGGAAACTCTTGGTGACATGGCTCAGAATCGATCACAATAGCGTTGGTGCATACACTCTCTGTCTTCCCTTAAACTAAGAGATTAAAATCACTTCATATCTTTCTTTCTACTAACTAATTCTTTCTTCCCGTACTGTATCCTTATATGCAATCTTTCTCCTATATATTACCGCCTTTGACCTAACCACTCCTATGAATTCGATGTTCATCTTGCTGTGCTAATGAGATATGGCAACCTGGACCGATGCATATATGTGCCTGGTCCTACGTTGTAGCTGACTGACTGAGTGAGTGAGTGAGTGACTGCAGTTTGGCTAATACAAAGCTGTAAAATGTGCTCCAAAAAGACGACCGATTAGAACTAATTACAGTGACGTCTGCCTTTGACAAATGATAAACCCAAAATGCATCTTGCAAGTTCCATTAGAATCTTGAGTCAATAAAATCGTTTTTATGTACATAGCCAAACAATTACATATTTTTCACAACTTTCAAATGCAGTGAGATATGATGAAACTGATATTCGTCTGTCAACATGATACTCGATATTAGACATATTGCCATTAGCCACTTTTTAGGAGTTAATAGACGACTGCCTTACCTTAAAGAGTCTACGTAGTTTTGAGTAAATTGATCTATTACTTAAGCTTCTCCAGTTTTTGAAGGAAGATAGTTATAATAAACAAGTCTGTTATACTGATGGTATTTATTATCGTCTATTGGAATATCTTGTTGCTGTTTAAATATTTACTGTCAAAAGTGTAATTTAGTGTCAAGTAATATATGCCAAAAATCACAGGTTCTTGTACCAACGTTTGAAGAAATATCAGTCGAAATGACAAGAAATATTATCTGGTAAAGACGCTTACAGTCACTACTTTTGTCGAATACTTTTAAAGACGTTATGTCAGGCGTGGGTCTGTCCATTTTTAGGTTCACAGTCTCTTAGTATCCAGACGATCTCTCATGTCAAACTTCGCATTCGCACCAACGAAGCGATCCGAAACCGTTTTATAACTTCCATGTCAAACAGCCTTGGATCCTAGATTCCTCAGTTTTGTTTCCATTGGTACGCGGGTCTCCTACCATCCTTGATATTAGAAAAGAAACAGTATCAGTAGTTTCGTTATTTTTAGTTATTCATTACTCCTCTATACCTCTTCAGTTGTTTATAATTCACAATTGTATTCTTCAACTTCTCCCCTTCTTCCATGATTTAGCAACTGTTGTTCGTAATGTGTAGTTTTATGACAAATGACCCAACTAACTCATTTTTACACTTACTCCCTCATCAACTTGAAAACTTCAGGCACTTAAGCTAAACTTTATCACCAATCCAATTGTTGTGCGATTTCTGATCAATGAAAAAAGGGCCTACATCCTTGTATTGTCACCCTAACCGATGAATACACCTAAAGTTGTACACCTGTCATTGTGTTCCCCTCACACAAGCCGAATGATTTGTCTGGCGCATATCTATATGGTGCCTCCTTGTACCAATGTTTATGTGTTTAAATAAATTTGTGATAAAGCAGCAACAATGTCTATTTTGCTGTTTAAAATGTTCTTACCAGAGTTTGGTGACATTTCTGTGGACGGCTGTTTTAAAGTTCAAAGTTAAGAAGTTATCTCAACGATCATCTTTTTTGGAACTTAACAACTGTCAACCTCACTCCAGTGTGTATACACGATGTTCATCTAATGTTCTATGATTGATACTGTGCATTTAAGTAGCCTATAAATATATTTAAATAACTATTATATTGTCAAAAATTTCTCCGTTTCCAAATAATCTTCCTTGCTACTTGAAATTATGATTGACTGTTTTTGAGTCATCCAGCTTCAGTAAACAGGTATTTTAAAAGTTATTTACTTTGACATGTTACTTTATTATGGTATTCACCGTAGATATGAACATCTGGTTGCATCAAGCTGTGAAATCTCGAGGCGCAGCAGGTGGTCCTCGTAACTATTTGGCCATATTTTTTCGTCGTTTATGCAAATTACTTTTCTTTGGAATCAAACCAGTATTTGTATTTGATGGTGAAACTCCAGCACTGAAACGATCAACTATGGTGAGTATTTTCTATTTACAATTCTTTGAACCGTATCACATTTTTTGTAATGAGTAGCTGATATAAATGAATGAGTACTCCACTTCCCATTAGTTATGATATGGATTTATTTTAATATTTTTATTCCTTGTAATGTGTTAAATTGCAAACATGATAGCAATTGAATATATAAAGTAACCATTAAAACTGTTCACCCGGGTAGTTTGCTGATTTCATCATTCCGGTGTTTGCCAACTGTAGGTTATAGCACTGAAAATAAAGAATAGTGGGATTGTTGTTTCAAGGAAGAAACTATCCCTAAAATAAAAACTAACATACACTGTTACATACACAAACGACCAGTAGCTATCTCTTACAAATCATGATAAATTTTCTAAAGATAAGTAGTCGATAGGTTGACTGGAGATCCACAACTCATTTTGTATGTGTCGTACATTACTTATGTAAACCACTTAATTTCGCGCGATTTTAATCCCTTATTTAGTAAATCACAGCAAAAAGTGGAGCCAGGTCTCAAAGACTTATTGTTATTTAGATCGCATTTCGACTCTTGGACTGAGGAGAGGGAAACAAAGGGTTATTGAGTTTATGACATAGCTCCACAGCATGAAAGATGACTTTGAAGGACTGTGATCTGTCGGTCTATTCCGACTTTTCCGTTGAGGATCCTAGAGATTATACTCAGTGTATTGAAACGTTGTGAGACATAGATTAGAATAGAAGTTGTGTTTTTTGGTGAATATTACTCTTGTTCGTTTATTTAGTGATTGTGTAACCTTTCATTCTTCTACCTCTTCACAGTCTCATTTTCTTTGTATGGTATTTCTTGCTGTCTTGTTTTATAGTACCTGTGTACAAATCCGTGTACCGATCTGTGGGTGACACATTGTATGAAGAGTTAATATTATTATGGTGTTATAAAATCGTGATTTAATTAGTTGGAGGATTCATTTGTCCTGTTTCGCGGCAAAATTGAACTGAAAAAATGTTAAATTTAAGATTCTCTCTGATTTTCTGGAAACTCACCTCGACATTTCTCAGTCGACCTGTTTTATTTTTGAGACAACTTATGTCTTATTCATACTAATCCTTTCACAATCATCAATTTTCGTCACGGTCATGAGTGCTCACTGATGTTTAGTCCCATACTGGGACGAAACACTTGTCCGACGTCTCCCGGTTTTTGATTGCTTTTTGTGATGTAAATTAGCTGCGAATTGAACAGTATTCACATACATTTTATACCGATAATAATTCAATATTTCATCACAATTTATTACCCAGTAAATAGTCTTTGATATTACTCTTGTCTGTTTCGATAAAATTCATTACGTTGTTAGATCAAAAGTGCTTGAATTCGTCAGTAGGAGTTAGTTTTATCTACCTCATCAAAGATTAAACGGAACTTCTACACCATTGTAAACAGATCGCTACTGGCTTGTGTATAAAGTTTAATTAAGTTATAGGTATAATCTGAATGTTATATACCCTTCATAGAAGATACTGCTTATGAATAGAAACTTGGTAATTAACTGAAATTACGAATGAGGATTTAGCCTATTGGTCATATCGTGATTTCATTGGCGAGTGAGTGACCTATTCAATTCGCATCTCATAAATAAAATTTAATCCTGTTTACAAAGTGAGATTAAATTTGAATAAAAAACCATACAATAAAAAATAACCTGCTAGTTTGATGTAAGTTTGTTTTTTGGCTTGTGTCAGTAACTTGATCTCGTAAGTAGTTAACGATAAACCACATTGTATCATTGTACATCGTCTACCGATCATAATCCTATTCATAATATCAACAATTTAATTTAGCAGTTGTGCAGTTTGACATTAACTATATTTCGCATTTAATCCTGGAATTTTCAAAACACTGTATAAGAATAAGGTATTTATTAATGTTGTGTTTTTCGGTGTGTGATCCTGACACTGATACCCAAGCTTCCTGTACAAGAGTCCGTCACATTTCGAATGTTGATTTTGTATTATTTAGAATTCAAGACGTCAGTTGCGTAGCCTGACCGAAGCAAAAGCAGAAAAAGCCCAAAAACATCTTCTTCGTCGACTTTTACGTCGTGTTGCAGAATCCTCTGTAAAATCACTGTCAACGTCACCGGATAAAGTAGAATATTTTGAGGATACTGGTTAGTTAAAGCTACATTATTTAATTGAGCCAAAAAGTATTTGTTGTGTATAAGATAAAATATTATGATTGAATCATTATTATAAGTTAATGTGAAATTTTGTCACATCGAGCAGAAATGATTGGTTTTGGCTTTTTAGTATTCTGTGAAGTGGATATTTTAACTTGAAAACATTTCTTGTCATTCCAAATAGCATCCATCATCAGATACTCCATGTAAAAGTAAATATTCTGATTATTCCACAAGCATCAAACCAGTCTATTCTGATGAGTTTGTTTGCAACTGATTATCGATAAAAAATTTACCTTCATTTATCTCTGCATTCCTGCTGACTATCGATGGGCCTCTGACTACGTAGTAGTTTAATCCATCCACATAATTTTGAATCCATTCAGAGGAAATTTTTGTCAACAAAGTAGGCTAATTTTCTGCCTCCGAGTTAGTAACAAAAATGTATAATAGTTGAATAATATTATGTGAATGCTGTGAACAAAATCAGTTGAGAAGTCAGTCAGTCATGTACAACGTAGAACATGGCACATTAATGCGTCGCTTCGAGTCACCACACTACCTTAGAAGAGCGAGATGAAATTATCAAGACAAATATCAGGGTGTTTGAGTTAGTAACAGTATAAGTAGCAGTAGACAAGATTAGGCATAGAATATATGATTCGAGAAGAAAGAATAGATCCATGGGATGAAATGTGTAAGGTAATTATAAACCTCAGAATCCAAAGTATAACATAGTGAATTCGTCTGCATCATTGAGACGGATTCTGAGCCAGATCACTCAAAGCTTTCAGCTACTGGTTACGATAATCAAATGGACCCCATCTAGGTAGTCTAAATCGACCAACAAAGTTCAGTCCAGTAGTCAGTAACTTCATGGACTGATGCCACGTCTTGGTCTGGCCACCCCTAAATTTCGTACAACCTCGTACACCAGACGACAGCGCAGGTCGAGATTAGAGGTGGTTGGGTATATGTATTATATATACCCAACTACCTCATTCTATGAATATTCACCACCTCATCTACAGGTTTCATATCTTTAACTAGTACTGTCTGTCTAACTTTGCTATTTCTTATTCGGTAGTTCGAACATACTCAAGTAATTCTCCGAAGGATTCTGTAATCAAATACTAGTAACCTATGAATAACCTCCAATTTAAATATCATGTTTCACAGACACACAATAGAACAACTCAAACTGCTGCTCGGTATACTTATTCACTGGTTAACAGACAAACGTTTTGTTTGTGCCACATGTCAAGTATGTTTGGATGATCCAACTGATATTTCTGAATTCGTGAGCAGATTTCTTGTTTGTTCCCAATTTTTAAATTAAGTTGAAAGCTCATTTATTTATGTGATTTGTACCATAGACCTAAGGTCCTGAGTTCGATCTCTGGTGATGGGTTCATGGATGTATACTGTTGGGGATTGTCATACTGAAACAGAACAGGTTTTCAATAGTGATCTAACTAAAGTCAGTTCATGATTTAATGTATGGAAATGTGTACACCTATCTTTTGCTAGTAAACTTTCTACCTCTGCTTATTTACAGCGAAAAATGAACTGTTAAGTCGATTGAGACAACAGTCAGACTCGCATCAAGCTAACGAAGATGCTAAGATGTTCTCAGCTCCAAATCATGACTCAACGTAAGTATCGTTTTTGTATACCAGCGATTGTAGGTTTATGAACCTATCATAAATATAAAAAGTATTTTTAAGAGTTCACTCGCTGTAATAAAACATTCTTTTGTGTGTAAAATTAATGAAATCTCACTGGACACATAGAAATGAATGTAATGTGTCAGACTCATAGTAAAAATTTCAGGATGATTGTCTGCTTAGTCAGACATGTAGATAGTCTGACAGGTGTCAGATGAGTTATATATTCCCCTATCCTTATTATTATTGAGACACTCACTTATTATTGATTGTTCATTGTTGTTGGATTGTGTCGGGTTTTTGGAATGGAAATATATTTACGTTGTGGTCAGGTTAGTTACATGTTCTTGATCTGAGTTGTGTTGAAGTCCTGTAGAATGGACACTGGGAGGGACTCTAGTTTAGATATTCGTCTAAGGTAAATTAGCGTCCCATACGTGTGTACAAAGTAAAACCGAGCGTTATAACATAAACAAGCCGTGACTAGTGTTCGACTGTTTCGTATGTGAAAAACTGCCGATCAAAGACGAAGGGAGATGGTCGTGGAATCTCGTGGATTTATTGGAACTAGACTTGTACACCGTCGGATTCCGGTCTGGTGGTCTAGAAGTTAAGCATTCACACGCGAAATCGGGGGCCTTGGATTCGATTCCTGGTTTCATGATCGCGGATTCATACTGCTGAGGAGTCTCATGCTAAGACAAGACGACCGTCCAGTGCTTACAAGGTTTCCAATAGTTGTCTAACGTAGATCGATTTGTGATCTCAATGAAATTCAACAATTTCTACAGTCCCCATACTGATAATAAATTCCTTTAATTTCACTTACTTTTCGTGATCATTGATCTGAAATTTTTAAGAGGCGCGTTTGTTGATAATATGACCCGTTATTATTTTTCGCAAGTAGTTGGTTCGTTTCGTGCATGTGACATCAAAATATTTTTCACTGCTGATGCGGTTCTGAGATGACTTATCGTGGATGACTTATCATGGATATTTTGCAACTCTTTGGATATAGAAATTTATTTAATGTGACTGGTTGCTTTTAGACACTCTCGCGCACACAAATACTCCTTTACTAAAATGTCAAAAAACATTTTAGAAGAATCGCAAGTAAGCTACTTCAGAATAGGTGGCAATGATCCTTTAATTAAGTTGAGCAATGATAAATGAGTGGGGATTTAACCAATAAGGTCGCCTTCACTATCCTGTTATCTAATACAAAAAATCGAGTCATTATGTGTTTTTGGGTACATCCTTACCGCTTAGACTGAACTAAATGATTTATTCACACTGACGAAAATCATTTCAAAACATGCGAGGTGTTTCCTTTTCCAATAGATTTGACTGTACTTATTTGTTAGTGATGATTGAATTCTGTTTGTAGTTTAATGTTAATCGTTATTCAATATTACTGATTATCGCTTGTTGTATAAGCAAGTCATTGATCAAGTTGTTCACTGATTTCGTTTTCCTGGTGCGTTGCTTATTCACCTACAACAGAAAATGAGTTTAAATCACTTAACTTTGGTTATTTCGTTATTGTATATAGAAGAAATAATTTTTCGGTTGCGTATAATTCCTTTTTTCTCTACATTGTAGTTCTACAGCATGTAGCAATGATAATAATCGTATGCTGAGTGAAAAGGCCGGTCTAGAATACGATGACCTGGCGCATGATTATCTGGTAGGTAGTCTTAGAGTAATCACATTAGATTTTATTTTATTTGGTTAGTAATAACCTGTATTGTAGTGATGGATAATGGCTCAGTAAATGCGTATCATATGTTCGAATTACTCTGGTGTCGATCTCCTCAACTAATTTATCACATTTGTTAAATCATATGTCGTCATTGCTCCGCATGTGGCCCCACCATCAGCGAGTAATTATTTGAAGATACTTATTATCAAACACATGCAGACTATACACGTTTTTTGCTTCCTAAAGTCGGGCTTTATGCTAGTACAATAATAAACTGTTACACAGGACATACATCGTCCACTTGAAAGGTAGCAGTCTTGTCTACTTTATAAGCGAGGCAGAATAATAGAAAACGTAACGAGGCTTCTGTACATATGGCTAAATTTCATCAGTAGGGGTAATCATACTTCGAAGTCAAGTAGTTTGATTTTCAGTATAGAGTTGTGTAGTGTTGTATTTCATTGATTTCATGAACAACCACGTACTGAAAATTGCCATCTCACTAGTAACTAGCTTTAAGAGAGAATTTATAGAGTTCTAGTGAGAAGCCGTGACTATTGGAGTTCAACCGTGTATGGTGTGAGGTAGTTGCCCATCGAAGACAATGGAAGATGGTCCCGCAATGTCGTAGTGCTTGATTTGTTGGACTACATTTCTTAATATCATTTTAATCATTAATGCATACGTTTTAAAGGAAATGTATTCTAAATATTCTCTCATTCCTATCACTGAAAGTGTTCAAAAGACTTCAATATTCGTTCATCAATTCACTGTATTTTTTATGTATCCCGAGTAGATAAGAGAGTAGCTAGATACATGGATAAGGAATAATAACAAATCTACAGGAATGTTTAATCTGAATAGATATAGTGAATACTCAAATAAATCCGTGCTTAAATTTATAACTTGCTATAAGCTGTAACAAAGCTCCTAAGCTTGAAGAGATTACGATATCACCCAAAACCGGCAAATAAAACGAAAGGCAGCAACACAACAGTAAGACAAACTAAACTATTCCATTGCACCCCAGCCGAGGGCGATGTATATCCTACAAGCAGTCGGAAGCACGAACGAACAAGCACACAACTGATGCGCACATATACAGTACAAAAATACCCCTGGAAAGCGTCACAAAATAGCGTACCAAAAGAGGAAACGAACTAATGACATTTAGGGTCCTTCCAAGTAGGAAATACAATCTGAGGATAAAAATGGGCGCTTTTGACACGAAAATAAGAAGTTCAAATTTCCAAAATAAAATTACAAAAATAAGACGTTTACCAAATGGTTCCTGAGGGTCTATCATCCCCAACAAAAGTTATAAATGCTTGGATATAGCGTCCCCCACTATTTTGATATACTTATTAGACAGGAGTAATTGTTTTTACCAACATTGGTAGTGTATATGCAATCTGCTTTTCACTTAAGTTGTCATCCTCAAATAGGATAAACTTATAATTATATCTTTAGCCGAAGAAGTATTAATTATTTCGCTTTGGTAGTTCTATATCACTTTCTGACAACTGTATTGACGATAATTATATCTTTGATTTTCAAAAGTATTTACCACTAAATCGAAGCATATATTTTGTGTGTACAAGACATGGTCAGAGAGTAGTCAATATAGAACATGAAACTTTTCAAAATAGCATGATATTACTGCACACTAATGATATATGCAAATATATCACCTTTAATGGTGATGACATCAGTATTTAAAGTTTTTAAAAAAAGTAATTTCAGTTAAACTGTATTCGGCTGATATTAAAGACACTAAATTTTCAAGGTATTAAACTTTATACCAAAGAAGTATTAATTATTTCGCTTTGGTAGTTGTATATCATGAATGATATGTCTAGAAAGTTCCTCGGGTAACTGTTTAATTAAATAAATTCAAGTAGGCTAAACCTTTTAATACATTAGTTTGAGTTCTGTGAACTTGCCGCTAAATCAGAAAAAGTATAAAGATCTTCAACGTATAGAAGATATGGAAGAAATTTTTAATGGTTTAATGAAATGAATTCTTGTTTATTAAAATCAATAGATGAAATGTTAATCAATAAATGAGCCCAATGATACGGCGTGACCGAGTGTTGGGTACTCAGGAGAATGAGTTACTGATGTTGGTTTCTAAATGATTAGAAATCAAAGACATGATCACTCTAGTCAGATGGGTAGCTCTTACTGATGTGATAAAATAACACGCTTATATGCAAAATGTTAAGACAAGATAAACTTCATAATTATCAGTATAGGGGTTGTGGAGATTATTAAGTTTTGATTGAAATCATGAACCGATTGATGCTAGACCACTATTAAAAACCTGGAAGCACTGGACGGCCGTTTCGTTCTACTGTGGAACGGCCCACTGGTCCAGTAGGCTAAGCGTTCGCGCGCGAGACTGAAGGCCGTGGGTTCGAATCTCGCGAGCGGGATCGTGGACGCACGCTGCTGAGGAGTCTCACAATAGGACGAAACGGCCGTCCAGTGCTTCCAGGTTTTCAATGTCGGTCAAATATCAATCGGTCCATGATCTCAATCAAAAACCTAGTAATCTTCACAACCCCTATACTGATAATTTTCATGTGTTCACTAGTGACTAGCTTCGTGAGGGAATTGTAGTAAATCAGTTAAGACTTGACTGTTAGGCTTAATCTTTGGGCGTCACACCAGATTTATGTATATATTATATGATCTAAAAAGCTGTTGAACAGTCCAAATATTGATGCATCGAAATCTGTTGTATTCAAGAAAGTGAGTCAGAAGAATCTCTTTTACAATATAACTACTTTTATAGCAGAATAAATTAATACCCTTGATGTGTTAAGTGGTTAGAACTAGTCAACAATTGTTAACACGTCATATTTGCAATCTTCAGGGGATCGATACCCACTGTGCTATTTAAACCGAGTTTGAGATTTTACCATTGAACTATTTGGGCAGCGACTGAACTCTTGTAGGACAGATATTTATGGGTGATTGGTCATTTAAAAGTTGATCGAATTGTATTGAACGATTTTTAATGTAGCCACTAGTTGAAGTGACTCGACATTGCGTGCATTATGTAGTCAGCAGGAAACTCGGGACTTAGGTTTTGTGCTAGTTGGGACACAATATCGAGTCACACGTATACTAGTTGATCACATTGCAACTTGAGGGCTATGGAATTCGATTAACTCAGTTGTAACATCTTTTGATATTGGAAGCCAGTCATTCAATTTAAAGTATTCGTTTATCACAAAATGAGTAGTTTTATTTATCTTTTTTTAACGCTTCAATGTTAATCCCACTATACGACGATACCTCTTTTGATACTTATGTTGTATTACATTTGTATGTCGTCAACTAATAATAATACCATTAACAAGTATTAATATCTTTGACTCTTAAACGATTTTTTAAGGATGCTTTCTATTCATCGGATAAGAAGTTTTCTGGGGTTGATCTCGACTCAGATGCATTCCGTGCACTTCCTTTACCAGCTCAATTACGTGTTGTTCAGCTGTTGAGAGAAATATTAGACTCTAGTTCATGCCGTAACAATTTAGTGCAATTTGATGATGAAGGTAAAGTGAGTACCGATATTTTCTCTGGATAATTTCATCTTGTTGTACTGATATAATGATTTTGTAACTTGATTCACATGTATACTTAGTTCCACGTTGCTTACGGTTAACCGAGTGAGTACTTATTTTATGTGTGTATGTCCCTGTGCTAATGAAAATAGTTTAGTACGTTTTCAGATTCACTCAACAGTAGCTTATTAGTTAATGCACTTTACAATTTCCACCTATCAGTACACAGATTTGAACCTACCACTTTTGTTTTTCTAGCCTTCTCACCAAAATATGTAGCTTAAAGGTGAGTACTAGGTTCTAAGCTGTTTTAATCTAATACTTAATTTAATGGCCTAACTGTTTTAGTATTCATGTCGCATTCTATAATTCTTTTCTAGTCCCAGTTTTTCTCAGGTTCCAGTCAACAGAAGTAGATGTGTGGCGATTAAAATCTTTTCAATTTATATTAATAACTCATCTTAAATAGTGAAGAAAACCTTAGCCAGTTACCTAACTCAACTTTCTTCACCCTAAAACTTTAAACTGACCACTATTTGAAAAAAAACTTGAATTTAATACTAATGTGTTACTATGCCTAAACATTTAGCTTAGCAAACAGGCCTTAATTGATTGTAGGCTAAGTGATCTTCAGAAGGGAATCCTTCCAATTGCCAATGAAATTTGATCGTGCTTATTTTGTGTTCATATTCTGTATATAAGCATGTTTTATTAAACAAAATATATCTGTTCATCTGGCTAGAGTGGTCTTGTCTTTGAGTTCTAATTATTCGGAGGCTTACATCAATAGTTCTTTCTCGTTAGCACCCATCATTCAGCCACTCATCATATCATCTCGTTCATCTATCAACCGGCATTCTACTCCACTAATTATAACAGTCAGAAAATCCTCTCATCAATCACTGAAAACTTCCTTCATAACAGTGTTTATTTTTGACTTTCACTTAAGACCTTCCTCTATTTACTTCAGAATGGAGGGGTTTGTGGAGGTTGCAGAATTTTCATAGTGTAAGTCACAAATGGATCTTAGCTAGACCGCCGTTGGAAACCTAGAACCACTAGACACCTGTTTCTTCCTAGTATGGAACTCCTTAGAAGTGAGTATCCTCGATCATACGTTCAGGACTGAAACCTAGGACCTTCGACTAGCAAGTCCCAAATAGAAAAACACGCGCATCCTGAATTCCACTGCTAGCCGCATTCCATATATTCTATATAAACAGTATTCTTTAGAAGCAGCACTGTAATGAAACTTGACAGTCATTGATGAAATATTTCGCATCATAATCAGTAATCTTTTTTTCTTTCCAACTTTGCATAAAGCACAATTTAACCCAGAACAGTTCTCAGATGTTCAAATGAAACGTTTGCTTTTACGTCGTCGTTTAGCAGAACGTCAACAAGAGTTATCTGATAATCTAACTAAACAAGAAGCTGTTCAACAAATTCTTCAGTTAAACAATTCTATGATAAAAAATATTCTAACGAATCAATCGTTATTTTCAACTTTACCGTTTTCCAATACGACACAGCCGACTACTGCTTCAGAGACTACTGAGACCATAGCTACAGCTATGCGTATTCAGTCACAAGATGTAGGACATGCCATACTCATTAAAAAATCTCCAGTGAATCAATTGGACGAACGAACTAAATTGCCTTCATCTACAACATTGAATCTTGAAAAGTGAGTATGTCCTTCGAAAGCTCGAATATAGACATATATCATTGAAATTCTGAACTGATCTAAGCTAGACCACTATTGGAAACCTGGAAGTACTAGAGAGCCGTTTCGTTATAGTATGGGAATTCTCATCAGTGGGCATCCATGGCCCTGCACTCGAGGATCATACCCAAAACCTTCGGCCTCACACGTGGACATTTTGCACTTAGGCACTTCATTTTTAAGGTAGTTGCTAGGACATGTGGAGGCAAGGCTTTTTCAGTTTATTGTCTTTAAAGATCAACTAATTGGATTCTCGACTTTGTTTATTATTAAAATGTGATGAATTTGCTACATTCGACTTCTCTGAAATAAACTGATAGTTCTAAACAGTTCTGTAAGACTCAAACAAAGTCTAAAGCAGTAAATATGGTAGATTTTGAATTCCAGTGGAAGAACTCGTTAGATACTTGTCTATTACTTGAAAAACTTGTTTCAGACTGTTGATTTTGCCTCTTTACTTAAGGTTGAATCAATCAAGTTTACATTACATGGATAAAGTATAATTTATTCTCAGAAAATTATGTTCAATATTGATAAGTAGAAGCGAAATTGCTCAGTTCCAGTGCACCACATCTACTCAATACGAAATATTAGACCCATACTAAGTTTGTCATTCAACAAATATCTTCCTTTTAAGTCAAATAACAGTGGTTTCATTCCAAATGAAGACGATTGCTTTGTAAATGATGATTTTACACGTCTGTACACTTATTTATTTAAACACATATGTGCTGGTACAAATAAGAACCAAACTAAATATGCGCCATACAAAAATAAGTGAAGAGATGGACGAAGTAGGATGAATATAATCAAAAAATAATTAATAAATAAGAGTAGTAGGTAGTGCGAGAAGCAGTCCAGTTAGAAAAATATATCTAGAAGAAATCCTTCCTTTCAGTTCATGAAGTTCCTCTCACTTTTATGAAGAAAATAGATTACGGCAGTATCACAATTGGTTTCTGTTTCGATCCATGTCTGACAATGCTTCAAGCTCCTGAATTGCACTATCTCTCGAACCTCTGCCGGGGAGTCTTTAAAAACCGACAAACCTCGGCCCTATACAACATCCTTTCGTACCACATTACCATGTCATACACTGACCACCTCTCCGCTCTTTTCAATCGGTCAAGGCATCGGAAAATAATACACGATTTGGAATTCACTCAGACGATATTCGTATTACATGTTCAAGCCACCGAATTCGGTATTTCAAGATGGTGACATTAATCGGATTATCGTCATTGTCTACGATCACACATTACCCAGCTTCCCCATTACTAACATTGTGTTGTCACTGTCATTAATCCGTTGGACACAATGATGATCGAACACAGAGTAGTCGAACATCTTCAACTCAGAGAGATCAGGTTTCACAAGTATTCATCAGAACTGCTCGCACTTCAGGATTGTAAACCCAGCCTTTCGCAACCACACTAACATTAGGATGACGTCAGTGATGGCCTAGACTGTTGTAAGCCGATCTGGCTTTCACTACACGTATATCGCTCTCATCTGACATTCCGCCACCATCACACACGGCTATCCAGGCCCACGAGCTTTTCTACTAATTCTGATACTCCATCACTAAGAGTAAGTGTAGGCAAAGGCTCTGGCGAGTCTTGTAAAAGTGCTAAATCCAAGTTTTTCTCCTGAGTAAATTTCTTCTCACACAATTAGTTCAAATGATTAGTCTATGAAAGTATTCGTCTATAACAACTATGTTGACATGTACAGTATTATAGAAGCTATTCAATGTAATGGCTCCATGTTTAAATTACTCAGTAGGATTGATTTATTCGAAATATTGTCATTTCTAATAGTGAATGCTCAGAAGCAATTTTTGTAAACCTTCTGTACATGCATACAATTTTTTCTGTTTTACTCAGATTAATTACATATAATACTGAGAACTTAAATGTGTCTGATGAATGCAAAAAAGTGGAAATTTCAAAAGAGGACCAGAACAAAGAAATACCTAATGATGGTTATATGAGTGAAAACCTATGTTCAACACAAAAGACAAATATTTCTACAAATGAAAATATTGTATATAACTCTGAATGTACACCAATAAAACTAGTTAATATCAAGGAATATTCATATGAACATCAAGTGTCTATCTTATCACATGTGACTGACACTAAAAGCCAACTTAATAATAATTGCGAAAATTACAATCAACCACTTACGAAAAATTCTTTAAATGATAATATATCCAATGACTTTCTTCCAGAAAGTTCATCTACTATTCCTAAGTTTGATAAGTCATCGGAGTTTATCGAATTACCTATTCCAGAACATTCATGTGACCTTATGGGAGTCAAAAATGATGAAATTACTGCTGAAATTAATGTATTGTCTTCTGATATACATGAATCAAAATCTTTACAAGTACCTCATCAGGACAAATATGATGAGATCAAAAGTAGCAGTGATGATAACGATGATGATGATGACTTTATCGAAGTTGAAACTCACGAACAAGTTGAAATTTCGAATACATCTACTGACTCTAATTCATCACAAGAATATTCTGTCGATGAAAACAATGTTCAAAATGAGGATAAATTAAATTCTGTCTTCACTGAAGAAGAATTAACCAGTAAAGAAGTTTCCTATGAAACTAATCAACAGAAAGCTGTATTATCATCTGAATTAGTCGTGGATGACTATACCATTGATGATGATAGTGATGATGTATTGAAAGAAAAAGCTGATCGTTTGATGCGTCAAGCTCAGTCGACAACTACGCGTTGTATTTCAGAAGCCCAGGTAAAAAATCCCCATTTTTTATTTGTTTACATCAAATTTAAATGTAGTTATTAAGCAGTTGTAGTTAATAGCCTCGCATGTTGATACTTTGGTTTATCAAGCCAAATCAGGGTAATTTAATCCTTATATTTTCTTTAACGTTTGACTATTGAGGCAGAACTTTTTATCGATTTACCTAAATAAGTTCAATTCAAAATTTGGCATTTATTTGTAAATTTCAAAGTTCTCGTCGTCGAATTTCTAATTTCTCAAATGTGTAATTAACTCCGAGTCGGTCAAGATTACATACTAGGATTGCTGACATTAAATATAATGAAATAAGAAGTATTACTGTTAAGCGACATGAGTACTTAGAAATCATCTATACATTTTTCTATTTATCAGTAACACACACAGTTGTGAGTACTGCCAATATGTGTACTTGACTTCCAGCAACATTTAAAGTCCGAGAGCTGGTGATACTATCCAGTTATCTAAACTAAAGTAGGTGGAGGGGGTAGGTTCTAAGCCGCAAATTATTGGCTAAAGACTGAACTCCTATATGTCAGCTGATTATGGAAACCTGTGATTTGTTTTCTATACTGTTGAACCGAGGTTGAAGTAAATCCTCTACATTTAATCTAATAACACGTCCAGATTCTTATTTTCCCATCAACTTAAAAATAAATTACTGGTTATATGACGAGTAATTTTACAGCCTCGTTTGTAAAACAGTTAATATTTACGATTAAAATCCCACAACTTGAGGTTTTCTAATCCTAATGTAGTAGTACTCTTCCAATCGGAACTAGACAGTACAGTTATTAATTATCAGAAAATTAACGATTTCGCTCGCGGGATTCAAACTCAGGACCTATCGGTCTTGCGGGCGGAATAATAGATGCACATTGCTGAGGAGTCCCATGCTAGGATGAGACTGCCTTCCAGTGCTTCCACGTTTTCCGTGGTGGTCTAGCTTCAATTGACTCATGAATTCAACTATTAAATGACTAAAATCTCCACAAAACTCTTCTGATAATATTTTAATTTTGTCTGTAAACTATCTTTCGAAAAAATAAGTACATAGACTGAAGTAACTTATCCGGGTCATTATGAAAATCAAAACTGACCACCAAGTCAACATATCAGTTGTGCAGCTGAAAGGGTTTTTTGGAGATTGGTTTTATTTATGGGTTGTATTCGTCATGAATTATTGATCTCTCTATCTCGCAAGTTGATCAGGGTTGAAATTATACGATTGGACGCCAACGAAGTGGCTCTAATAGTTAATTATTCTTTTCTACGAGACTTGAAGATTCTTGATTCGACTGTCAGTGGGTTCGTAAATCTTTACTACTGAGGAGTCGTATTCTTGGTCGTAATAGTTGCTCAGTATACCCTTTTTTGATGGTATCTCGACCGAGATTAGTCCGTGACGTGTAAAACCTACAAATATCATCTGTTTGTCAAGTTTCTTACAACTTTTTGAAAATATTATGATCTTAATAATATTTATAGGGAAATATCTTATGGAGGCAGTGATCCCATTAAAAAAACTTTCTATAAAAACAACCAACTCCCTTTAGTGTTTCAGTTCGAATTCTGGGAAAGATCCCTTGTGCTTCTTCACAGAATTACATCTATAGATTAGGTTGTATCTACTGTAATGCTTCTATGTATTGGAGAGTCTTGTGAGACTTCGACTTCCTGCCAAAAAATAACACATAAGCTGCACAAAACTATCTCTTAATCATCTTATGGAACTGTAAACTCTACACGTCAAATCATCAATAGCAATTTGTGATACTTTCAACGACCACCAAATTAATTTTAAAAGTGCCAGAATAAATCAAAAAGTTATTTCCAATCATGAAGAAAGCTAAGTAACTGAAAATGTTTATATATTGTTAAACTCGACAGTTGTCAATATAAAGGAAGGCCTAACTAACTGTTCAACTTGAACGGTTTATCCAAACAACTTCATTCTATTCACTTCTCTTACCATTAACACTTATAAATTTAATTTGACTCATTAACGCTTAAATATATCATGTTTTTTCACATCTACTTAAATAGACACAAATGCACAGGATTATGTCACACACACACATACCTGCAGAATCAGCTCAATAGAAATGAAGTGACGTTGATATGATCCGACCTATTTCTATTGTACCATATTTTCTGCTTTGTTTCCTTTGTATTATTTAAACTTGTATTAATTTAGTTCGATAATTTGTTTATTCACTTAAGGAGCGACTTGCACCAAGGAGATTTTCAGAAATTTGATTTTCCATTCATTGAAATATTACAAATATCCACATAGTATGCACAATAGCCTGTGCCCTACTTGTGAAGGGAAAAAATGTGCAATACAGATTCGCACACTCTACTGTGGACAACACACTATCATTTGAGGGCTAGTGATGTTACTTATATTTGCATAAACCCGTAGTAGACTGAGTAGGATTCAAATCGCTTACTGAGTAGTGCTTGAATATCGAGATCTTGAAAACAATAAGACACCAGGTTATCTTGGACATGTATGAGTTCAACTCTATTATTATTATTATTATTATTATTATTATTATTATTATTGTTATTATTATTATTATTATTATTATTATTATTATTATTATTATTATTATTATTATTATTATTATTATTATTCAACCAAGTACTGTTTTCTTATATTTTGTAGGATCTACTTCATTTGTTCGGATTTCCATTCGTAGTTAGTCCAGAAGAAGCAGAAGCTCAATGTGTAGCTTTACAACGTCATGGTCGAGTTGATTTAGTTGCAAGTGACGATTCAGATGTATGGCCATTCGGTGTTAAACTTGTCTGTCGTCATTTGTTTGGTACTGGTGGTGGTGATAATCTAAAAAGAACAACAAATCCTTCCATTTACAAACTGGATGAAGTAAAACGTAAATTAGGTAACTTAATTGCTTTAAAAATGTAATAGTTTACTATTATGAGTAAATATAAAGTTCAGTCACGTTTGGTGTCTGTCAACCATACGTTATTATTTAACAGTTGGATAACTCATAATAATAAAATACTCGTACTTGTGTACACCGTCCCATACTTCATATTTAGAGTATATTTTTAATCAGAAGTGTATGTATTCACGCTTTATAACATAGTGCTTGGTTCTTTTGTAATCATCGGACTGTCTGTTTTGTCATGTCAGAAGAAAACAAAAACACAAGGTTGCTTTCTTAGGTTGGATTGCATTGCATCTCGTGTGATCGGTCTGTAATATCAGGAAGTATTCGTATTATACACTAACGGATTTCATTTGACTTTATTCTTAACCCTGACTGAAATTTTGATGAATTGTTTGTTGCATAAGAGATAAACTCGATATTACAGTGATTTGTCTTTAAATTTGAATGTAATCGTTAGAAACACCTGTTGACACGCATCAGTAACGTGTGCTTAATGCTTTACCTTGTATTCAAAACTGTTGCTTGAGGCAGAAAATCGGAATATTACTAATTTAGTTGACTCCGTGGAAACATATAAGTAGAAATTTTCTTCTCATTTGTAATCATCATTGAATTTGTGAGCTAGGATGCTGCCCCGGTTGTCCAAACCGAGGCAAGTGGTTTTCTTAGAATGCCACTCCTCGTGCCTTTGATCTAGATGTTTGATCCAAAATGTGGTAGAGCAAAGTCATGAGATGAGATCCCGTGGTAAGCCGGTAACTAAGAATACGTTCGTACGCTATTTATTTCCTCAAGATTCTTGAGCTCATGCCCATCATTGGTTTTAAGACCAATATTTTACAACTCCCCTAGGTGGATCCTCCGTACCAATCGTATATTACGAAACTAGATTCATCAATCTATTTTTCATCCTACTTACACAGATTTAAATGACGAAATCATACATAAATGGGATGATAGCCAAATATAAATATACTTACGAGTTGATGTCATTATTTTTATTACTATCACAATTATGTAACTGTATATCATAGATAATGTACTCAACATTTACCATAACAATTCGGAATATTTAGGCCTTACTATAGAGAATATTCTCCGTTTGACGCTTCTCTGTGGTAGCGATTATACACATGGAATTGATCAGGTTGGTCCAGTTACAGCTATTGAAATATTGAGTGAATTTGATGATGGTGATGATTATTCATTAAATTGTGAAATTAACAACTGGCTTCATGGTGTTGTTAATGAACCTTCCGAAAAATTACTTCATGATATCTTACAACCACTACAACAATTCACGTAAGTTCCATTTTCTCAAGTTCATATAATAAATAACAACTTTTGATCTATTATAAGTAGAAGAATAAACGACAGTGGCAAACTGAACAATCTAATGTTTTGCCATATTGTTACCCTTATTTCGATTATTATTATGACCAAGTGAATTATGTGTTCACTTTATTCGCCTAATCATAAGTTTTCATCTGACCCATGAACTGTCACTATTATATCTAAACGAAGACCAGAAGAATAGGAACTTCCCTGTACTAATTTACGGACTATTATATATATAATATAGTTATTAAGTAATTAGCTTATTATTATTATTATTATTATTATTATTATTATTATTATTATTATTATTATTATTATTATATATTCCTTCTATCATAAGTTTTCGATTGACCCACTAACCACTGTTACAAAATTTAGTGTTCTCAATTTATTCCCAATCTGTTATTCACAGTCTCTCTTACTCTCAGTCACTTTTTTGGCTTGATCATGTGTAACTGTTATTTCTTGTGTTATTGTGTGATGTGGTTTGGTCTGCTTGTACATAAACTACGTCTATCTGAAACATGAGAACAATCTTGGACTGGTGATTATTGGTCTTGTGTTCTTCCTCTTCGTTTGGGGTTAGTTAGTATTGGACCAAGCGCCAAGTATAGAGTATCAGTCTTTCTTGTCCTTGTTGCGTATTGGTTGCTTAAGGTCATTTATGTGCATTGGCCGACCTTAGGACATAACAACCACTGTATCTTATTCTGTTCTCAAATCACTGTAACTTAATCATGCACTTCGTATCCTGAATGCTTTACTCTAAATATCCTATTTAGGCACTTATTGTATTTTCTTATTTATCGTGTTATATTCCATCTCTTTTTATATTTGAAAACATCCCTGAAAATCTTCAGAAATCAGGATTTTTAGCTGTCTCGGCATTCTGTGATAATAATGACCACATATAATTTCTCAATATTTGGTTCACTAGCATTCATCTGAACAGTGAATTAAAAACTAGAAAAAACAAGAGACAGTGAATGTTCAATCTTTTTTCATGAACATAGGAGGATGTCAATAATCACCATTCTTTTTATCCCATCCTTATAGTACTCAAAAGCTGTCACTGAAAAGTTTAATTCGTTTAAAGACAGATGCCTTGTTTTTTAATCCTTTATCTTTCTATGAATAGTTCATGGTATTTCTTGAGTTTAACAAAAATTTTAAATTACCTGTTTATACACTGGGAAAAACCAAAGTATCGTTACAAACTAAAATCTCATTCATTTTGTATTGTTTGCTTGAATCTTCCCATTGATGTTTAGAATTAAACGTCAACTCTGAGATGCATGTTCATCCACCTGACAAGTCCAAAATAAGGAGGAAATGCGCGTCCTTGATTTTACTGCTAACCACTATCCATCTTTGCTTATAAAATCTCATAGTACATTTAATAATACTACTTTGAAATTTGACTCTATAACATTCATAGAATGTGCATAAAACAATATAAATTCATTATCTAATCTATAAGAATGATTCACTAGTTTGTAATTTATATATTATTAAAAATCTATCTTTATTTAGACATTGGTGGCAAACTACTCGTTCACAAAATTCTTCACAATCAATGAAAATACTTCGAATAGCTGAATCGAATCCAATTAGACGTCGTTGGATAAATTTGAAACCATATCCAGGTATGTACAAACAAATGTTTATGTATATCTTCCGTTTAAAATTTCAGTGAGAATACAATTTATGGACGACCTTTGAGTGACGCTAATGTGACCAAGAGAATATCCACCTATTAACTACGATTAGATTAGGGTTATAAACCAATGTGAAGAATCAATATTATAATTTACAGTTGATGGTTAGGAACTAGATTTAGAGTTTTTGTCAAGAACTGACATCAGCCAAAAACGTCTAAACGCTATTTAGCCAAATGGATGAACGAATTTCGCGTCAAGCTCCAAGACCTGTTATCGTATATCTGATTAGTTCGTCTATAAATTTCCCTAATCATGTTTGATGCTCTTTCATCTATTTGATGTTGATTGATTTCAAATGAAAACTCAGTGTGCTTTCTATGTATGTTAACAATAAATCAGGTCATTTAGTCTTTCTGTCGCCATACATTTCATTTATTTCTTTAAAATATGATTACAATGAGATTTTTCTAATTCAGATTTCTCTAATGATCTTTTCTGTCATCTAAATGGTTATTATCGTTAGTAACTTGCTTACACTGTTATATGTGCTCTAAAGTGGTCATTATATGTCACTATAAAATCAGAGTTATTCTTTTTCAGTATTTTGACTGCTGCATGAATTATAAAATTATTCTAGAACATAGGATGTTGTCTATATATCAGCGGTTGTATATGATTAAAGTTAAAGAGTTGTTGTTTGACAGACGTCTGGTTTATTCGAGTTCATATTCACTGCGTCACATTAGAAGCCTCAATTTATTTATTTTAACACAAACATTGGTACAAGGGAGAACCAAATACATATGCGTCACATAACAACAATAAGGTCAATAGTAATTTGGATTGATTTGTGTGAGGGCTGTGATACTGCCCGGGTCCCGAAACTGGGGCCACACCCGCAGCGTTTGACCTGAAGGTCTAATCCATAAAGCAGTGGAGTAACGTAAGGAGATAGCAGTCCCATAGTAGCCAGTGACTAACAATAGGTTCACATGCCTTTTGTTCGCTTAGGATCCTAGAGCCCATGTGGATCATTGGTTTGGAATCAGGGTTTTTCAACTCCGCAAGGTGGATCTTCCATATCCCAGTTAAAGCGCCGGACATTCACTTTCCGTCCTCTTAACTTCGTAAACAACACCCCCACCGCGAGAAGGCAGTGAGTAGGACTTCGCTGACAGTGGTTGTATACGCGTGGCCGTGTGAGAGCTGGCTCTCCCCACCCTCGGCCATACCAGGGCATTTGGGAATTCTAAGCACGTTAATTGTTTTTCTGAGGATAATTACATATAGTCGATTAATTTTCTTTCAAAAGTATATATGATTTTATTCATACATTTGCATGGGCCTAAGAGACATTAGAGAAGGTATTGTTTCATTACAACGGTTTCCTGTTATTTATCTTTTTTTAATCAGGGTTTCCAGATAGCCGTGTTGCACGTGCTTACCTCTACCCAAATGTCAAAACCGATTTGCCGCCGTTTAAATGGGAACCACCGAATGTACCGCTTCTTGTCAAATATCCTTTTTTTGAAGAAAAGAAAACGTCGCATAACTAGTTAAGAAAAGAACTAGAAAGTGTTCCAATTTGTTTATAGAACATCAACTATATTAGCGGATGACTCTAACATGAGTAAATTACGACAATAAATTGTCATAATTTTCTCTGAGCTGGATGTTTTAGTCGTGGAGCTCTCATTGTTCTCCTGAACAACATCAGCACAAACTTCAGGTAGAAGTGAAGTGTTCGAACCCCTCTACATATGACTCAGCTTGTCATACGTGGAGTAATTCGAACACTTCACCTCCACCTGAAGTTTGTGCTGATGATGTTGTTCAGGAGAACTATGAGAGCTTCACGACTAAACCATCCAACTCAGAGAACAAAACTCCACTTGAATTACAAATTTTTTACACCATCTCGAATTGTAGTCTTTAATATTCGAAAATCAACATCGTAAGATGATTTCCTCTAGTACTATCCATTCTTTCATCAACATAAAATCGTATGAATGGAGTTAAATAAATGTAGATTCATCACGATAGTGAATAAAAACCCTACCTATCCATTCAGTGTTAATCATTGATTTTAAAGCCTTTAATGTTTATTAATGCTTAATTTTTCGTGAAACACGGCTTATGAAATTCGCCTTGTTAAGTGCAAGTTGTGTATTCCAATTGTAAATAACTAAGTTTTAGCTGTAAAACAGATTGTATAAGTGAATATGCAGTTGTCCTAAGAAAACGGAGAAAAAGCTGTCAAGATATAAGCGTACAAAGAAAGTTTAATGATAAATTTGTTTATCAAGGATCTTTCTGTTGACTTGAAAACTCTATGGATCATTAAAATTGAGTTATAGGCAATGTGAATTAGATCTATCCTTAATGACTTAAGTAATTATTGCAACTTAGGAAATGCTCTTTTTGTAGTCTTGGTATCATACTTATGTGAAGACCACACATATTATTAAATTGCTTGAACGAGCTCAAATTCAGCTGTTAGATCGACTGAGATATTATAGATAGAGCTTAGGAACTAGATGTATTCTAATTTGACTGGTGTTGACGGCTTACCGTCCCAGTTTATAAAAGATGAAACTTTTTTGATAACCACAGAGGAAGTGGCTTATACTGAGTCACGAAACGTCAGAAAATTTAATTTTTCTACTCATTGGGATATTACAAATATATTAATTTACTCACACAGGAATTGGTGTCTAAAATATTACTCAATAGTCAATCAATACTCAACTAGGGCTTGCGAACAGTAAATCTGGGAAAAACAGACTGGTTCCCAACCTGGACGTGGATTTATCGACCAACTGTTGAACTAATATATACATATGTACTAAGTTGTTTATGACAGACTATCCGAACAAGGGTCCAAACTCCTTACTAACTGATTTAATCATTTATGCCTGGATTATCAGGTGGAAACGCCTCCCCCAAAAATGTTTGTAGTAAAGGGAAATAATCCAATACTGATAAGTGGATAAATTGAACAACTTTAATTCCCGATTCCAAACATGTCAATGTTAATCATGAATGAGTAGAAGTTTGTTACTATTCTTCCTTAGTTTTTTTCTATTACACACACGTGAATACCTTATTGGGATGGAATACTGAAAAAACAGAAGCTATGTTGGCTTCTGTACTCAAACATAGACAAAATATGGAGCTTGGGGATCCTAGAGAAATTCTTTCGTCCAAATCACTTATAACAAATTTTTTTCAGATTGAGAATCAAAAGATTTTCCAAAAATCAGAAATTGCTAGTCATCCCGTTGATTCATCAGAGTTGGATGAAGTAAGTTGTATTTTATGCTGGAGAACTATAATTAATTATTAGAGGGTCTGGTAAGAAATATCAGACAATCTTTAACATTTCCAGTATTTTTTAGTCTCATATATATATATAGAGGGAGAGAGAGTTATGGTTAATCGAGATACCCATCTCTTTTTTAAACATCACTGGGTGTTTACTCGTTTATCAGTAACTATCACCAGTAAGTCCTAACGCTGCATAACTTGGCGCACATTATCAGATTTTTAACTAACGTCAGTGTTTGATTAATTTAGAATCGGTGAGAACATAGCTTTGAAACTTTAACTTGATGTTGAATGCTTACAGACTAGCTTTATTCAGTTCGTTATCCTGAACTTATGTACGGTTTTAACAACAGTCAAGTTTGTGTATCAAATGAGCGAAATTAACTGAATAAGTGACAGTCTAATTAGGGATAGTACAGTTTTCAACAAGCAGTGTTCCAGTAAATCTTGTAGAACTTTTGTTCTGAAATTCAGCAAAGCGTTTATATCTGACACCCGAAAATCTTCGTGTAGGATCATTAACATCCTTTTAAAAAAGTAATTAAACTTCATTAGGTGTTCTAATTGGTAGTTATTTCGGACTTTTCATATTTTAGGTAACGGTACCGAGTAAGCGCGTTCGTCACGCAGCCAGTCGCTTACGAAATCAAAGAACAACAGATCGATTTTTTAAAGCTCCCAGCACTTCACAGCATACAGCACTAGTGAAAGATGTAAATAACCTGCTTTCTGAATTACCTAAACTACGTCAGACTCGACGGAGGCAATCTGTGGAAAAACCTCCAGAGCAAACGAAGACTTTACCCGAGAAAAAACGCAAGGAGAAGGCTCAGGTTAAACCCCAACGTCGTGTAGTAGAACGTGTATGTTTATCCGAAGAAGATGAAGATTAAAGCATTGTGAATGCTACTCAACGTTGTACAGCCTAAACTTTCTTAATCAAAATTCTTTCGAATCTCTTTTGTTTATATTTCAACTCGTTTTTTTTAATTATTCACTTGTTTCAAAAACATGACTGACCTTATTTTACAGAGAAATAAAAAATACACATTTTTTTAAACAACAATCAAATAACGTTTATTTAAATGCTATGCATAACTTTTGATAATATTAGATTTAATAACATTTTAAAAATGAAATGATTAGTAGTTTGTGTTTACAAAGAGATTTACATTGTAATCACAAATGATTGAGCATCTTGGTAACATACATTCATGGCGACACTGTACATAATCTTTAAAGCCGTAAGCAGCCTACTTGCTTTCATTATATATTACGTCAATTTATTCACATATAGTACAACTCTGCCTGTATACAGTTCAACATAAACAACTGTAAAATATGGTTCCAAAGTACTCGGAGTTCTACCAGCTTTTAAAACTTGTATATTCATTAGTGCTTCACATAGTGCTGGACGTCCAGCAAGATTTGTATCGAGTAGATCAAAAAGTTCCGGTTTACTGCATCCACCTCTAGACGGACATGTATGAGTTTCTACTATTACAAAATCAGCCTGAAAAAAAAATCAGTTGAAATTTTTCAATTAACAGTCAAATAATAGTAGATGTTCTGAGCAACAGAATTCAGAAGTGTTGTGATTTGCGGTGTTCAGGAGTTGATACTGATACACACCCTTCTCCAAACATGAGTACAGCCAATTGATTAAGTGTACGGACTGAAAGTTTGAAAGAAAGTTTATTGACTAAGCCGAATCGATATCTGTACACATCTATATTCCTTAGAAAATAAAGCCGCCTATGGTGTCTCATTCCTAGAAAATGAAAACTATTTTTTTAGCCAATCACATGGACTCATCATTGGATTGATTTCTGACTGGGCCAATATATCACTTTTCCCATCTAAAAAAGTTTGGTCTAGCTTCTCAGATTCAGTTTTACGAGGAATTAAATTAACATCATATGCAGCCAATCAAGTGCACTAATGATTTAGCAGATTTCTGACTGACCTAATATGTTAAGTAACACACAAAATAGTTCATTACCATACACTTTAAATACATTAATAGATTCAAAATACCACAACATAAAGTAGATTTAGCTATATTATGATTCGAAATTTCGCAAACAAACGGAAAATCATACAACGCACAAAATTTCAGCTTGTTTTGCTGGTGGTGATGCACGAAATTACATTTCGAACGGGTTTTGTCTTACAGCATCAAAAAATGTAGAGAAAAAATCGTAGTAGAATTTCGTCACAAAAAGTGATTAGTGTCGTGATTCACTCTAACCCCTTTAAGGTGATTAGATTGAATGGAATTTTCTCTTGAGTGATCGTTTCATAAATTCATTAAGCGAACGGTACTGGATTCGAGTCCCGGAGTGAACATCAACACTGGAATGCCAGTGCGTTCAGCTGACGAGTCACATATAGGACGAAACGCTCCTCCAGGATCCTACTGCTAGCCACCATCCATCTGCCTATAATGCTTGTGACTTACGGCACTATCGAGGCGATCCGCATAGGTTACACATGTGCCGATAAGAGACTGGTCTATTGCAGTCCTAAACATCAACAGGAAATTCAAACAAAATGTATATGTAAAATTAATACTTATATCTCTTTTCGTTTCTCATTCGATAATTTTTGCGTAGCATATTATGCTATTCAATAATGTCCAGCAGCTAATTGCATGGTGTCTTATTATCGGTAGTTTCACGTTTAGTCCTTGTAAGTATTAAACTGTTCATTTTAGTCTGAGGCCTGAACAGCATTTATGCACCCTATTCGAACCCCATAAGTTTTGTACTATTGAACATTATATAATAAAAACAGTTTCAAAGGTCGATTATCATGGTGTGATTTTTTTCTCTGATCTCTATTGATATCATGTTTCATTGGAATAGAACGAAGTTTTCCGTTCGACTTATATAAAGAGGTTACGTGTTTTTGACATTACTCGACATTTGGTTTTACGATTTATAAACTGTTGGATAGTGCCTATCATTCCTTCCTGGGCTTTCAAGAAAAGATTTTGGTGTGTTGCGGACAGCGCTAAAGGCATTTAGTAAGGTATGTGATAAGGTTATAATGAATATGGTTGCGGATAGACATTTAAAATTTTACAAACTCCTGGCAAGTGTTATCAGATACCAACTACTTCTTTTATATCTTCCAGTTGAACATTAGAATCCATGAATGCAAGCAAACTTATAAAATTTCTACAACACCGTTAGTATCCAGCCCATATACTATGCGACGAACAGGTTATGAGAGGTGACCAACTAGTCAAGAACTTGTATTCTTGGACATCATGCGAATCTAAGGATGTATAGATCCTTATCTTAATAAATAAACGTCTCATTTAATTCCAGATAATTTACTTATTTCATGTATATGTGATTGCAATTATCTATTGTTTTTTTTTCATTTTTTATGAGAGGGAGTAGTTGGAATACTTCGTGCTGAGAATTCCATATTGTATTAAACATATAATATTAAATAAAGCCATCAGTAATGATAATAATAATCCATTATTTGGAGTATGTCATTATTTCAGAATACTCACTGGGATAGTCATCGATCTCGTATGCAAAACAAAAATACGCCATGATGTAATAAGCGTTTGGGAATGATAAATATCTTACCTAAGTCAAGGTAGATTATATTAAACAATTTATTCACTAGCAGTATATAGTTTAGTGGTACAGAATACTTTCATGTCCAGGATTAAATAGGAACTATTTTTACTATTTAGAAGCTTGTGGTTCGTTGAGCGATTGTGTAATCCATTTGATTTCCGCAAGTAAACCTTTACTATATGGTAACTGTTTGCTTAAATATTCTTTTCTTTTAAGTATATTACAGTGAAAATTAACTAAGACAAAGTTTTCAGTGTGAATGTGGGGAAAAAACAGGATATATTTCCTGTAAATATATATGAATGATAATATTTACTTTTAAAATATGACGATATGTATGCCATACATCATGAACAGGTTTACGACTATAAATCCCATAAGCTAAAATAGTTCTATAACGAAGCATTGTATTCTCATAATGTGGATGATTTGTAAAAGCAAATCCAGATTCATTCAATGAAACAATTTGAGTAGATGGATAAGGAGCAGAGGCTGGTAATGTTAAACGTAGATTGCCTAACAAAGACATTGGTCCAGATATAATCCATGATAAGGATGATGACGATAAGGTAGAATCTTCACGTTTTTGCGGTAAACTTCGAAACCAATTAATTAATATTTCACTTTCATACGCACTGAATGAACCTTGTATACTCCATTCAGACTAACAAGGATTGGAATAAAAAATTATGTAAGAATGCAATATTTATCATGAGCAATTGGAATATTTATCAATATCATTAACTTGGAAAATCACTTTAACAGATTTAACATAAAAAAATCAGAAAGCTTAGTGTATGAGAAAGATAACATCAGTTTGAACATTAAATTAAGTGGGTTTTTTTTTCAAAATGATCAAAAATATTTGTAGCTCAGAAAGAGTATTGTTTTCTTTGCGCTAAACAGTTTAGTTGTGCAGCTTTTGATTGTTATTTCTAGACAACATCATCAAGATACATTTGGAAAACAAGTGAGCTACTAGGGATTTTTCAAAATTAACTAACAGCTTATCCTGTTGATCAGAGATTTAGTTGACTATTAGACATTTTCTCTCAAAACTATGTCAGTACATTTTCCTCTTGAAATAAAATGAGGCTTATAAATTGGTTCATTTGTTAAAAGATGACCTATTAATACTAATATAATCAAGTAAAAGTGTGATTAATTCTAATCACTTAACTCTAGGAAATTACGAAGAAAAACAGGATGATAAGATTCTTTCTGTGGACATTTGCTAGAAATTACCAGTTAACAAATGGTGTATTAAAATCTATCAATTATATTGTTTCTAGCTCTAACTTCCAGTTTTGTGATAGATTGTTACCAAAACAAAGAATATTCAGACTGACTGTTGTAACGTGGTGTGTGACTGCAGGTTTAAATACGCAGCGTTATATCGATCGCTTCTGTGACAGTGACCCGTAAACTTGTAAGGATGACCTAGTGCCCTGATTGGCCCTGCCTCGCTATCTGTCCCCAGCCAGTTGAGTCAAGAACAAAAGTCACAGCCTCGGAGTTATGAATCATTATATTTCAAACATACACTATTTATATACCAAGCAAACAAACCACATCGTACCACAAAGTAGAAAATAACATTGTACAATATTGGCCAACAGGAAAATAACACGTTAAATAAATATCGACCAATGGGAAATGTACATTTGAGGTCCAAGGACACCATTGGACTTAACATGATAATTATTGGTCTATTTTTCCGACTACCTAACACCTCCCCTTTTTCGAAAGATGTGGAGTTCATATCTGCGTTTTAAAATTTTCTGCGTCCGTCCTCCCCCGCGAAATAACGTTGGGTCCTCATATACCCAAGTAACAGTTAGTCTAACTCTATTTAAAGCATATTTCGCGCATTGAGTAGAGGGTTCACTAAAACTGACTAGATGATGAGGATTAGCGACACCAGACATGAGGTCATTAAGGTTTGATTCTTGTGCAACATATTCTTCAGACCTCTTCAAAATTCCGTCAGTGGGTAATAGGTCACTAACATAAACAGCATCTTTGAAATTAGTATTGGATTTCTGACCATTATTTGATGCACGGGAAACATTTTCTGGCACGAGGGGTTCTTCTTGTAAGTTGGATACCTCACATGTTTCAGGCACAGTGGGATTTCAACCCACAACAGGGCATGCTTCTGAATTGGGCACTTCTGGATCGCTGGACGGATTATGAGCGACTGCCTCATTTGCACTACTGATCATAAGGGATTCATAGAGGCTTTTGTTTTCATCTTCATATGTCCTGCAGTCATTCTCGAGTTCAGTATGTAGGTGAGAAATTAATTCGTCAACCTCTTTCACATCTCCGAAACACGGGAGATTTAGCAGTCGCGTGCGCATGTAGTCCAAAACTTTCAACTGGCTCTCTCTGTAACGATCTAGTAGTATCTGCAATTGACCTGAGGGGATAGTCATTTTCTGAATCAGCAGAGTAATGAGAAATACTGTAATCAATTAACAACCAATGACTCCCAAGGACGCTGACGATCAATCTGAATGCTGATTGGCCAAAATAAATAGGATGAATCTCGTCCAATTACAGGGTTCAAAATTTTCTCTACCCCGTCGCCAATTGTTGTAACGTGGTGTGTGACTGCAGGTTTAAATACGCAGCGTTATATCGATCGCTTCTGTGACAGTGACCCGTAAACTTGTAAGGATGACCTAGTGCCCTGATTGGCCCTGCCTCGCTATCTATCCCCAGCCAGTTGAGTCAAGAACAAAAGTCACAGCCTCGGAGTTATGAATCATTATATTTCAAACATACACTATTTATATACCAAGCAAACAAACCACATCGTACCACAAAGTAGAAAATAACATTGTACAATATTGGCCAACAGGAAAATAACACGTTAAATAAATATCGACCAATGGGAAATGTACATTTGAGGTCCAAGGACACCATTGGACTTAACATGATAATTATTGGTCTATTTTTCCGACTACCTAACACTGACTAACTATATCAGCTGGTAATAGCCGTGTAAGTGAAGTCTATCGTGTCAGCCACTACTATCAAACTTTGTATCAGGATAAACGTTTAATTATAAACGACGAGAAAAAACGTAACAAAAAATTACTGAACCATGAAGTCCCATGGTTTTTTTATGCTTAATGGTTCAACAACCTAATTAGATGATCAACAAAATCATAAACAGAAATAATTTGGTCATATATAGCAATAATTTGACAAATACCAGATGATAATAAGTAATTAGACTGTCCATTAATAATTAGAGGTTCAAGTGATCACTAAAACACTTGTTCATAACGAAAGCCAGGAATAACACCAAGAGATTTCTACAGACTAATTTCTGTGCTTCTGAATATAGCTAGACATAATGGAGGTTAAGCAGACGATAATGTAGAGCATCAAACAATATTCCATGGAGTTATTGATTGTTTAACTGAATCATGTGGGAAGGTTCAAAGATCTTGACCGGAGTTTGTCTGTAAGGTTATTACGACCAATGATTGACGTTGGGTGATATTGCTACAAAACGGTCATGGTGGCCCATATTCATCTATCCTTAGATCTTGAGTTCCAATGTTGTTTCACACTATTTATTCCACACAACCATTCATTTTTGAGCCATATTCTAGACGTCTATTGATTTAATTATCATAGGGCATTACTTCGAATATTTTGCTATAGATCATCTTGTTGTACTGATCTAGTTTGATAACTTCTCTGGGCCCATATTAATACCAGCTCTTACTTTATTTTAATTACATGATATCAAAACCCATATGGTTAAAAAAAGCTTACGACGTTAACAATGTAATAGCAGTGAAACTCAAAAATCGACAGTAAAGGTTACAACTAACTTTTAAATTCTCCAAACCACGTCCAGCCATAAACGCTATGAACAATACTAGTATTGTTGTATAAATAACATGATGAAACCAAAATGAACGTTTTGTCCTTTTTTCAGGTTCACAGACGCTATTCAATGACGATGTAGGAAATATACGGCCACTAATGCTTTTTACTTCATGAAACATATCAAACCATCGTGTAGGCTGAGCTAATATAGCGAGTGATAAACACATTTGAGGTGTCCAGAACAGTTTGAGTCTCATAATTAACATAGCCATAATCGTAAAAATCGCCAACTACATAGCCGTAAATTCATGCAATTTTTAAAAAATAATTTAAGAATAAGAACTAAAGTTTTATTTCAAAAACGTTTTATGACACGATATACAACTCAGGTAGATGGTTACTATGATAAAATTTTGCAGAACCATAGACAAGATAATAATATATGTTTAGAAATTGTACCAACACTAGTTTAGTTTCTGTCCTGGCCGTCAGAAATTGGAAACAAGTTGGAAAGGAATGTATGCTGGATGGACCTATGAGTTTTTGGACAGATGACAATCATATAATGTGGTTTTGATTATGAAGTTAACTGAAAAATGTAAATTCCATAAAGCCGAAAACTTCAGTTCCACACAATCTTCAGAAAGTTCTAGAAAGCGGGAGATTCGAGAGGCTTCTCGATAACACTGATATATATCATAGATGGTTTGTAACTAGCTACGGAATTCTGAAAGTGAGTTTCTTCCTGTTTGATACTTGTCAACTGAATGAACCTACATTCCAGTGTGGTGTTGGCATTGTCACTGAAACTCAATACCCCTAGCCCCAAACCCCGATACATTATCTGCTGGAGCTACTGAGACTAGATAACGATTAAGTTGTCTAACGAGAATGACATTTACATCAATATTAGTAAGGATTTTAATTATCCCATTGTTGGTATTTACGATTGAATTTTCATCAGAATTTTTTGACAAGCATTCATCCTGTGAGAATCGCCTCGACAAATTCATTTTCATCACAAGTTTTATAGAACAGTTGGAATGTGGGACTAAAAGTGGGCTACATATGTATATTACGTACTTTATTTCTAAGAGAGTAGTGTAGTTTTGAACTTTAGGAATTACTTTACGGACTGATATTGCTTATATTTTTACCATTCAATCTTTAGATCATTAGACTGCTATACTCCTTGAAATGCAAGCTTGAAGTGGACTTATCAACCATTGTTATACATTTTATTATTCCTTAATTATTGTTAAGTAACTATGTATTGTTTTATCTGTTTTGTCCCACATATAGCATGATTGTATGTAAAATATGATTTCATATTCAAGGTATATAGTGATATGACCAATACATATAATGGGGACCTGGAATTTAGTAATAGGAGCTTTCCTATTATGTTCTTCTGTTCAGACTTAAGACTGGAAATAGGAAATATGTGTATTGCCAGAACAATAGGAGTTCATATTAAAAGCCAATAATTTGTGCAGTGATTACCTTTTTAGTAAGAATGAGTTCTGGTAATCATGCTATCACCAATTCGAACCTGTCTAAATGAAGATAATATTGACTTCTTAGCATGCTATATATTTAGATTGAAAATAGTGTTCACATTATAATGAGACGAGTATTGGGTAAGTTGGGACTTTCAGGACCATTTTTAGATCATTATCATTTACACGTAATCACTAGATAACTGTATTTGTATGTTCTTCTTATTCTAAGCTAACAATAGACATATTAACAGCACTAACACGTTTTGCTATTCCTAAATTATTACCAACTAATTATGTACTATTTGCTTCGTTCGCTGTTACTTGTAGCATGAATCGGTTGAGAAACCACTATATATGTTACTCATGAAAATATCAGTACTTCTACATAAATGTAAGGTATTAATGGTAGTTCAGACATTTAGTAATGAAAATACATTGCACATAAATAAATGATTAGAATTAAAGGAATTAACATTGCAAATAAGTCTTTTCGAAACCATTAATATATTAAAAGTCCATAATTATAGCAAATTTCTCATGTTGAAAGATTACTTGATAGAAAATTACAATTCTGAACGTCCATTCTACTGATTGAATGGTACAATTCATCTTTTATGCTGATCTTAAAAGGTAGAAAAGACCAATGCAATAGATTTTATATCAAAGTTGAATAATCGTTAACAGTGGAATATAGAACGTTTGTCTCGTCCCATTTGGGATTGATTCGTCAGTTGAATATGTTCGAAAAAATGGAAACTATAACAAATAATTGTAGCACATGTAATATCTTTTCTGAATCGAATTTTGTATTTAACATCAATTATTACACGAGTATCCTGAGATAATCCATCAAATAAGTATAAAATCACAAGAAATAAAGTGAAGATATACACATTCGCACATCAGTTCACTTACCTGAATGATAACTAATAGTGAAATAAAATCTCGCAATATTTGAAATGAATATTCACAGCTTGACAAATTATCACTGTTAAACAACTGGTTATTTACAGTTACTGAAAGATGATGGTGACGATGAGAACTGAACAAGTTCCTGAATAATTTGAAAGAAACGATGAAGCAGACTAGAATGGAACCGTATATAAGACCAGTTTCAAGAGGTTGTTTTAAAGTGGCCCACTAGTAGACAAAAAAATAAAAGAATAAATTGGTGTGATTAAAGAAAGAAAAGTCAAGACAGTAGTATGAAAAATATATGTTAAGCTCATTAACATTCTATCTTAACCCTATTCTTATTCAACTCTATGTAATACCTTATACTACTTAACAATGTTCAGTAGCTAGTGTCATTTCTAACAATTTTAGAGCATCTAGTGTGTAACCTATGTATCTGTTGTATAATGTTCTTCAAATTTTACATAAACTAGTAACATCCATTATATTCACTACTGTGATTACAATCGCTCAACACTCGTAAAAGTTACTCTCAGTCTACATTTACTTCTTAAATCTTTCTTAAAATGTAACAGCTTTCATATTTTTGTGCTTTGAGTTCCCGATTGATCATTAAAGCCAGCGTCGACTTTAGATACGGCTGATGAGTGTCAGTTACGCAACAGTATACTGCAATTTGTCTTTACATATTTGTTGCAGAAAGTATTTTGCATTGAGGATTTTATTCTCCCGTTATATCATAACCGTAAAGGTGTTGTAACATCTGAACTGAGTAGTTCAATGTTGATGATGTACAGAATGATAATATGGTTTAAATCATAAAACACAGGTATCAGAAAATATATCCATCTGAGGTTTACATTACCTGCCCGACAATTTTTGTAAATTTGTTTTTAAAAAATCCCCCCCCCATTAAAAAACTTTTCAACCCCAAATTACAATATTTTCCATCCCGTTTCGTCCAATGAAATGGCTAGTTTTAAAATTCGTTTTAATTTGTTAGTTATGTCTTGTCAAATTGTTATAAAATATCAGTACTTGCCGACGAAGTACATTTCAATCATCATTATGGAGGAGAGTAACGTGCCGAGTACAAGCGCTGTTGTTTCTCACGTAACAGAAACGGAGGAAGTCTTTTTGACAACATTGTTTCTCGTTGCGTTCCCATCGCTTGAAGCGTTAAAGTCCGCTACCACAAATTATGAAAGATCAACTTACTGTCATTATGTAGTGAGAGATTCACATTTGGGCAGAAGTGAAAGTTCGTATATTAAATTTGTGTGTTGGAGAAATGGCCGTATAAGATCTAGCGGTTCGTCACAGCGGATTAGATGGATGAGGTAATTTGATTAATGTTATTATAATTTTTTTCACGAAGGGCTTCCATGAACACTCAATGTCCGGCCTTCATGTTTTGTAGACGGCTACTGGGCTGTTGTACGTGGGAATGTGCATCACAATCACGAGTTCAATTCCCTGAGATACCAAAGTAATTCATGGGTGCGCAGGTTAACGGAGGCCGAGTTTGAAACTGTGCGACCGCTGCTGATATCTGGTACCGCTGCATTCCACATTAAGAATTAAGCTTACCATTCTTATGGGAAAAGTCTGAATGCTCAAGATATCTTTAATATGCGGTACAAAGTGTTCTCACACGCAAACCTTCCTGGTAAGCAATTTGCCAATTTATAATGTAAACGATAGGTGATTACAGAAAATTAAAAGCTCACATAACATCTTTGGGTGGGCTTTGCGAATACGAATTAGACGATGATAACTGTCTATCGTATTTTTTCTTCACGACTGGTGATCAAATGATGTTGGCAGGTCGTTTCTTTGATGTTATTGGTTTTGACGGGACAAACAAGACGAATAACGAGAACATCTATTTATATCAGGTCATCGCCCTTGATATGAATCTTAAGGCAATACCCGTTTGTATTGCATTTATAAGTCGCGAAACATCGACTTTTATTTATCGATTCCTGTTGTTTTTCCAACGGTCAACCAACAGTCGACAGGTGGTAGGCATTGTGACGGATGATTCACCTGCAATAGCTGCTGCTATCACGCAGGTGTATCCAAATGCTCACCATATTTTGTGTCGTGTACACCTTGTTCGCAATGTTATAAAGAGGGTAAGTGTTTCGTTCATTAACATCAACCCATTAACCGTAATTGTAGAGGGTACGATCAGAAGTGATACAACTTTTTTTCGCCTGATGTTCACTCGGACGGTTGAAAGGTAAATCAAAAGCTACATAACATTATTTTGTAGTTTTAACAATGTATCGTCTTTAATCGAAATATCCGACGGAACGTTTGCCCGATATGTCAGAGACCACCTACTACCGAGAAAAAAAACAGTCTACTGTTTTTCGACCATCAGCAACACTACTTCAACTAAATAATACGAACTTCGTTAAGACAAGTCATCGAATTTTGAAGATGCATCAGCTGAATGGGAAAACACCGGTGCTGAGATCTATTTTCAATGTGCTACTTCTCACTAGATATTGGGTGGAAGCACGATTACAGAAATATACATCAGATTGTCGGATAAAAGCCAACATTGGTCAAGAGCCAGAAATACGTCGACTTCAGGAACGACTGACACCAGCTGCATGTCAAGTACTGAAGCGACACCTGCGCACTCCTATAACGGGAGTTTGTAATGTCTGTTGACTTATTCACGGCTGTGGATGTAACAGGCACTTACAATGTACACCGTGATACCATGCGCTGCTCCTGTTCATTTTTCATTGAAAACGGATTGCCATGTCGTCACATATTGGCTTACTGTACACACGGTAATACTGATGTGAACGTAAAGTCAATTTGTGACAGGTGGTTACACTCTGATAGTTATCTGACTCATATTGCAGTTGAGAATTACTTCCCAATGCAATTGAGCCACACACTTTTGCTATCATTTCAAATCTAGACCGAACAGTTCAATAGTTATTTTGAAAATAGAAAGCCATTCTGTTTACATTTTAAATGAAAGTGTACGTATTTTGTGACAAAAAACATTTTATAGTAAATGACAGTTTTTTTATCTCATTTAGAAAAATATATTCACTCATGAACTAATATGTATGTGACAGAAAGGGAGAAAAGAGGGATTACATTACTTACATTGATAAAATCAAACTCTGGTGCACATATATACAACATTGTATGAAATGTTTTATAAGTTGTAATACCAAATAATATGGTTAATTTATGCTTTAATAAATCCCATATATGGCCCCCATCATTGTGATTATTATCATTACTTCTGTTTAAATCATAATTATTATTGAAAGCATACTTTGAGAAAACTGAGAATAGTAAACTTAATCCGATCGTACATAGACAGACAACCAATAATGGTAAGCATAGAAAACGTATAAATGTAATATTCATCATTGATGATCGAGTAGATACTTCTTTCTTTTTAATTGTCATTGGATTATAGGCTAAGAAAGGAAATGGAACAAAGGAAAGTTTCTATTAAATATAATACTAATGACAAACATCATTATTTCGTTTTAATTTATTTTTACCGGGTCGTATTGCATCTTCTCGTTATTGGTATTAAAGACTGTAATTGATCGGTTGCTTTCTTGGTATATATACATCTTCTGCAGATCGCTTTGATATTCTAATTAAGTCATAAGCATTTAAAGCAGAGTTGGAGAGTAGCTGATGGTGAGATTCAGAACGCTTCGTCCTTCTAGAGACTCCATCAACTGGATGCCCCGATATAAACATCAACACTGAGGGTAGCCAGATGTCAATTTGAAATAAAATAACGAAATACTACTAATCCCAACGAGTTTAGAACTTCGAAAAGGCAAAAGCAAGAACTCAAATTCGAAGGAATTAGTAAGGAATTTTTTTACGTCCAAACGAAGGATAAATGAGTGGCAACTTCCATGAATTATTTGTAGACTTATTTATTATATATATACTTATCGTATAATTATTAAGTGACTAGGTTATGTATATTTATACTCCCTTTACCATAACTTTTCACTTGACCAATTGACTGCTGTTATACGATTTACTGTTCATAATTTATTCCCGGTCTATTGGTTACAGCCTCCTACACTCACAAACAATTTTGGCCTGATCCTGTATAACTGTTATTTTTTTATTTAATGGTGTGATGTGGTCTGGTACGCTTGTATGTAAACTACATGTCTGAAATATATTATTCATACAGCATAGGCGGACACTGTGTTCTGAACTGAGCGGACAGGGCTAGACGAGAAGCTACTATATTAGGAACCAATAAGAACTGATAGTTGACTCAAGGCTGTTAGTGCCGGTTGACGTGTCATTTTTTTATCACAGGATAGGGTCATAGAAGTCGGTATTCTGACTGGAGTTTTCGTCACGTGGTATTTGAGGGACATAATAATGCTGATAGTGTGGATTACATTGATTGATTAAATGAATTAGTATTTATTTGAATAGAATACTCCCACTTTTATAATTATTATTCTCATTGGTTTAATGTAGGTGTGACTACTTCAATACAAGATTGTTAATTCAAATCCATCAACATAAAACGCTCAGAAAGAGTTTAAGGAAGCTATTTAGCTAACTAAAATGATTATAGTGCATTTTATACTGTTCATTAATACTCAAGCTCTATCTTTGTAATCCCAGATCTGACGTTGAAACACTACTACATTTAAGCTTTAACAAATAAACTAATAGAAATAACATTAACAAACAAATAATCTCCGCCACATTTTGATGGTACGAATAATTTGTTCAATTGCTTTAAACAAAAGAACAAAGAAAGAACAAATCACTTACTATTTAATAGTTGTTGAAGTATATATACACTTAATAAACTACTTAGTAGAATAAACATATAACCAGACTGTAGAAGTAAACGATTGCCAAATTGTAATATAAATGATAAATTGAATACAATTAAATGAATCCATATGATCTGTTTTATTTTGAATAAAAGGCTTAGAATAACTGATTTTTGTTGGTTTGAACTAAGAGAATAAGGGGTATTTGATGATAGTGATAAACAAAAGGCACAAATAATCGATATAATTTGAGTAAGTAAAGCGAATTGGGAAAATTGCCATGAAATTTGACAACTCAATAGCAGTATACAGTATATTGGTAAACAAATGAAACTTTTCCCTCGATATGATCGTAACTAAAAGTAGGAAAAAAGAATTATAGAGTTGTTTAGGATAATAGAAGTGCATTGAATAATTTAGGTAGTTCTATTTATAGTCAGAGTGAACAAGTATACATCTTTTTTTAAGCGATAAACACTAACTTGCATAGAATTTCATATATATACAAAATGAAGAACGAGCAGAACGACTGAGTAGTTAAGAAATTATCCTTAGAATGTATGTACTATCAAAGGGACACTAGTGTCAAAGGATGTACTACTGCTTCGAGTAATTTACGAGACTTGTCATCCACTAGTCAACTTCCTTACTGTCAGTGCATCTGTCATCTTTACCAGATAGGATTGTTTTTTTCGTAAGCTTAGATTTACGATGAGTTCGATACTTTTGATGATAAACAGTAGTCTCCAAAGCTACAGCGCAAGTACAATTACATCTCATATGTTTTTGCAGAAAGGGGAATACAATCCAAGAGTAAAGTAAGCAATAGACGACTTTTTCTATTCAGCGATTCCATAAGCTCATTTATGAACAGAAATTCGTATGACTGACAGATCATTAAGTGTAGCTTATTGTGTTCAACTTCATGAACAGTATATCAGTAAACCACTTGGAAGGATCAACATTTATTCTGTTTGACTGTGATCCCAAGATTCAGCACTGATACAATGAAGATTTCACCCACGAAGATGAGGAGTCAAAGCTAAATGAACACTACTGAAAAAAAGTTATTCCCAGGTTATATGTAAGTCGAGATCCGATTTCTACCGGTAATATTTGAGAATATCAACAGAGTAGCGACTTAATAATTCAGAAAGTGATAAGCTTTGTCACTGGTAAATGAATAAAACGTTCAGATACTGAACTTCGACAAGTTTTTCATCGACGAGACTAACTTTGTATTTTAAATGATTGCCAAATCTTTGAACAATGGATTGTAATACGTTAATATTATTCGTCAGTTGTATATTCGGCAGTCTGTTATTTATAGGTATACCAAAGTTGGACTTGATAGTTTCAAATAAATTGAGCACTGGGTAGAGTTAATAATAAATATATATATTTTTTTATATATCCCAATGAGTAGAAAAATTGTATTTCTGACGTTTCGTGACTTAATGTAAGCCACTACTCTGAAAAAGTCACGAAACCTCAGAAATACAAGCCTGGTATTTATCGAATAAAATGCATTATCCAAAATTTTGGTTATTGGTCAGAAATGGAGGGAAAAATAGCAGATTTTGTTCGCTATTTACTCATATAGTAAGCAAGGTACCAAGAAGGTAAGCATATGGTCTTAGGAAGGAGTACCAGAAGCCTTTAGTCTACCAAGTAAATAGAACGAGGGAAAACAATGAACATGAATATCTGTCTTAACCTGCCGTAATTTCCCACTCTAGGCGTTTATGAGCCGGGATATCACATATGTACATTAATTTGTAGCGCATATGCTATTCAATGTTTAATATCAATCATTTTTTGTTCATTAAGTGGATGAACGCTGCGTGTAAGCGCAGAATTTTAATTGGGAATTTCATTTCAGGTTTAAACTCTGTTTTTTTACTTTTTCACCCGGTAAGTTGGGATGCGCAATAGTAACGCATTAATAAAAGACATATGTAGATGGCTTTAGATTATTTAAACGAAGTCCCTAGTGCAAATTACCATCTTACATGCAGCACTGATACACTAAACGAACGGGAAAATGCTAAATGTTGCTCTTTTTATTGAACACTGAAGAAAGATGGTTATCCCAACTTATGGTAACCGTATGGTTTTAAGTGTATGTACCAGCTTCATTACTCTTAATACGAAATCAAATTAATTTTTCTGAGTTTTTTTAACATTTATAATAATGTAAAATATTACGATTTTACCATTTTGAGTAATGATAAGTTGATTTGATTTTGCTCCCACTACTATTAGGACTAACAGTCAGGTCTAAACTGGTTGGAGAATAAGTGGTCTATAGACTGATTTCCTCTAACCACCTACTATATTTTGTCATACTTTTTGTTCATATTTCTTATATAAGCACATTACTTTATTACATAAAGAATCTATTCATCTAGCTATTGGTTTTTGTAATATCTTGGGGACCACTGGCCATTAGTACCACGTGCCAAGTCACCACCCAGGGTCTTAATTCTAACTTGATCCTTTTCGCGTCTATATATACTCATTGGATTTTATTTCAAATATATATTTTCTTGTGATATTGCTTCTAGCAGTGTGCAACTGACCGTTAGACTTCCATCCACTAAGTAACAAGCTCAACACTCCACTCCACCTAATTTAGTTTAGGCACACAAATGAGTAACATTAGCCCTCCCAGTTAGAGTGTGGTTCATATTCAAGTGCCTAGAACATAAGTCAATTAAGTGACCGGTAGATGTTTCATGGCTTAATGTTTGCGAATTCTTACTATTTGTTTCGATGCCTTATATCTTACTTATGAACATACTTTATATAATAATTTCAGATTTTACGTATTAATTAATTGCTAAGTTGTACGGGTTGATTTATTTTAAGTAAACCACACTAAATGATGAATCATCTGCGGAGAATTCGAAAATAGGCATTACAACTACATAACTACATATTAAAAAGATAAGGAAAACTAAGTCTATTTACCATTTGATTTGATCCAAAATAACCTAATAAAAAAGACTGTTGAGTTATAAAGAATGGATAAGCAAAGCTTTCTCTCAATGGTGGAGTCCATTGAACACGTGTAGCTTCTCTATGATTAGAGAAATATGCTAAAATTGGAAGAAATCCGCCAATAAGCTGTAGTATATAATCCATTTTAGATTGATTTGAACTCCCAATCTTAGCAACAAACCAACCAGAGTAAGTTAAACCGAAGAGTACCAGACCTGACAAAATAAATACTGAATTTACATAGAAATATGGCGGTTCGCCAGATCCATCACAACTTATGATCGAGTTACTGTTGATCTTCAATTGATTCGATGGTATTACATCTAGCCTTAACAATAAAAACAAGACAAGGAGATACTGTAATATCAAATGTTTTGTTACATAAAATTTGGAGGAGGGTAATGCGAAAATGCTTATAAAGACAGAAAAACTATATTTATACCAACTATTATAATATATAAGCATGAAACCACAGCTATGCATTAGTAATATTTACATTTAACCTATATTCTTCCATATTTAAACTAACAAAACAACTTTAGTTTAACCAATCGACAGGTATTCTTTGCTAAATAGCACTGAAAAAATGTCATCTATAGGTTAGTCAGAACAGCATCAATTATTCACTCAAATATGACCAGTATCTCAATCACCAAATGTTAAGACCGAACATAGTCAATTATCTTTTATCTTCCAAGTGTTAGAGGGACAAAGAATCGGATCTAGAACCTTCAGTCACGCGCGAAAACATCTAGTCCCTAGACCACTGAACCGGCATCCAACGGTGTTAATGTCTAATCCCTGAGGATTACCATACGAGAAGGAAAAGGTCATCCAGTGCTTCCAGATTTTTAACAGTGGTATAACTTATATCGAATTGTAACTTCAATGAAATAGCCTTTTTTCACCACAGCTGGTGTACCACCATATGTAACCTTGACTAAACACATACATACTCGCTACCAGTCAAAACCTTTTTCTCTCTCTCTAAAACACTTATTGTGAAGCATTATTTTATAAGTGATGACTTTATTTCATTCAGTAAAAAAGGATCATATGGGTTTAAATTGCATATACACCAAATCAAAATAATAGCAGTCAGGATCAATTTGTCTCTTTATTTTATTGCAAAATAACAACTTCAAAGGTCTGTTGTGGTTGTAATAGGTTAGCAAATGCCATTTTTGAGTATGTTTTCCAAGCATCTGCCATTTCAAGTAGAAGTGAAGTATTTGAACTCCTTCATATGTAACTAATAGGTTCTCCTGTCGACCTTGATATTAGTTGGTTATTGCCAATAGTAAGGTGGTTTCCCAGCTCTTTTTTCCTAGCAATTATATATCTTATACACACCTGAAATATGTAAGTCAGGGACCTATACATTCCGAAGTATAGATGTTACTCCCGTGACAGCTTTTTGTTAAAATATACATTAGATTTACACATAAAAGACATAAGTCAAACCGACCTATACCTCTCACGGCACACACATGTACATAAATGCTGACCACCCATGTGTCCGTCGAGTGTTAAACACTGGCTAATTAGAAAATTAAAACAGAGTAATCGATAAGGCGGATCCCCATCAGTCGCTCGTGTTGATTCGTTAGGCACAACCTCACTATTACCCAAGCACCACGAGAAGGTATGTGTTAGATTTTGCTCGGGAGTTACTAGTTACGAGTAAAATATGAGTTAATAGCTCTTAATTTTATATGTAAAACGTAATACAATGTCAAGAATGCTATGACGACAGAGCTTTTGCAAATGATTAATATCATATTGACCACAGATTGTAATATTACTAATGAGTATGAACGATTCAACAGTTCGGGAATAACAATTCAAAAAACGAGTATCACTGCCAAGAATTTTTTAAATGAGTACTGGTCTATGTGAATTTTTCAATACATTGATCAAACTCTAATACAACCTCAGTACTGTAGCTTCTAACGCATGGACTTAGCAAAAGCAACAAACTAAAAATTCATCCTTGGCAAAAGACATCTAAACATATTTTCCATCAAGTCTGAAATTCATGATTCAAATTTCAAATTTGCCGTTAGAGAAATGTCTGTAAACACAAATCTGAGGTTCAGAAACTTCGACCCTGCCAACAGTATGGCCTTAAACAGAGATTTACGCTTCGAAATAAGACATCACTAAAAGAGATTTGCAGTAGTTAAGAAATTTAGTGTTGCGCATAGTGAACAAGGATTAGTGGTTGTTTTTTTCCCGATTCATAATTCCCCTTCGACAACTAGTTTGTAGACGATAATATTATCTTGGAATCTCTCCATCCAAACCAACTATGTCAACTATAAATTTAGTTAATTCAGTCTTCTAGCACTTTGTCCAAGTTTAGAGACTGACATCATTTATGGTTGACTGAACCAATATGAACTCAATTTTCTTCATCTCAATAGTATCACGCTGAAATTTGGGGCAGTAAAGAGTTGTGAACTTATTTGGATTTCAAATGAAGTATACAAAATAATAAAATTTTTCTCCTCTGAGAGAATACGGAATTATTAAAGTGAAATGTATACCTAACGGTCAATGAATGTTTGCTTTTAACGTGACAATTCATGTTAGTGATATATTGGCCAAATTTAAGAAATGGGTCACATTACGCAGTTACTGTTGACAGTAGACATATCTTATTGAGTGGGTTAATTGTGCAGATGTCATATTTCCAAAAATGAACAAATTCTTGTACTGCATTGGGGTTCACGATTGGGCTGTTATTATAGAAACAGCAATACATTCTAATTCGATTATTGATTTATTCGTTCTATGCCTATAGGACTGATGACCTATTTTGCCAACAACCCAGTGACTAATGAAGAACAACAGATACCTTAACTTCCGTCGGTCCTCGAGCTACTTAAACACCAGGATCTAACCAAATGATGAACTTAACAAGTAGATAAGGTCTTTGCTATGTAGCCTTTCAGTCAAATGTGTCAACTTATACAATGATATGGAGTAATTTCCTGACCGCATGATAATGTAAATAAGAAATGACAATATCCACATAACTACGCAATCAGTAAAAGAGAAACTAAGTGATAGATCCGTGATTAATTAACAATAACGTGGAACATACAATAATAGTTTGTGCTCCAAATGAAAGATTACACTTAGGTAAATATAAGTATACAATAATATAAATCACTACGAATTATACAATAGAAAAATATGAACAATAATTCTTCATAAGATATTTTCACAAGTTACAGTTTTTTCAATATTTATCCTATTATAAGAGTAAATTATATTTTTGATCGTTCTGAATAAAAATGATTCTGAATTAAATCAACTTGATATTAATTTCAAATTGTACAAAAGCTTAATATTAAACAACCATTTGGTAATTGTTTATTTTAGATTTCGCCTTTAATTTCAGCAACAGCAAATATATATTTTTAGAATTAAAACCTCATTGTCTGACCATAATAATAATAATAATAATAATAATAATATCGCATGCATCAAAACTACATGTACCCACTTTCTAAGTTGTGATAAATTTGCCATTATATTTGGATTTATAGCGATCGCGATTGGATTAGTCGGTGGATCTCTTTTAACTTGAAAACAGTAATGTCTGATCAAATCAAATGTGTGTAAGAATCTGTAAGCACCAGCTAGCAACAATTCAGGATAGAGATTAAATCGTTCAATAGAATTAAGAGTTGCACATTGATTATTCTTTTGAGTACCTATCATTAAGTGTGAAAAATGAAAGTAATTGAAATTACCTTTATCATTTACTAGGCTTAAGCAAGGCGGATATTCAGTCCTAGTATCAGTAAGCAATGAGTTGAATCCTTCCACAAAAGTTGATGCTAAAACGATCTAAACAAAAAGTTATTCGAAAAATTAAACTATTCAAGAAGTAATTATAATCTGTACAGGAAACAACACCAAAACTCCATACTCATGAGTTTATGACATGTATTGTTTTTATATAAAGTAACTTCTCTATACTAAACTGATTTAAACAATTCAAATTCCAAATCGGTGTTAATTAAAGAATTACTTAAAGCAAAAAGGAACTGTTTCATCCTCGTTTTGAATTTACTAACAGTATAATTCCATGATTACATACAAGATCGAACCGAGGACACTCTGATCTTTTTGAGTTAGAATCCGAAAGAGCATATAGTTGCGATCTAGTGGTCCATACATTAAAAGTATCACATCGTAAACAGACTGGTGACAAAAGTCCTGTAAAATAGACGGAACTTTCATTCTTTACAGCTGGACTATCCAATGTTTTCATAACCCACTAATCTATCACACGGATACAAGATATATAGGGCCCCAGACGACCGATCGTGAGAGAACAATGAAACTACTAAAGTACATCGCAAAATAAGGAATAAAAACATGATTATTCAAATATATACTTTAATGACGTTTAAGCAATCAAACGAAGAGCTTTACTTGTTTAAAGTAGGAATAGTAAAATCCCATTTCAGTCCTAAATGTCAGCTCACGCTCCAAATTGGATAAGTGTGAGAAAAACAGGTCATTTTCATGTAAATTCGAAACATGAAAACAATGCAAATAACCAGCTGTTGTTGCCATAAGAAATAGTATAATATGAAGCGTGACATTTGTCCAGATGAAACTTTTTTCACTTGTCTTTGTTTTCAGCTTTCTGACTGAAACATTTTTATAGATAACTTGACGATCAGATTTACTAGTTTTTCCTTCAAAATTCATTGTTTGAGTGACTAAAAAAAATCAATTCAGGAATAAGACATCTATAGATGGGTAATTATTAAAGCTAATAAACACAAGTCTTTAGAGTGATTACAGTAAAAAACATAAAAAGTTCTCACGAGACTTGCTATGAATAAGTTTTAAATGTTGGTACTGATCACGCTTTCATCGTTAAAATGGTGAGTAGAACGTTGATTAGTCGATGATGTGTAGTAACACAACGTGATGAACCAACAGTTGAGCATGAAACTGAACTACTGATCTAAGCCTTTAAACAAAATGTCGGTATGCAACACGGCTGACCACCACAATAGGCTTTTCTTGAGGCAAAAATAACGCTTTATTTACACGCCAAACAAAAAGTCAAACATGAATACACATCATCTAATACAGGATTGTAGAATCCGAATTTTGTGGGTCAATGTCAGATCAATGAAGGGATCATCTAAGCAGTGCAGTTCACCCTTAGACGTCACGTCTAAATTATTTGAAATTCACACCAATACAGTCGTTCCTTCAGTTATTAGGTGTCGTAATTTCTTCTCAGTTCAACGTAAAAAAACCACACTTTAAAAATATATGTACCAGTTTCAATGAGAATGATAGGTCTACACACGCACGATAACTTCATAAACATAGCCAGGATGTATTCACAGTGTTTTAATGTTACATTTCAAAGTACGATTAACAACAGTGAATATTACACATTAAAAATCCTGGAACATATGCAAAACGGCAGGTCTAAATTAATGGGGTTAAATATACTAAGAACCAAAAAACTACATTAATTGGTAGATGCGACTCCAAAAAGCAGGCTTTTGGCATGTTTTAAGAAGAGAGAAAACACCATAGGAAGCTTCTTGTAGCTGACAACGAAAGCTATATTTAACTCCTTCCCATGCAAACAAAAAAGAGGAAGAATGCTAAGATAAAAGTGCCGAGGAAAGTCATTAAGAAAATTACGTGTAAATACAGCCGACACACACTGAGGGAAATAGTGCAAACCCCCCCCTAAACTTTACTATCAGCTACTGAAGTTGTTTACCATCCGCAAGAATTGTCCTTAGCCTAAATACACACCAAAGACTTTGCTTCGCGCACAATTTTTGCCCACTGTTTCTCTCAAGTGTTTTCTCTTAATTCCTCTTTATGTTATTTTAGAATGTATATGGGTTTCTATAATTATAATTAAGTATTAATGCCCAACTGTACGATCGAAACCAGAATTGTGCAATGGAATTATTTAGAAACACTGAGGTGTGAAGAACGAATGATAGTTTAACCAATACTTCTGTACATGAGCTCAGGAAAACTTTAAAACAGACTACCTGAGCAACTGGAAACACATTTCCGCGGCGCATCGCATGCTTACACATATCCCGCCGTTTTGTATACAATCCGATACATAATATCCTTTTGACAAGCTTGTATAAACCGAATGATTTTTTTACAATCGCTTTTTGCTGTTCCTGTACAATTTCAGGCCTTCGATGATAATCCATCACTTGTAGTTTAGCCACCTAGCTGCACCAGTCCATTTAGGCATTTCGGTAACTATTTCAGCATTTTTATATTATGTAACCTGAATAAGTCAGTTTTTCTCGAAGAAACTGGTTTTCTGAGTGTCAGAATCTATCATATTACCAGGCAGTTAGTTGGTTGGTTGGTCGCAACATAGAAAATCATATAGAAGGAATCGGAATTCATATGGATGATTGTTTCAAGAGGTAAATAAGCATTGAAATCAATTAATTAATATTCCAAATAGCGTAGGTAGATCGAAGTGCAAGAATGAAACGAAAAACCGATATTGTAATGAGCGATGTAGGAGTAGCCTCATGACGTGGGGGGAAGATAACAGTAGGTAAGTTACGAGATAGGAATTAAGGACAGCTAATGCGAGCGGAAGATGATGATCCACAACTTCATTCATATATTTCGAATATTCTCTTGAACCTCTCAACTGATGAGGGTTACTGTCACTTCTTCTGAGACAGTATTCCCAGTGGGTTAACTTTTAAAGCGAAATAGTGGGAGCGTACCTAAGATGACCGCATCGAGTTACCCTCGTATAAAGTGAAAAGTCGCCTTTGTTTCGGCTGTTTCTACAACGCATCTTGAGCTCATTCCCACGTTTTCTCTGACTGATCATCCTAGGTCACGCTTTGAGGAGACAATTGAGAACAGGTTTTCATAGAGGACGTAGGTTGTTTGTGTTTCATGGGGCTGAATGCCTATCACATGACATTTTGATAGGCTAAACTTCTGCCTATCGTCTACCACCTGTTTCCTTATTGTTTGAAGGTCCTTATGAATCTTAAGTGAACATTCTTTCATGAACCTCCATTTCTTGTCATCGTCGGCATTTTATGGGCCGTTGAGCTAATCTTATCCAGAAAGCCATCGTTAGGAGTCATGAGGAATGTTAGACATAAAACGGCTCATTGTGTAACTCCTGATGTTGGAATCCTGCAGTACATGAGTACTTCATGTACCACAATGCAAAACATTCTTTCTTCTGGGTAATTTCAGGTCAACGAGACTCATCCCTCCGACCTTTACTATGACTGGTTATTAGGGTTTTGTGCTCAATGTTCCTTTGGAGCCAATAAATATTATATAGGCTTGTATATGTTCGACAAAGCAAGCTTTCTAGCTGTCTTGAGTCTGGACGTCCAGGATTTGCATTTTTATAAGCCAGTATTGGGCTCAAAGAAGGACGTTGTTTTTGACGTGTTGTGGTGCACTATAGCCTTCGCAGTTTTCGGGATTGTAGGCCAGATACTGACACATAAGTGTGACGTCCTGCAACCGACCGATGCGCCTAGTCAACCTTAAATAACCAAGTCACTGCAAGAACTTTGGAAACTGATACCTGATGCCTGACGTCTGGCCCAATACTGACTGGCACCGAAAGAAGAGGAAGAACGCAATGCAAATGTTCATCAGTTCAAGATCACTGTTACACTTCAAACATCCATTTACATATGTACAAGACCGGACTACACAGTAGATAGATCGGGCAATAGTATTAGCACAATACAACATTACTGATGGGGAAACGGACTACTGAGTACATAAATAATTGGTTCTAGTTAGTAAACGGAAGATGCTATAGCAAAAATTTACAGTTCAAATAAAAGCTTAAAACAAAGGTAATAACAACACAAAGAAAACTAAAACTCCTAAAAACGCGACCAATGTAGATAAATAAAACCGCAGGAAAATAGCCCCGAAAGTTATCATCCCGCAGTTAACTCGTCGCTTGCAACAATGGACTACTTCCTGAGCGACAGGATATTTTACTTAGTATCAACCCGAGAGTTACATGAAAGTTTCTCTGACCATCGGTTTGCACTATGGTCAATAAGTATTGGAAATATCACCTCTGGCTTCGAGTTTCAACGCTGAATTTGTTTCGCACCGTCCATTGATAGCTACTGGTAGAATCATTTAGAAAAACTCCCCACTTGTGCCAGCCTCTTGCTTGTGCATGTTACAGTTATTCTGTGCTTTGTTTCAGACACCATATTCCCTTTCTAGGTGTGTATTTTGTTTGTGCTACATTGTAGAGGATGGTTTTCTGAATAATATCTCTCACTATCAGTAGTAGCTTATACTACTCTCAAATTAAATCTTGCCTTTATCTACCGGCTTATTAACGGTATTTCCTACTCCTCGGTATACACCCCTTCATACCTTATGATATCATCCAACAATCTACGCAATAAGGAGAATATTCTAGCGATTCCAAGAACCCACACAAACTTACGTCAGAATTTTTCCTTATTCGCTACTCAACCATGTGGAACAGACTCCCAGTGAACCTCCGTTGCAGTGAAACTACAACCCGGTTCAAAAGTCTCCTTGACGATTTTCTTTCCGAAAGTGGATTATATCACCTATTGAATATCAATGTATTCAATAATGATTTATACAAACAAGGTTCGTCATCCATTTAATTGCTTGAAAAGCAAAATAAAACCTTTAAATCTTTTCACGTCTATTTTATTTTATTTCTATTTATCTTAATATATGGAATCTGCTTATGTTCGTTTTTATCATTATTTCCGTTATTAATATCATTTTTATTTCCCCGACACATTATATATTCTTTTTGTATCTTCTTATCCTTCTAAACATATTTAACTCCAGATTGTCCTTTGAAATCAATTTTGACTTTCATAGCATCAATCTTAATTATTATTGCACAAATATTTATACTAATATCCGGTTTTACTCTGTATACTATTACATAAATCTAAATGTATTTATCCGAGTGCTTTAGAGGATTTTTATTTTATTTTTCTAAATTGTTGGTTTCCTTCTGAGGTTGATATTCATTACACAATTATTATTCTTATCATGGATGAACCTTTTCACTAGGTATCCACTTCTCTTGTCTCTCTTTTTCCCTTCTATATAAATATTATTCTTAAGATTACGAAGTTTGTAATAAAAACAATAACTTGTGTTACACTTAAATTAACTTATTAGACTCGTTTTATCTTCACTATGCATATATGACTACTCATACATATTGATATTTTATTATCCTTTCCACTCAATTGAGACTTTCATCGCATCACTCTAAACTATAACTGCACAAACACTTATTCTAGCGTCATATCTTACTGCAATTATAAGTTGTTTTTTTTCTAATTATTTTTGTTACTAATTTAACGATACACACAGTCGTTTATTCTTGTTCTGTGTTCATAAACACGCCTATTAGACTGTTTGCGTATTTCACGTCTCCTTTATTTCTATTCCCTTATTTTCTCCATTTCCTTCTTTAAACTCAATTCAATATTCTTCTCAATTGCACAGACCCGATTTATTATTATTAATATTCTACTATTATTGCTCTAATTTTTTTAAATAGCAAGTATAATGCTGACATTATTGAAAATTGTGAATTATTGCATTTTTTGAAGAAACCCGAAATGGTTTCTTCACAACACTTATGTACCCATAAGATGTTTGTGAATAATAATAATAATAGTAATAATAATAATATTAATAACCATGAAGCATGTTGAAAATGCTCCATTACAGCCGTGTGATCTTTCCTAGTGTAACAAAGCAAGAAAGCATTCTCGTCCGTCCACTTGACTTGTGAAAACTTCAAATATGATTGTTTCACGGTCACTACTCACAGTTAATGACTGAACACGGACTCCTTAATCGGAATGTGCTCATTAGATATTAGCTGGTAGAGTCTTCTATACTTTCCGTACTTTCTTCATCTCGTGGTGTTTTCGTGTTTTCACGTCGGGCTCACCACTTTCGTGCCTTAAGGTAACCCTCGTGCTATTGATAGAAGAAACCAGAGAAGTAGTGAATAGGTCTTTATTTCGATCTTTCGATCTTTATTTCGGTCACAGAGGAGCGTGGGATTATCTATTCAGACAAACAAAGGCTCTCAACATTCAATATAAGATATTAGGGAATATAACGCTTATACAAAATAAGGAAGTGAATGAATACTTGAACAATACTGTTTTGGCATATGCTTGGTTGTTTGGGGTCAACTCTTAACCAACCAACCTAAGCTGTTACAGTGTCTCTTTCAAATTCATTCAGGATTGAACTTTTGATACCTTTGACTGTTTCCCTGACAAAACTGCAATTTTAGGACTAAGTCTATTATTAGAGCAGTAGTAAAACCTACATTAGTATGCCTGACTAAAGAAACGCGACTTATTATTGTTAATCCTTATTTCCACTTTAACTTTCTATATCGATGTTAACTTATGCAAACCTATTATTCTAATAGTCCTCTGATTAATGCTCTCATGTATCGTCGTAATGTTATATGGAGTAAAACTCATAACATACTAACTCAATTGATACTAACAACTGACCATCTATATTAATTAGCTTTGATGGTTCATTAACAAGCTTTAATAGCATTGACGTGCTCCAGCAAAATAAACTTGTTTAAATATTAAGGTCTGGGAATTATAACCTGTGAATGATCTAAATATACATTGATTAGCAACGTGAGGAAGAACTAAATAGTTATCTGTATCTGATTCTTCATGTTGTTTTTTACTTAACGCCTCATTGTGTTTTAAACTATGCACTATACTGTAATATCTTTTCTTCCGACCACTGCCTGTCTAAAATTCAATTTTCGAGTCCCACTGCCAAACAACGAAGACACTACTCCAAAAACATACGATGAGTTTGAGCTATAAATTTTCAGCAAACATAAGGTCATTTTAGATGGCTCATACAATGAAAGTTACACAATTATCGGGATCTGTTCGTTTGTTCTGATTCGAGCGAGTGTCAAAAAGGTCAACAGCACCAAACATCTTGAACTTAGTTGCCATGCTCTGTGTTTAATCTAGATGCTTTTGGATCAATACTACGCCTCTTGAACATTTGGGTTTATGGAT